TTAATTGTTGTAAATAAAATCAAATATACGTGGTCAGTTAGAAAAGTGTACACGCGAAAAAATGATCATACATGAATAAATACAGAACGTAGATATGCGATTTGTTATATCTGCTTATGCTAGATCCGTGAATATGTAATTCAATAAATTCTGTACTCGAGGCTCTGGCATTGTTTAGCTGAACAATAACTCAAATTAATGAACGAAGTTTAGAGTATAATCGCCATTGTTATGCAACTACTGGCTTTGGTATAAAGTTAGGAATAAAAAAACTTTCGCCAACAGTTCGAACAGTATAATCGAATGTAATTGCATTTCTTAAGTGCACAAATACATGCAAATCTGTAAAATTATATTTAGTTTGTTCACGCCTATTTCTTCGGTGCTCGAATCCTGAGCTACTGAGTGACTTTCAAATTTTTATCAAAAGATACGTCTCGATGCAATAGTTTTGTTCCGTTCATATTTAATTCCCCCATATTCCGTCGGGTGATCCTGTTTGTTCAGAATATTGAAATTTTAAGTGGTTTCGATATAAATCTGTCTCGACGGCACAAAAAAGAAGCAATGAATAGGAATATTTATTCCCAGGCACGCCTGAGCATGACTGTCTCTCGAGAAAGTAGATTTTTCGGGGGTTGTTTATAGACAACCACCACGCTTCTCGCGGATAAATATTTATAAGTTTAAAATCTTCATTAGTCCGAACAAACATGTCCTTACATCCAAAGCCTTCGACCGCTGTGTTTTTTTATTTCTTTCGGTGGTAATTAAAAATAATACAATTTACGAAACAACGACAAACATTTAAGAATCTCCTGTTGTGGCAAATTTACATAATATTTTTATACGTTGCGATATTGGAGTCTTTTTTGATATTGTATTGAGTAATGTTTTTAGAGGAAATTCTTTTAAACGCTACAGAGACGAAAACGTTGGGTTTACTCTGAAAAAAACAAAGTGTAAGAAAATATGAGAAATGATATCAAGCTAATGCTTAATGTTTTCATCTTTGTATTTTTTTTCAAAACATTTCTGTTTATAGTACCGCGGAAAACTTCAATATCCGGACGGACGGTACAAAAAACTGTGTAAACTCGCTTCTGCAAGACTGGAAAGCTTTGAATTTTTAGTAAAAGGAATATTCTTCTGTTTATAGTAAAAAGACGTTTCGTCGTATTGTTTTATTAATACTAGAATCTAATATTTTAATTGGTAACGAAGCATAGGATAATTCCTTTCATCGTTTTAATTCTTCTTAAAAAGATACAGACTAACAAATAACCTCGTATAAGGAAAATTTAGTAGAAAGTTCCGTTTTATGCCAGACGTATTGTACGATACAATACTTCATTAAAATTTTGCTATGACGTTATTATCGCCTTAAATTGCATAAAAGGTACAGCAGTTGCTAAAATAAGTTAATTCTTTCGTTTTATAAAGTTTCTCCCTCACAAAATAGAATGAATTTAATAACTGTCGAAGTTTGAAATACATTATATATATTTTTCTCGAATATTTTAGAAAATAGTAGTGTGACACTACTAAATTAAATAGTTAATATAACTTGTTTAATGGAGTTCTAATCTAATTATTTATCGTTTAATACTTGGGAACCTGTGACTTGTTGAAGAGCATTAATTTTCACTCACAATGGCAAGTACTTATTTGTACTTCGTATAATCGAAGTATGAACCATCACCAAACAAAAGCAAATTTATTACAATCGATAAGACATAATAAACCACAGTGCATTAACGACACTCTTATTTATAAAGACGTTTTATTCAACCCTCAGTAGTAAAGTCCGTTCATTCTCAGACAACAGAATAATATTCTGGTGTTATTTTACTCTATTTGACTATCTCTCAACTTGCTCCAAGTATTTTAAATAATTGAAGATTCTGTGCCTACAATATACGATTCAATTACTTCGAAAGGTATTAATTTCGTAAGACACCAACGTTTCTCATGCGATGAACTTTCGTTCGTTCACTACGAGGCGAATAATATTCCTTCTTTACAAGCCAAAAAAAAATAATAGAAGGAACGTCACAAAGAAATCCACAGGAATTTTCATAACAAGCGGCGGAGATTCCTCTGGAATTATTTTTATATTGGAAAGAAAGTAACGTTCGTTCCACGTTTAATGAGAAACGAGACCAACAATGCACGAAATACGCCCGGCCATCGTGCAAGAAACACGTAACTTAATATTCGCGAATGCAACGAGAAACGTACGATTTCCTTTTTCCTTTTTGAAAGGTCGCGCGTTATTCCCATTACCAATTTGCATCGCAAAGTAACATCAGCCAGACTTCCCTTTTGCCACCTGCTAAATAACGCCTAATAAAATTTTAGTACGCCCATAACGCTAATCGCGTTAATGATGCAATTGTGCACAGGCACTCAACTGCTCAAGCACGATTAAAAGATGACAGCGTTTCTTAGTAACAAACCAACGAAGCAGAAATACCTTTCACGTAATTATTTTATTTTACTTTTATAATAAGAAACTGTCGATACTACTTCATATAACAAAAAATAAATTGTGTTTCTCTCTCTTTTAAATATTTACACAATCCAGAGAATACAACCTGTATGTTATTAACATTTTACAATGTATAACATGCTTACATGAACCTTTAAAATATCAAAATAACGATTATTGGAGCACGAGAAACCTTAAATGTTCTTCAAAAAGGGTTGTGCGCTTTGATAAATTGTGGAGTTTCAAAACGTCTTTGACGACACGAAAGGCTCTCGTGCTTGAATAACTATTACTTCGATGCTTTATGAAAAAACATATCGAAATTAACAATGATAATAATTGACAACAAAGTGCTTTTAAAACTCTTCCTTGTTGCATAATAATAATATTATTTCTTCTCCAAAGGTGTCTTTGTATAATAAAAATGGTTAAACTGGTAAAATAATTTCAATATTTTTAAACGTATTTTTGAACAGCTCTGGTGGAAATGGTGCTGATTAAAATTTATAAACTTCGAACTTTAGAACCTCGTATTATTATTAAATAGCCTTTTCATCGAAATAATGCTTCCGTAGAGCGGGCCCGTTGATCGAGTTCAACCATAAAATCGACCGAGGATCGCGGCTGGTTTCAGTAGAAATACAACGTTTATAGTCGGACGCAAATTTATTCACGAGTTGGATCGCGCGCCGACCAAACAAAATTTAATAACGTCGGCGTACGAAATTGTCGGGTAATATTCACGAGGTATGTCCGTCCCCTGCAACGCTTATTGACAGCTGAAAAGTGAAAATCAATTTCAACCATGGTCCCACTTTTACGCGCTTTGACGAGCCGCGAACGAAGTGCACGGCACGGCTAATTCGACATAATTCGATCCTTCCCGAAAATACCCGCGCATCGTATTTTAATTTCGTACAAAAATCGCCCGACGATGCGCGCCGTTTGCGGAATGGAAACGAAACGCGATTTGAGAATTTATCGCGTGACCTGACGCGAGAATGTTTCTGATAATAGTCGCCCCGACAGTGACGCGCGCGATAAAAGTTCAACGAAAGCGGGGGGGGGGTTCTTCGTTCGAAATTACCCGCGACGCGATGCTCGACCGAGCTTTTTTCAGGTCGTTACAAAGGAAGAGCGTCTCGCTTATCGCTGAACAACGACAAACTCTTTTATCGTCGACATTGTACCGTACTAAGCGCAACGATAGTTGAAGAGTACCATCGAGAAGAGCCAAGCGGATTTACCGTCGGATAAAAAATAGCGAAATAACGACCGGGAAAGATCAAATTGATAGAAATATTGAGTCCATTCGTTTGATTTAGGTTCGCCGGTTACAGATGTCTATGGGCTGGGACCTATGATATCGAAGTTGCATTTTTCTCGCAAACGTCAGCTCTATACGCGCGGAACGAGATCCGTAAGAGCCGATTTGCTGGAAAGCTTTCGAGGAAATTTTTATGTCATGCGGTACGTGAAGGATATAACGAGTCGAGATAACAATAGTAGTCTCTCCACGCGAAAAAATTAATCGAAATTGTACGTAATTATATTCGATTTTGACTTTGTATAGTTTGTAGGATATCTAAACCGAATTGAACATTTTTAGAAGGTTAATTCGGAATCTATCGAACCGATTTTTATTAAACCAATACTATCCTGTTCCGCAGATATTGAGAGAAAAAAATTTAATAGTATCTGTCTGTTTGCTATGACGTCACAGGGAAATGGCTGCAGGGATCACGATGAAAACTTATTCCTGAAATAAAAAAGAATTTGTTGCACGCGAAAAGATTCACTGTTTTGTAGCATGTCTTATTAACTCTGTTAACAAATGTACAAGTGTTAAAGGCAGTCGATGTGTTGAATAAAAAAAAGTGATTTTTATATTTTCATTGGTCTCCAAGAAAACAGCTTGTAACGTTTCGTTTGGACCACACGGTACGCTAATGAGAACAATGGAAATGCTTATCAGAAATTATGCGTTTAATGAGAGTGCTTGAGCAAGAACGAACTCATTAGGCGGTAGTAGAGGGACGGCAAAAAATAAACAGCAATTTTTATCTAACCCGGTTGCATTCGTTTCGCGGAGCTTCATCTAGCCACACACGCTCGAACAATTTTCTTTTTATAAGACTCTGGTGACGTCCATTCGGACGAATATTATTCTAATCTTGTGATAGACACGCGACTGGTACAAAGCTTTTAAAAATTTTTAAAGCCTTAACAAAATTTATATTGTAATTACACGGTCGTGGGGATGTTCGAAAAAGAGAGATCAAAAATATCGTAATATACTCCGAAAGGATTGAATCGCTGTATTAATTCAATTAGTAAAGTTATCTTTTTTCTTTTCGTCCGTACGGTACGCAAGAGAAACGTTACAAAGAAATTGTGCACCGCGCGAATTAATTAAATTTTTTATTAACGTAACGTTTCAAATTACAAGTCACAAAAATGTAAACTGATGATTATTAATTTAAATTATACTTATCTTTGGTTGTCGCAGGTTTCCACAGTATAGTCATGCATGGTGCACGACGTCACGTTGCAGAATAGCCCTCTGCTGCAGCTTCGTGGTACCCTTCATCGCGTGTGCGCCTAGCTACCTGGTATTTGGCGTAAGTTGCTCCTTTAATGTACATTTAAATATTTAAACGACTATACGCTATTACAGCGCCTGTGTTTATAATGGATGAAAGCTGTTGTTAATATTTTGTGTATGAAACTTAATACTTTGACCAGGTGAATCTTTAATTGCTAGATAAGGAAGAAGATGTTGAGCGACAACGGGACCGTCGAAATCGCTTACATCGTCGACACCGACTACACTCCGTACACGGATTTCTTCTTCCAGTTGAATTTCTGGGTGTTGGGGGTGGTCGTGAAGCTATTGCCGTGTGGCATTCTCACCGTTATTAGCTGCTGGCTGATAAAAGCTCTTTACAGGTAATTCGGTAACAATGGCCCCTTAGTGGTGGAAACTTTCTCGCAGAAAATAGAATATACCTCGGTACGTTGTTCGTTTCCATTCTCGAAGGTCTAGTCGCATAGAGAGGCTCCGTGTTAGACTAACCCTTTATTTTCCTCCGACGCACGATAAAGGGACCAAAGCACACGCTGGACGCTGTAAATAGAGAATTAATTAAATTAAACAATTTTGAATATAAAAAGAAACCGTATTTGTATTCGAAATTAAGTCAAATCTATTTATCAATATCACCGTGAAAGATCGAGCCAATGGCACAAGAGTTTCTGTTTCTAAATCTAAAAAAAAAAATCAAGAAAGCGTCACAAACCCTTCTGTTCTTTTTTATATTATTTTCCCCAAAGACTCACAAGCCAAAACTTTTATTTGGCATAAAATTAAATTATTTAACCCCAATCTTACCTGTTTGAATCGTACACCAATAATTTGATGTATTTTAAAATTGAATAATACGTAAAGTGTCCTTAGTAAATAAATTCACTAGCAGACGTTACAGTTACACTCAGTTGGTGTGCGTATCGTGCCCGTAGAATTCGGGTTAAGAGGTTCTGATTGCGTTCCAGAGCGAAAGGCAGAAAGCAAGCGCTGAAGAACTACAATCAGTGCAAAGCGTCGAGCACGTTGGGCAACGGAGTGGTCCAACAAAAGCCCAGCAAGTCCGAGAAACGAGCGGACAGAACAACCAAGATGCTTGTGGCCGTGTTGCTGCTGTTCCTGGTTACAGAGATACCCCAAGGCGTTCTGGGGTTATTGTCCGGCGTGCTGGGCGATTGTTTCTTCCGCAACTGTTATCACAACTTCGGCGAGGTGATGGACATCCTGGCGCTGTTGAACGGCGCCATCAACTTCATCCTCTACTGTTCGATGTCCCGACAGTTTCGAACCACTTTCGGGCAGTTGTTCAAGCCGAGGATCATGAAGAAATGGCAACCAGCCACGCAACAGACCGACGTCCAGAGCACTTACGTATGATGCAGGCTGAAGGGTCTGGAGACCACGCGTCTATAGGGATCTATAGATAGGATCTTCATGGTGAACACACTGACACGTTGGACTGTTTGTTTTTAATATTTATTACAAATTTTGACTCTTAATCGCTAAGGAATTTTTAACCCTCAAATGGTAGAGTAAACTATTTCTTCTACAGAAAGAGTCGATGAAACAGTAGCCGGAATTTGAACTTAGTCTGTGTAATGGTATTCAGGTTTTGTTGTATTGGGCTACTTGTTTTTAACGAACGTTGTGAATCGTGTTTGAATAGAACTGCTGAAGAGTTGTTAATCCTTGATTGGTAGATCAATTTATTTGTTATGTAGTTTGTCTAATATTCTTTGTAAATTTTTCGTAGATCCATACAGCGTTAATGCTGAATTTATCGTGTCGTGTCTTTGCCCTCAAATCCTGGCGAAGATTTTAAAGTGTTCTTGATATCGAACCACGCTTTTAACGATACTACACATATCTGATAAAATATAGCCCAAAAGCACACACGTGTGAGAGGCAAAATATAGCCAAAAGTGCTGTTGTAATCCCAAATATAGTCTGTGTAAAATTTAGCATACTTTGTAAAGTAGTATCACTTCGATTAAATTCGCCAGTAAACAGTAAATGTAATTGGTAGGCAGTATAGCTTGTTTGCTCAGCAAGAGACTAAAAATGGAGTATGCAAACTTTCGAATAGACGATTATATATTTTGGGCAATTTTTCCCTCGTTTCTACCGGTCGAGGATTAATAACATTTAAGCTTCAACGCACGAGTGATAAAATTATTAAAAATAAGAGGGAAAAATGTACATTTTTTTTTTTACAAAACTAAAAGCACATAAACTATACAATGTGCAGAGAACACCGCCGAGCCATTGTGGGTGATAACGTAAAACGTGGCTTCCAAAGAGACAAGAAACGATAACATTAATAGCCTCGTGGAAGACTATAATCATATTCAAATGTTTTAACCGGTTAACAGATAAATTTCGAAGGTCGAACTAGGTAATTTTTTTTTAAAGAAACAAGATGATTTTTCAGAATACTGACAAACTGGCCTATTATTATTATTATTATTATTATCGGTGTCAAGTAAAGTCACGTATACGTGACACCCGCCGTGAAAGTGCTATGATGACATAACCGAACGAAAAAATTGTTTTGTCGTCGATTCAAACACTTTTACCAGTCCAAACGCGAAGGAAGCAAAAAAAAAGTAGTCATAATCGAGGGGAAAACGTGTCTGGCCGACCGAAATAGTTAAAAATTACTATGTTAAGGAATTTTGTGTTCCCCAAACGCCGGGATGCTTAACACTGATTGATGGCAATTAACTTAACTGCCGTTACTGCAAATGACAGGCCCCGTTAAGGCGAACAGAAACTTGATCGTGCGTTTAACACGCAAATAGAAGATAAGGAAAGCTGACACACACCCTTGCGTTATTCGAACTTAACGCTCAAACGTTTCTAAACGCGAGCAAACTTGTTTGTACATACTGCATACTCTGCTTTTTGTACCGACGTTCGATTAGTCCGGTGTTTGCATTCGTACGGCGCGTCGCATAAAGTACGCGAAGCGTTATTAACACAATCGTCAACATTGTCATCGAACGCCATAAATACCCGCGTATTAGCACAGCAAACTCAACAAATTAGAAACGTGACGATACGGTGCGCGAAAACGTGCAGAAACGTTTCCGCGGCGTGATTCATCACTGTTTATACATTATTATTTGCGCACACGATTCGATGTCGTTCTAATAATATAAAGTAATTTGTTATTAAACGGTACCGCCTCGTGGTTCGTATTTCAACGTATATTCGACAACGTCGCGGGGCCGTTGTATTATTTATTTACGAATTATTTTATAGTTAAACGCGAACGTTCCCTCGTTCCTTGATCGTGCGTTTAATACACGAATAGAAAATAAGTTATTTATCGCGTGGGCAGGATTGGAAACGAAACTTTCCGTCGGTCGATCAATTAATGTCGTACACCTAACAACGAACGATTAAGAATTACGAAAACGGGCAGAAGGTTTATCAATGCCCGAACACCGTATTATAAACGCGTTAATGTAATTAATGTAGCAGAAATGTGGGAAATAACGTCGTAGATCTAGGTATTACCGTACGAAACATAATATGCGAAACCCTGTAAATAAACAAGTGAAAACCGTAGCGGTAATAAATTGTTCCGTTATTTTGTATCGCAAGAGGAAATTGAGACGGAGTTTTTTTTAGCTATTGAGCCCAGCTAAAAATCTGTCCGTTCCGATGTACACGTTAACGAAACATTCATTTATAGAGATTGCGAATAAACGTTTCCGTATCGATCATTGGCTTTCAATGTTTTCCCCTTCCGTAACGCGTAATTCACGCTTTGGCTCCGTATTTTTTTCAAAATATTTCCGGGCGAAATCCGACCATCTGTGATTTCACTCGATTTGCACGCAAAGTCAGCGTTTTAATGTCTCCGATTCTAAAACGGGAACACGCGAGTTTGTTTACGCGCTGCACCGTTTCGATAAATGATCTTTTTACCGTAAGCAATGGTGTTCTTATAGAAATTCCGCCCACCTTTGATGAGACTCGGATAAAACTTCGCGAGACTTATTACATTTCCGAATGGAAATGAGACGGGAGGAAGAAATCGACACGCGTTTCCTGCCGTCGATTCTTTCGTCGAGCTCTTTCACTTACTTTGTTTTCTCTTTAAATACCGTCGCTGCTCGGGGTATTCAGGTTCACCAGTTCGATTCTACTTAATCGAGAATTCGCCCCTTGATCGCTCCGGTTCCGAAGGTGAATGGAAAAAAGAGAGGTACAGCGACTAAAAAACGTTCGAGCAATTTCATCGGGAATAAAGCATGCCGTGCGAACCTTTGCTTCATTTCCGCCGTTAACGTCTTTTAAACTCGAAGAGCAATCGAACGCAAAGAAATCATGAACTATCCGTAACGATCGAAGAAAATCGTTGGGATTGCTTGAAAATAATCGAATTTATTTCTCGATCGTAGGAAACAACGAAGCGTCATAGTAATCGAAACGGATGGTTACACAATTATGCAAACGATCGATCCATTCGATGTTTCTCTGTTCCGATGAATATGCAAACACCGACACTTTAGAAAAGCTGAGACGTTTTTTGATCGCTGTAACGTGATAATTTCGTTCCCTGTCGCGTCTATATCGAAAATCGATTTCAACCCCCGAAATTGCTTCACCTTTGCGATTCGGGGGATTCTCAACGAAGTGTCGTAATTGATGAGATTTTATTCACGAACAACGAGTAAAAATTTTAGACTCGCCCGTGAACGAACTTCTATTTGCCTTTCGTTTATAAATTAAAATCCATTAACAGGGGAAAATATACGAAAAAGTTTAGTCTTTCGTGTTCTCCTCTTTACTCTACGTTATGCTTTTAGATTAATTATTCATCATATGTATTTATTCTGAAAAGCTAAAAGTGCTGGAAATGGCTACATTGTGATAAAAAGTCCAAGTAACGTCTTTAATTGAAGTTTTCAAATTCTTAATTGAATAATGTTAAATCAATAACGATGGCGATATTGTATTTGACAATATTAACTTCCTGGACTATACTTGGATAGAGTACATTCCTGGACCAGAAACTCGAGTTCTATTGTGCAACACGCTCGATCGCAATTAGAAAGATTTGTCGCGTAACACGATCGAAACGTGGCCTTGCTTAGCCAGTTGGAGTCTTGAGTTCTCGTCCCTTCTGAGCGAGAAAACGAAGACGAAGCTCTTGGATATAATGTACGGTTATCCCGAGGCACAAAAGCATTTTCACCGCCTCGAGCCACCATATTTATTTCAATTTTTATTCGCATTTCCTGGGGGTTTTTTCTCGCTTGCCGCGCTCCGGTGAGTTTCATTCGTTCAATTCGCGCGACCTGATCGACGCTAAAATGATATTCAATCCCCGACGTATGCAAACTTATTTCGATGAATTAATGAGCATGTGATTAGATTCAATCGTCAGATCGTTTGCAATTCGAATATATTATAATTAACCGATTTATTCGAAGCCTCCGGATATTTTTCGTTTTAAATTCTATTTCTGGGACACCGGAGAACCGAAGGTAGGAAAGGTCGGGTCGATATATTGGTTACTAACGATTCTGTTGAAATTATGTATGAAACAAAATAGGTTTCGGATTTAATTTCCAATAACATTTGTTACGTACGCTTCTCCTTTAAAATCAACTGTGAGGGAGATACGGCCAAACGTTAACAAATAACGAACATATATATGAAAAGTATCTAATTTTAGATGCTATATCTAAAATAATCAAGTCTTAAGTTTCGTTGAAATCCATGTCCATTAAAACGCTAAAAAAATATTTTTGTTTACGACGGTGAAAACGTAAACGATACCTTGAAACGTGTTTCTCCGTAGAAAAAAAAATGTTGTTTATCGCAATATTTATACGTTAAAAATAGAAAGGGGGCTCGAGCGCAATTTCGTCATTCTTGATTTCCATTCTGGTATATTTTGGCTTTCAGAATTACGCCATAAAATATTTACCTCCGGTAGATAAACACCCTGTACACGTTTCAAGCTTCGGCGTGATCCCTCCGGCAATTTTCTCCATGATGCAATAACACAACAGACACAAATGCATTTTATTTGTATAGATTGCTGTATACTAGCGCAGCTGTTCCATGAAAACCCACGTATCCTACACTATTGTGTGTAATTAAAGTTTTCGATGTTTCACGGAGCTCCAAGTCCTACGAACTCGAAACTCAATTAACACGATGACTGGTACCGGTATATTCGCTAGAAAGTCCAAGTAGATTAAGGGCCGCCCACCTGTGCCGTGTTATTAAGTCTATTTATTAACGCCCTTTAATTATATACAAAACTTAATAAAGAAGTTCGCGAATTTAATTGAACGGTTGCGTGCGTTATATCGCGTAAAAGAAAGATTCCCGCGTTGATCGGGAACAGGGAAAGATACGTAACAGCCGATGATTTACAGTGTTTTATACAACGCGACCGCGTTCATAACGTTCTTGCGGACTGCCGCGCAAAGTGACTTTAATTTTAAAGAATATTATTTTCAATGAACTTGCCCGATTAACTTTACGACATTTGATCGATTCTATTAAAATCTGCTGCAAATTCGTACTAATATAGCTTGTAATCTTATACGTTCGTTATTAGTCTGTCATGCTTTCATGAGTGGCACGGCAATTATCTTACAAAGCGACAAAGTAGGATAGAAACTTATTACAGAAAATGAGATGGATAAAAGAAAGAGCTTGTAACTGAACTTGTTCGCTAACTAAGTCAAGTTCCCGGCTATGCGGTCGTAGGGTCTTCCAAAGATCAAAGAATTTAAAGGGTCCCTCTCTGTTTCAAAGGCTACGGTATATAAATAGAAAATATTACAGATAGAAAAAAGGAAACTCTCTTTTTCTGTAATAGGATCTACCCTTTGATGGATCCTAGGTGAAAAATGGGGACAATATTCCTCTATGATGCTCGACTGTTGTTTGTCTATCGTCGCGTAGAGAAAGAATTTGTATTCACCGATTTGCCAGCACCCTCGTCTAGCATCTCGCGACGACGTATCGTTCTGTCGTCTCTCCTAATTGAGTTCTCTCATCAGTGTTCCACCCGTCTTTCTGTGCATCCTATTGCGTACGCTACAGTATCCCTGCAAGAGGCTTTAAACTAATTGTCTCGGCTAAATCAGATAGGATACTCCGCGACATCGTCGCGCGATAAAGTTTGAACGTCTCTGGCATGTCCCTCGACACCCACGATCGGTTCAGGTCCTTCGAGATTGGCGAGTGCCAGTCGCTCGTCTCTTCGCGGATCGCTGAAAAATTGAAAATAGTAAATTGATACTATTTGGTACAGGAAATAAGGCTGGGATCAGCTGTTGAGCAAACTTCATTCGCGAATAATGAATACAAACTTTGGATTCGCTAGTAAACTAGTTTTCTGGCTGCGGTTTCGCACGATTGGACGTTGGCTTAAAATATCTGTCGATAGACTCGAATTCACGAAGTTAGTTTACGAACCAATCCAACATATTTATTCGTTATTTATGGATTTGCTCGTCTCTGAGACAAGATTCGCAGGAACATTCTTAAATACAGTAAAATTCAAATTATTCGGCATATTCAGGACTGGAGCAATGCCAGAAAATCAAATATGTTGGATAGTTTGACTATACCCCCATATAAAATGATACAAATGAGGGATTGGACCATTTTTATAGGATTTTTCTCACTTTACGGGGTTAAGGAATAATATTCCCAACATTCTTGGACTTTCTACATATTCTTCAGCAAAATACGCGTAGTTTGCATTTTGAAACATTAAAATTCTCCAATTCATTCAAGAGTTATGATATTTTAAACATAATCAATGTCAGACATTGTATTTTCGGTAAGGAATTTTTTTCTCGAAAATGCGTAGGAATTCGGGAGCAAGTCTATTCACCAAAAATAATTGTAATTGCCCTCAGAAACTAAAAATAATTTTTTGTGAACGATTTGAAACTTTTCAATTTCGTCGAAAAATTTCAGTACCTACTCGAATTTTTTTCTCGAAAGTGCGTAGGAATTCCGAGGTATGCGTATTCACCAAAAATGATTATAATTGACCCTAGCAACCAAAACTAATTTTTTTAGAACGATTTGAAATTTTTTAATTTTGTCGAAAAATTTTATACCTTCCCGAATTTTTTTCTCGAAAGTGGGTAGGATTTCGGGGGTATGTCTATTCACCAAAAATTATTATAATTGACTCTAACAACCAAAAGTAATTTTTTTAAAACGATTTGAAATTTTTTAATTTTGTCGAAAAATTTCACACCTACTCGAATTTTTTTCTCGAAAATGAGCAGAATTTCGGGGTTATGTGTATTCACAAAAAATGATTGTAATTGACCCCTGCAACTAAAAATATTTTTTTTAGAACGATTTGAAGTTTTTTAATTTTGTCGACAAATGTCATACCTTCTCGAATTTTTTTCTCGAAAGTGGGTAGGATTTCGGGGGTATGTCTATTCACCAAAAATTATTATAATTGACTCTAACAATCAAAAGTAATTTTTTTAAAACGATTTGAAATTTTTTAATTTTGTCGAAAAATTTCACACCTACTCGAATTTTTTTCTCGAAAGTGGGTAGAATTTCGGGTGTATGTGTAATGACCAAAAATGATTATAATCGATCCCTGAAACCAAAAATAATTTTTTCAGAATGATTTGAAATTTTTTAATTTTGTCGAAAACACACCTTCTCGAATTTTTTTCTCGAAAATGAGCAGAATTTCGGGGTTATGTGTATTCACAAAAAATGATTGTAATTGACCCCTGCAACTAAAAATATTTTTTTTAGAACGATTTGAAATTTTTTAATTTTGTCGAAAAATTTCGCACCTACTCGAATTTTTTTCTCGAAAATGATTAGGATTTCGAGGGTATGTCTATTGACCAAAGATGATTGTAATTGGCCCCCGCAAACGAAAATAATTTTTCCAGAACAATTTGAAAAAAATTTTTTTCGACGAAAAATTTAGGCACCCTCCTATCGTTTTTCCTTAAAAATTCATTTTTGATTTTAAATAAACACAACCATGGGTAATTTAGTAATACAATTTATTAATACAAAATAAAATACATCAAATTCAACTGTGACTGAACACTACTGTACTCCTATTATGCGCTTCTTCTTTCGTTAAAAGGGCCTTGTCTGAAACTGGAAACATGACAATTATTTTTTATTTTTGAAAACATTGTAAAAAGTTAATAATAACATTCTTAAGGAGTTATCGAATATTAAACGCTCAGTTAACACAAAGTTTGTAAATATTTCTTCGCGATGCTCCGTATGTTGATGATTGATATTTTGAGGGATTCTGTGTATCGCCGGTTCATCCATTTCACTTAATCCGACGTGTCGAACGAAAACCAACACTAGAAACATATTTCATACCGTCCGAGTTTGAGGATGTCGAAGGTAGAACGCATGGAACGACTTTCGACCTGATTCTACACGTCAATTTCCTGTTGTCGCGACGTTTCCACGATGGATACGCTCGAACGACGGGCGTCTCCTCCTCGGTTTGACGGATGCGATGGAAATATGCAGGAAAATGTGTTAAAGCGTTTTAAAGACTTTCCGCGGCGACGCGAACAAAGATCCAAGCGACAGCTTCGGTTTGAAAATTTAATATTTAAGGCGTAGAGAATACTTGAGACGCGTTGAAATTCAATTTAACACTCACGTGGAACATTTATAATATCTTGAATATAACAGACATTATTTGACATCTGAATATTTAAAGTGTAACATAAAAACAATTTCTATTAGTAGTAAATAACTAATAAAATATCATAAATGTAACATACATACCGTAAAGATAAGTAATATTCGAACAACACAGTTTGCACGGTTCTTCTTTCTTTTATTTATTTAAAAATCACATTTAATCGCAATGCAAACAATGAAATTTAACCCAATGCGAAATTTAATAGCGCCGTCAATCGAAAAATAATGTGATCAACCGTGGCAAACAACGCAACAATGAAGTTCCTCAAACTTTTAATTAAGACGCACGCGAGCTTTATCAGAGTTGCATAAAGCTGATGTTGCGGATGATAGATCGTCCGGAGAAAATTGAAGCGACTTGGCCGCGTCGTGCCAGGCAACCTACCACGAAACCGTTTAATTACGTCCATAATTTACCAATTTTGTAATCACGGTTCACGAGGAAAAGGATTATACGGAAGAGGTTTAACCGCGAGGGTGGAGCTTATCGCGGGAGAAACATCGAAAGGGCGATTTACCAATCACTGATATACTCCCATGACATCGACATGCACCGTAATTATTCGCCATTGCCTAATTAAATTCAAACGACATAATTATCGACAAAATTCTAACTAATAATTTCGTCATTCATCGATAATAATCGCCATTGTTCGTTCCTGCTTTTGATTCTTGCCTTTAATTTGCAAGAGGCAATTGTAAGTTTTACATTAAAAGTATTTAATAAAAGGAAACAACGCTGTTTCATCAAAGTTTTCTAACCTGGTGATCCACCTACGCCGACCATCGTAAATCCTTGAGACTTTCCGAATGCAATCCGTTGGGAGCAGGGGAATTAATGTACGACGGCCATTCGGAACAACTTGAAATGAGAAAACTGAATCTCCTTGACACGTGGACTCCTGAACGAGGAAGACTGAGGTATAGAACGTCGTCGAGACGTGACAGTGCAAGGACCCGTTATAAACACGGGGGGATGAAAGTTAATCGATGCTGGAAGAGCATCCTTGTCCGTGTCCATTACAGACTTGCGAACCTTGTAAAACGAATCGATCGTTTCGACGCATCGAAACCTATGAAACGGAAAAAAAGCCAGCCGGAATACGTTTCAATGAGTTTTATTCGTTCCTTGGGAAATGTCTCAAGATTTCTTGACTTCGACGACCGGCGTAACCGTTTTAAACTTCGTCTGCATTAAGGATTCTCGCCTTCTCATTACTGGACGCCTTCTCCTGTTGGAGTTTCGACGATAGTTTCTTCGCAGTTTGCGTTATCTGCAAAAACAAACGAGACGAGCCATTCTAACTGCTTTGAATCGGTACTTCGGAACTAGGACTGGGACCATTCAAATAGTTTAATATTCAAATGGGAATAACCGAAATTCGCGTACGGTGAAACCTCGAATTAGTAGACTAATTGAAGTATTTGTAAAGTAGCGTCTATACGAATCCGAAACTATATAAATTACCATGCTTTTCAGTACAATAACTTCTACATCTTCTAATGAAACAGTTTTTCCCAGAGCTAGAAACATAATGACTACGAAAAGAAGTTTATTTCTTCTAACAACTCTGATGTCTACTAGACGTCTACTGGCAATTATATCATGACTGGAGTATTCAAATATAGAAAAATTTAATAAGCAGAGCCAATACAAAACTCGCCTCGTCGTCCACGTCGATCACAGCCGTAATATCATTCAGCGCGGTTAAAAATTCAGCAGCGCTGCTCGTGTTGCCCAAAGCCTCCAGAATTATCGCGTAATTAATTAGCACCAGAGGGTCTTGCGGCGCCAATTCGTGAGCTTTCTGCAATACCTTCTCAGCCCCCTCCAGATCGTCTAACCGCTTCAAAGCGACTGCAACAACGATTAAATTCTTTATCGCGGTCGTTATTCGACTCCGTGGGTGGCAACAGGAAGTAAAATCGATGCCATTAAAATTTCTTATGCGTCAATGACGCGCCACCGTATTTTCTTACTTCACATCCGCAAGCACAGGCTTTTCTGGCTTCTTTTTTGTAAATTCAATTCAAGCACGTTTCGCTGGCCGAGCGTTTTCTCTACGAATTATGGCTTCATAACGAGTACGAACGAACGGAAAGAACCGAAGAAATTGAGGAAAAGAAAAGAGACGACGCAGCGAATGGAATTTTCATTGATAATAAAATAGATTTAGAAATAATGCCGCAAGCGGGTCGCCAGAATGCCTCCTCTGCATTTAATATCGCGTGAAGTTGAGAAAAATTTATTTGACAATAAGAAATTATGAATAATATTGATGGATGACCTAGATTAACAGAGTGCAATAAGAGAAAGGTTGTTCGTGATTGAGCGATGATTAAAATTCTTTTTCCAAAGATATAGAAGAACGACTTACGTCCAAGCAGAAGATATGGCATAGCGTTCTTCGGGTCAGCACTGACCGCCGCGCACAAATAGATCGCAGCCGAAGCGGGCTGACCGGTAGTTAGGAAAACCATCCCCAAATTGTAGGCAGGCAGAAAAGCCATTGGATTCAGATAGTGAGCCCTCTTCAAACAGCTAATTGCCTGGAAGTAAATCAGAGCATTAAAACCGACGTGTCCTGCAACTCTCGTATCTCTATTAGCAAACATCGCGAAATAGTCGCTGCACAAATATGTATACGTAACTATAATGAGATAGACCGATGCAGACGGTAATTCAGGATTGGCGAACCAAACGGCGGCCCCGGATTATGGAAACGACACAACAGATTCAGAGGCGACATTGTTTATTAAACGCAACGTTCTCGAGATCGAGTTAAAAATGTCGTGATTGACTTACTAATGGCTTAGCCTAAACAATTTTAAGGAGAAACAAAAGTTACCGAGGAAGACCAAAATAAATGAAACGTTAAACAAAATGCTTGAAAGTATTTTGCTTTGGAATAATTAATTTCGAAATACATTCGTGATGGATGGAGAGAATAGAAAGGAAAGTGATTTAGTTTTTAAATCGTCGAAAGGAACCGCGAACGCGTGATGCCGCATGCCCCTTTTTTCTTATCGGACAATTTCACTCGCGTTTCTTATCAACCACACGGTAACTAAAGCCGAGCTTTGAATTTAATCCACTTGACTTTGGCGTCTTGGCCCGCTAACAAGCAGCCGGGTCCTGTGGAATAATGGAAGAGCGGATTAAGAAACTTTCATGTACGGGCTCCTTCCTGCATCTCAAACACGGATTCATAGATTCTCTCCGAACCTGTCTACCTTGCAAAGGGTCTGTTAACCATCAAGAAAATATTGAATAACTCGCACTGACTCTATTTATTACGTTACATTATTGGAAGGGAAGAGAATTTTTCTCGGCGATCGACTAATTGGGGGAAGAAGCTTCTGCGAAACGCAGGCTGTCGACCTACGTTGTGCTAATTAAGCATCCCACTATGAAGCAAATAGCAGAGAAAATCCATATTACAATTAATGTTTCAACGTTCTATTTTTAAATTTTAAATAAAATAGAATTATTCGAAAAAGTGTCCCGGTGTTATCGAAGTAGACACTGATACAAGTTTTGCTCCGTATTATATTATCAGTACTTCTTACTATTCGTTGTACTTGTCTTTTCTCATCATGCTGAGTACGTTCATTAAATAAAAGAAGAATGACCGAGGAGTTAGAACGTGGATTCAATTACCGTCACGACTTTTGTTCTCTTTCGCTCACAGTGAGCAGTCTTTTCATTAAAACGTAATTGTTCAAGTATCTAATCATCCCGTCCCTTGACTAAATAGGGATAATCAAGGTTCCACCCTATTTTGCAAATCCCTCTTTCATTAACGTCTCGTTCAGATCCTGATAAAAAAGACAATGAGCTGCTGTCTGTTGTTGGAGATTCGCCGAACCCCCGGGCTCGAATCCCGACTAGAATCGACTTTGTTTGGTATAACGGATTCGTGTTCTTCGAGAATGGGTTGCGCTTCATTAGGAAATACCCAGCCCTTAATTTGCATTTACCGATTTTCTCCCGTCCCGGCTGCACCTCGCATCGGTGCATTACACGCTTCTGTCTTGTCCTTTAATTGAGTTCCTCCGGGGCACAAGTGTGTTCCAACTGTCATTCCGAAACCCCTTTACCGCGTCCCCTTTAATGGACTTTAAATTAATTATCGCTGTTAAATCCGACAGTCTGCGCATATCCACCCCGCCGCGGATAAAGTCCACACCGATTCGCCAATTTCTACGTCCTCGTAAGGGGAAAAACTGGTTTAAGCTGTTAATCTTCCATGTTTGCGGCCACGGCGTAACGGGGCCGCAAGTACGGTAGAACTTCCATTATACAAATTAGAGACTTTATTATTATATAAGCTAGATCTCTACAGAGAAACAGAATTGCACTGTTGAGAATCGAAGAGAACTGTTTTAGAAGAAACGCGTCCCCATTGGTCGGAATTCTACACCCTCCCTGAAGGGCACGTGACTAAGCCAGACTTCGAAAAAGTCTCTCCCATTGATCGGTGTTGAATTTAGATTGCGACCCAACGCGCAAAAACTAAGCCAGACATAAAAAAAATACAATTCACAGACGAAGTCGGGAAACGTTCGCCGTATATCATGGTGTCCCACGGGACAGTTCTTTTCAGCTCCGAACAGTAAAGCTGTTCATTTTATCGTAGTAGTCCTGCACGAAGCTATAAATATTTCCCTTTGTGTGATATTCGCCACGCGAAAGAAATCCATTTTTTTCGACCACAATATGCATTTTCATAATATTAATCACTAGCATACAAGATACGGTGTTAGTACAATATCGGTTGGGACATTCCATTCGTATATATTTGCTTTTCATGAATTGTATCAAGCTACCTGCAGGGAACGCTAGCAACAAAACCATACTTTCTGCATTTAATTTACATTTAAGGTAAAAATTGACCAAACATAGAGTCTACGGCTTTTCTAGGAATCCGTAAAGTGGCACGTGGCCTTCCAATGCCAAAAGGTTTCCCTGTCATAGACGATTACGTCCGCGAATAAGTACTTACAGCAACGAATTTCTGCTTGCCGTAGAAGCACATTCCAACGTTGTTCCATAGAGCGTGCGATTCCGGGATCGATTGGGCAGCCAGCTTGTACTTCGACAATGCTACGTCGTATTCCTGGTGATTCTGAAGTGCACGATAAACATTTTAGCCCTGTCGAACAAAGTTCTTCCCTTCCCGCCCTCCTTTCTAGATACGCAACCCCAACGAACGAGTATCTCTAATTAAATTCTTGAAGAAGATTACAACAACGGTGCAGATACTTTGTACTCAAACGTGTAGGTACTTTGTTCGTGACCAGTGGATCGGTGTATCAGTGTTTCGTTTAACGAAAATGCATTCTATGCGAAAGGAAATTGAGTCTTCGAAAATGGTCCCTGTATCCCGTTATTTTTAGAATATTTGGATATACAGAGTATCTTGATGGCTCTGTTGCACATTTGTGGAACGAATTTGAAACGATATGATCTGACTTTTAAGTTGTTTAAAGCAGTTATTTTCGAAGTCTTTTCAAACTCTGCACTTGGGGCATCCCCTATACTTTTATATAAAAATTTCCCCCTCGTCGAGAACTCTGTGTTCGTAAAGCTGGAACAGCTAATGGAAAAGACGAACGAAGAATTAATCATCCGTTATGCGGAAACAATTTCTCATCCCTTGAAATCCACGAATCAAAGTCGTGCCTGGCATACCACGAGCATGGTTACACGCTCACCTGAATCACGTAAGCTATCGGCAGTATCGCTCTAGTGCAATCCGGGGAATGAGCGAGGGCTGTTCCAAATTGTTGAAACGCCCGTTGAACGTCGCCGATTTTAAGATAGAGGAGCCCAAGGTCGGTCGCGGCCTCGATGCTTTCGGGATTCCCGCTGGAAAAAATATCAAGAAAGTAAAAAAAGAACCGAGCAAATCAGCAGCTCGTCTGTTTTCGTGATTGTCAACGGATGGAATTTCTCGCTGGTTATTTGCATCTCCCGATAACCCGATTACTCGATCACTGGAATTAGGTGGCCTGAATATTTTCGTAGCCTTTTCTCGCCATGATATGGACGATTGGACACCACAGATTCTTCCACCGTCCAACAAATACGTGAAAAAAAAATTAGCTCATGCATTTCATGCGAGCAGCATATAATTAAAGAAACGTAATTGGAAACTATTGTAACTCGTTTCAGTGTTGGAACAAGCTTTGTATAGGCATTTATGATACCACGGTGCACGTGGTAATCATTATCCGCATTATCCAGCCGAGTGTATTTTTAAACAGGAATACAATTAAGTTTTTTCTCGAAATGAATTACCATTCGTTCGTATGCAGAACGATTTGCATTTATCGATCCCGAGCACTTTACCTAGGCTAAACGATCAAATAAAATAATGAACACGCGATTGTACAGTTAACAGCGAACTTTGGAAAAGGAAAACAAACAACTGCGATCGTCATTTATTTGCACGCGGAGCTATGCTCGAATCGTTTTATGCCAACGTTGAATTCGTTAATGCACCATTCGTCAACCGTGTACCAACAGGCGTAATTAAGCAAGGAGAATTAAATGGTGCGCAAATAACCGTGCGAGTAAAAAAAAATAATGTCATCTTCGAACGAAAGGAATGAGAAATAATTTAAAAACTTATAATCGATATCGTGCATCGGTAGCGTTTGCGTTATTCAAGAAGCCATAAAAAGTACGAGGTAATCGTCGCCGTGGCAAATTACACATCTCCTCCGTTCGTTACTGTTTGCTATGCATCTTTCTTAATCGGAGATGTATTTTTTATCTGCAACGGGAGGCGGAATATGATACACCGACAAGCGCATCGTAAATAAGAACGTTCAAGCCGACGATCCCGCGGCGCAGAATGAAATTCTCGAGCGCAAAGCGAGGTCATGCGAGCGTTAATCGCGGAATACATTAAAACGGGAAACACTGCCGCCATTCGTACCTCAGAGCTGCGTTGTAAGCGTTTCGAGCCTCGGTAACGTGATCCTCCAAGATGCAGACTCTGGCTAAAGCAATGTATGGTAATTCGTTCCTCGTCAACTCGATCGATCTCTTCAAGTGCCTCTTCGCTTCGTACAGTTGATTCAGCTTCGCGTAACATTCGCCTGAAAAATAACACTCCATTATAACACCTAGAGTTTTATGTACATCTTATCAACAAAGTTTCCAATATTTAAAAAATAGCACAAATTAGATTTTTTAATTTTGATCTAAAGCACCTTTAGAAAATATTTCTAACGACGAAGAATGCTGGATTCGAAAAATTAACGAAGTCGTACGGTATATTCGTATAGTTTACTATCAGGTAATTTATACTAACAGTTACGTACTGTTTACCGCGTACCGTATTATGCTAATAAATATAGCGATATAATTTCCGACACCACACGCGCCTAATCTCTACTCCAAACCATTTCCGTAAAATATCTGCTAACTATTTGGCAACAGGAGTCCGAAACAGTGAATAAAACGTTGTACTAACAGTTACATTCTTATTAAAATTTTATAAAATATATCAAATGAATCGTTGTATAATATTGTACCAATCTTCTTGCTAAAATCTACAAGGATCTATTAAAATCCATCGTACGGGGTTGTTAAATAGAGAGGATTAATATTCTTTTATACAAGTACGCCTACACAATATAATATAATAAATTTCACATTTCTTTTATGCGTATTTTTAGCAATTAATAACTCTGTAACGCAATTTCGTCGTTCGTGATTTTTGTCTTACTTTAGTATACAGGGTGTTCGGTCGCTCCTGGGAAAAATTTTAACGGGTGGTTCTAGAGGCCAAAATAAGACAAAAATCAAGAATATCAATTTCTTGATTGCTGCTTCGTTAAAAAGTTATTAAAAAATTAAATTTAAAAATTTCAAATCATTCTGGAAAAATTATTTTCGATTGCGGGGGTCAATTACAATCATTTTTTATGAATAGTCACACCCCCGAAATCCTACCCATTTTCGAGAAAAAAATTCGACTAGGTGTGAAATTTTTCGACAAAATTAAAAAGTTTAAAATCGCTTTAAAAAAATTATTTTTAGTTGCAGAGGTCAATTACAATCATTTTTGGTCAATACACATACCACCAAAATCCTACCCATTTTCGAGAAAAAAATTCGAGTAGGTGTGAAATTTTTCGACAAAATTACAAAATTTCAAATCGTTTTAAAAAAAATATTTTTAGTTGCAGGGGTCAATTACAATCATTTTCGGTGAATACAGATAACCCCGAAATCCTACGTACTTTCGAGAAAAAAATTCTTTACCGAAAATATACTGTGTGGCCGGAAATGTTTCTATAACTTTTTAACGAAGCCTCAATCAACAAATTAATATTCTTGATTTTCGCCTTATTTTGGCCTTTAGAATCCCTCACTAAAATTTTTTCCAGGGGTGGCCGAACACCCTGTATAGTACCATCCCTTAAAGTTTCGGACACCTGTTGCTGAACACGTTGCGTATCTCCATTATTTTACAATATTTCTACAAACGATTTTAGAATTATATTTTCAACGTTATGTTGAAAAAAAATATTGTACATACTCTACACATCACTAAACATATGTACGGAATATCTCGTTAATTCATAAATTCTTAATTCATTTATTTATGAAATCAAAAGCAAAATAATCACCATACTGCAATGGTGACTCACCTATGTTTAGATAAATTTCCCAGTCCGGTACAGTCGATATCTTCTCAGCTTCCGAGTACGCTTCGATCGCGCGTTTGTGACTGCCCATTATCAAACTAGTAAATAGTATTAAATTATCAGGAACAATACAATATCAACAAGTATGAATTTGTTTTACAAAAAACATGGAACCATTTAGTTCATATTAAAACGTTTAAAACGTACATTCTTTTTAATGAATATAAAATGAACAAGTAACCAGCAGTTATTTCGCTACTTTCGTTATTTAAATTTAAAACAGAACATTTTTCTTTTTTGTTATGAAACTATGCCTGGTAAATTCGTTTAAAAAATTGACATAGTTGACATAGTTCTAACAGAGAATAATTAGTAACTTCTGAACCGAAAATAACCCTAAAAACGTAAAATTGCATGCCAAGATCTTTCGAAGGATACTTGTCTACTTTAGAGCGCAGAATATAGCTGTCATAAAATTTTTATTCTCTTAAATTTATAAACGGAGAATATTAAATAGATCTAAAAAATAATAAGCCACTCACAGCGACTTGGCGATTTGCTTGACGTTATTAACATTCGTCGAATTAACATTATACGCCGCCTGGAAGCAGTTCAAGGAATCTTGAATCTTTCCCTCTCTCCTAAGTATCAAACCCTATAAAGATGAAGAAGAACTTCCGTGTTTAAATTTGTTTAAAATGCAATATCAAGCTTGATCTTTTATTTATTTATCTTACTTTCAAGTAATTGGCGTATTCATTGTGTCCATTCGATCTCAACAATTCTTGATCGAGCAGGATTTTACAGGTTTTGTACTCGTGACGAGTATAATGGCGATGCAGCAACCAATTGTTGCACTCTATCGCTGGTATTTCCGGCGCTGTACCGACAATGAAAATCCAGCAACATATTATATTACAGGCGCACGAATATTGTGAACGAATACGTATTTGAATTACGATTCTTAATGCAGAGAGACAAAATCTTTATTACTGGAATTATCTACTTTCTTTCCTTCTCTAATACCTGCGTATACCATGATTAATGTCGTGAAATTGACGATATTAGGGAACACGTCGATTATCGGAACACCGATTATCCGAATCTCGATTACGCGAACGACTGATTATCGGAGTACTATCGAGATTATCGGTGACTATGTAACGAAATATATTTTCGTTCTTAATAAAGTTGGAAAATAATAAAACTAATTGATTCAAGAATTATTAAATTATATATTGATTTAAGAGTCTGAACAGCTAAACTTCAATTCTAACCTCCTGTATGTTAATAAAATTTTTAGAGTTAAGTGTGCATGCCTTTTTATCAATTGTTTTGTTTAACGCGTGTAAACAAAAGAAAAACCACCTTTCTTCCCTGTATCGCTTCTCGACCGTTGCGAAACAGTCGTTTGTTGTTGAATACGACCATTACTAAGAATATTGTTAGCCATTCTTAGGAACACAAAACTAACATTGCACGAATATGTTTCGAACTGTCCGTCGTGCAAACGTTAATCGAGAAATCTAGCGGTGTGTTGTTGCTGTTGTTCGTCATGGCAACCCTCGGTTTAAAGTCCCGTTTACACAGAAGTATCTTAAATAATTACAAGGGTTACCTTTATCTGCAAAAACAACATAGACAAACCTCGTTGCGGTTAATCGTATTCTCTTACTCTTTGATTCAAACGTAAATTGAAGAGAATCTGATATTTGTTACAATCTTTCTGACACTGGCGAACCAAAATGTAACGGTACAAGATTGGATCTTGCTTCGGAAGCATCCGCTTAGAAAATCAATTCAAAGAATTTCTTAGCAGAGACACGAAAGGGAATTAGAAATTAGAAAAGAACGGTGCTTGAATCAAAATCCATGACAAAAGTACACCGTGCAAGACACGTAGCGCCATCGGAGTGATAACAAAAATTACGAGACGTCATCGGCGCATCAACATGGTTACGGGTAGTTGTTCCGACGCGATAACGAGACGGAAATGTTAGTATTATTACAATTAAATTATAGTAGGAAAAGATCGTGAAATAATTATAAATAAATCGAGTGTGAAACCTGTAAATCAACGTTTGAGTACTATCGCCCGCGTAGTCCGATTAAGCAACATGCGATGCTCGTGATTCCATGATACTAAGATGTAAAGAAACTATCAGTGCATGATTAGTCGCCAGTACCGGATAATTGAAGGTTATCGCTAATTGTAAGTCGATTCTCTGTTAAACTTATGTACGAATATCACGCTGAAACGTTGTTATTCACGCTCATTTGCAACTTTTATAGGTTATCTTACGTATGACTACGGTTTCACACACTTGCCGCTTGTCCACCTGTTATCACACACAAACCAATAAACATTTTTTACAGATATATACCCCTTATAATTTTTTATATCACATTATATCGAACAGCGTGAGATATAAATTTGTAGCCGAAAGGAAAACATTAAAGTAGTGAAACCTTGAACATTGTTTTTTTGTCCCCCGTTTTAATCCTTTGCTTCCTGTCTCCTTACTCTTTCTGTTACCTTACTAACACACACTTGAGTGATTTATATGGCAAATATTGTGCAACATGTGTTTCATTTGTCTTATTTACTCTGAAGAACTCTGGCTATTAGAATTGAGCTAAAAGTAAACAAATAGGTATCTGAATTTATATTTGTATCAAAGCACTTTATTTCCATATACTTCTTCAAGAATGTTAAACTGCTATATTAATAATTTTTATTTCAACTTAATGTGTTTTATAACTTAGTTTTTGAATAATAGATACGTATACTTTAAGTCTTATCATTTTGGCATTGTTTTTATTATCAGATTATAGAACAATATAAATTGAATAGTAGCCCATGATTCAATGTAGTACTTTTACTTTGTTTAATTCTATTATTTCATATTGTATGTCAATTTCCAAATAAAAGTTCAATAAGTCCTCGACTATGAAGTTAATGATTTTAAAGCTTTCCACAAAAATTGAATTGTACAAATATGATATATTATATAGAGAGAAAAAGATTATTCCTGAATTAATAAGAATATGATACCACAAATAAAAGAATGTCGATTAATTTTTATTTAATCTTAGGTCTTATGATTATTAACTAAAATGTTCTTTTTCTCTGTAATATATTTGATATACAATCTGAGATTTGAGAATTAGTTAAAGTTAGACAGACCTATATGTATTTTTTTATGGAAAGAACTCATTGTAATTGATTTTTACTGACTATAATATCACTTTTTCAGGAACTAATTACATCATGATGCCATAATTAAAAAAGTAGAAGATATTGGATATATCATGAGCTGCTCTGTAGAATTACGACAGCGCAGACCGCAGGGGATGGCGGAGGATCCTCATAAACTTGCAGCAATGATGAATAAATCGCAAAGGCTTGTTCTGGGACTGTTAGTTTTACTGTTAGTTGATATAATTTGGGTCTCCAGTTCTGAACTAACTAAAGTAAGAATCACATAAAATGCTAATCTAACACGTACAATTATAAAATATAATTCGCATCTAATGATATTTCTTTTACATTTCAGTATATTTATAGAGAAGCAGCATTTGAAAAACCATTTTTTAGCACATATGTAAAAACATCCATGTTTACACTTTACTTGCTCGGTTTATGTTTTTGGCCTCCATGGCGGGACCAATGCAATAAACCAGCAACATACATGGTATATTTCAATGCAAATGATTTTTTTTAAAACATAATTTTTATGTCCTGTTCTTCACTTCCTTTGTTTTTAGTTTATAGATCCCAATGTGGAAGATGATAACTTTTATTCAGAAGCCAATACAAGTTTGGTAAGTGAAAATTATTATACAGTAGTGCCCACTTAAGTGACCACGCTCGGGACCGGCCGCGGTCATTTATGTGGGCATGGTCACTTCTCAGAATTCAACGGAGATAAGGAAAGAGGATCAGTGCAAATGAAATACAATAGCTGGTATCCGAAACCATATATACAATGTATCGATAACGACCGGTGTCAAGTTACGCTCGACACGCTCGATATTCGAAGCCGCTTCTAAGAATTGGTGGGGATAACCGCGGACATTTAAGTGGGCAAAAATGCGGTCACTTATGTGGGCACTACTGTACTTTATGAATTATTCTACTTATTAAAAATCATCGCAAGTTATTATCATTTGGTGTTAACAGTAATAACAATATAAACATGTACCATTATAGAGTGATCCAACATTTGTTCCAATAAAAACACCGGATCACTGTGATCGTTCTTCAGGCACAGAAAGCGATGATTCTTCTATACGTTCTGTAAGATTTAGTAAGTTAGCTGAAGTCCGACATATGTCGGAAAGTGACGCTACAGAAGCGTTATTAGCAAGACTCAGTTATCAAGCGAGTTTAAGAGCCGGAGAACATGCAAGGCGGCAGGCTAATAAGTTTTCTGTTCAAAAAGTTGCAAAGATTGCACTTATGTTTTGTTTACTTGTACGTAACAGTTTAGCATTGCATAACTATCATACATTCGTGAAATTAATACAAATATTTCACGTTGTAGTGGTTTATGGCAAATTATACTTATCAAATATCATTAGCAAAAACTGAAGCAGGAGTTGTAACAGTATTGTCATCAACTTCAAGTTTATTTACATTGTTCCTCGCTGCTGTTTTCCCCAGCAATGGAGGAGATAAATTTACGCTGTCTAAGCTGGTTGCTGTCTCTGTTAGCATTCTCGGACTAGTACGTATAATCTGACATTATAATAAAACGTGTAACGTAAAAAAATGATTTAAACTTTTATACGAACGTTCAATTTATAAATAAAATGAAAAATTTCTTTCGATCTCTAGGTGTTAGTCGGTCTTTCAGATTTAACAATAGAAACTAATAGGATACCTACAGGCATAATATTGGCGCTAGTCAGTGCATTCTTTTATGCAGCTTACATTGTATTCTTAAAACGAAAAGTGGATCATGAAGATAAAATAGATATTCCAATGTTTTTCGGCTTTGTTGGGCTTTTTAACTTGACGCTTTTATGGCCATTATTTTTTATCCTTCATTACGGCCGTTGGGAGGAATTTGAATGGCCAAATACTCATCAGTGGACATTTTTGATTATCAATGGTCTGATTGGTACAGTTCTAAGTGAAGTACTTTGGCTATGGTACGTTTATAAAAACTGATTACTTTGATTCATTTACTCAGCATTTTTTTAACCAACGTACAAGTTATTATTTTGTACTTTTAGGGGTTGTTTTTTAACGTCGTCCCTCATAGCAACTTTGGCAGTTAGTTTAACTATGCCAATGTCGATGATAGCTGATGTGTTATTAAAAAAGGTCGAGTATCCTTGCATTTTCTACTTAGGAACCATTCCAATGCTTTTAGCATTTCTGACTGTGTCTCTTCTGTCCTACTACGATAATTGGGATCCAGTTATGGATTTGATTAAAAGAATTTACATTTGGATTTGTAGAAAAAATAGATCAACAAGGTATTGCAGATTAAAAATATATTATCGCAAGTAAATTTTAATTCAAGTAACGCTATTATAATAAACACGTTATTTTCCATCTTAGAATACCAGATATTGAAGCAGAGCAAACAGAATCGCTTATAGGAATAAATAATGGTGAACACGAAGCTTAACTCGACAATAATGAAGAAACTATGTAATAAATGTGTTTTATGTATGTATATTTCCACACCTAACAACAAATGCTTTGTTTACAAGCATAAAACGTTATCAATGTACTGTGTATATGTCTTCTTGATATAGCTAATCTCCTATGATGAAAGGATACTGTATATATTTTAAACTAAATGATCTGTGCATATTTAATCACAAAGCATTTTCACGATGATTGTGTAAGCAATGTTAAACATAAACTAGAAGTCATACTTTTTCTTTTTACAATGGATACATTACTGTGCTGATTTGCCATAAAAATTAGATTTTACCTTTATGCAGAATACTACAATACTGCCAGACAATAATTGCGCATTGTACGATGTACACATTATTTGAAAACAAAATTGATTATCAAACTTTCGTTCGTGTATATCAAAATGTCAGTATCAGCCTCGTCACGAGTGTGTTATTTTTTTTTAGAAAGTTATAAAGAATTAAATCTACTTGATCGTAATCCTACGGAACATACAGAATTAAGGCTATTGAAAATTATATCTAGCTTTTGTATTTATTGTATATTTTTAAAAAGTTGTATATGAATTGAAGTTAATTCAGATGTTTTATGCAATATAATGTGTAGATTGTGATAAATTCGTTGAAGGCATTAAGTTTCTATCAGTAACGTTGTACTTTTATCCCATTGCATGTATTGCTATTTTGAATAGAGACAAATTATTTGCATATGTAACTTGTAGAAATCTGTAAAACTGTCAGTGACATATACACTCTTTGGTTTCTCGATTTTCTTGGAAAAATCATATATACTTGCATTAAAAAAAGGCTGAGAAACAAAAGGGTACTTACTTTACATCTTGTAATATATATAACATTTAAAATTAATAGTAATTACATTATAATTGTTATTATTATTGCTTTGTTTAAAGTATTATTTTGATAAATTTTTAAAGACTATGTATTGTCATTATTTAAAAATCTCTTTAAAAAAACTGTAAGAACTGTAAAAGAGCTTGATTTATGTTTTGTTATATATTCCAGAAGCACGTAACTTAGTTTAGATTCTGTTGTAAGAATGTCTGTTAATATTATATACTTATATGCCATATTCAAAATGAAGTGTACCCTAAACTTTAGGACAATGTCAGTGAGATGTTTGTGCAATTTTAATGACGTAAGACAGGAACAAGAGAAGATATATTTAGATCTTGGACCAATTTAAAATTCAGTAATACTAACAAATATGGTGGTGAAGAAAAAATTAAATATTGATTGATACGTTTTACGGCATAAAACTTTTATATAAGAGCGTTAAACTACATCATCTTTCTCAAATCTAGTCAAACTAATTGTACTGATACATTCCTTCGTTAAAGTAGTTCTTACATACACCATAATGTCTGTAATTGATATATTTATTCATGAACATACACACACATGTATACTTTATTATATTATTATATGATTTATTGATCAAATATTAATAATTCGGTTTTAACTGACAATGCGCACAATTTTTTTTATAACATTATAATAAAAAGGAAAAATCTTAGACATGTGCTACATGTTTATAATATTTATACTCATTAAAACCTTGCACATATACAATATGTATACACATACACAATAAAAAAGTTACATTTGTTAAGTGAAATTTTATCATGATATTTTGCAAATAAAATAATTAAAAAAATCACTATATAAATATAATAATGTTAGCTTGATATTGTGATATAATTATTATGGTGCGCAAATATATTTCAATTTAGTGTAACATAAATCAAGATATAAGATACTGATGTAGATCATAGTTAACTGTTCCTGCATCTACTACAGTTGTATATTTATTGTACATACAATATTTAAAAATTAAGATTATAATTATATACATATTATATAAATACATGTCATTAATAAAAGAAAATGACTGATTACCGTACTATCTTAGATTTTTTTGTACAGGAGATTATTGATGCTTAGTAAAAAATAAAAAATTTATTTGTTCGAAGAGGTAAATTATTTTAGCTATGCATGGATAGAACATCTGACTTCAGGAAAACAAGAATAGTTCCACTTGAAGTATAAAACTATTACTTTGTGAAACATGAAATTAACGTTAAACCTATACAGTTTTTGTATTTTTTTTAATATTAATAATTTAGATTATTAGTCCGGGAATGATGTTTACAAATGTATTAAAAAAAGATAGAAAGTTTTGAAATGTGTGACTGCTTCAACATGGCATATCAAGATAAAACAGATGCTCTGCAGTTGAATATAAAAGGTACAATTAATTTAACACATTTTTGTTCAATAATAATATAAGGTGCAAATAATGCATATGATTTCAGTAAACAGTGAAAACTTAACACCAATTCCACAAAAATACAATACAGGATCATTGCGGTACGTTTTTAAGATAAATGTCCAAAACTCATGTAAGATTTGTTTTCATTAATCCTAAACAATTTTAGAATACCAGCTGATCCTTCCTGGCCAAAAATACCGCAACGAAAATTAGCTGATGATATTAATAATGGCATTAAACTTTCATGCATAGACACTTTAACTGGAACACCAGAAAAGAGTCACACTATAGTACAAACACCACTAAATCAGTAAGTATTGGTTTTACATTTCCTAAACTTTTACATAAGTTATATCGATAATAAATTTAATATATTTTAAAATTCAGATCTTCTAAATCAACAATAACCAAGGACAGTGCATATTCTTCTTTTAATTGCCAAAGAATTACTTCAAGTATGCACACTTTAAAAAGACTGCCTGGTTACATTGATCCTCGTTTTAAAAAGTATCTTCTTTCTTTTTAACACAAATAAAAAAATCACCAACTTAAAAAGTTAATTATGTATTTTTGAGTAGAGTAACGAATATCAAAAGGAATCAAGTAACATCAATTGATACAGTAGAGAAGAAAGCAAATGGATCTGACCTTACTAGTTTCACAGAATCTTTACACAATGAAGAGATAGCGAAGTCAATACCTGAGCAAGATATTAATTTGTACACATTACTTTTAATAGAAAATAATATATTATATATCATTATTATTTGTATTCAATTATGTTAATACTTGAAATTAATATTTCAATACAGGCAACAAATAAAAATGCAAGAAACAGAAAAGCCTCATGGAACAAGGAGAATGGAGAAGATCAATACAAGACCAGTAAATATAATATATTTGAAACACAAATCTTAAAAACTTAGTCAACAATATTGAATGTAACGATATCTTATATGTTTTAATTTTATAAGGATTTATCATCACAGACTCTACATAATTATGAATTATATGAAAAAAAGAATAACTGCATTCAGAATTCTAAAGGAAACAATAATGTTAATAACAATCAAGAACCAATTTTAGAGCAAAAAAATAGTGCAAATAGTACTACATCAAAATCTCTGGGTAATAATATCGAAGATATTGACAACAATAAAATTAAAGAAATGGATAAATGTGTGAAGAACACAAGTTGTTATAATTACATACCAAAATCAACAATGAATGATGTAGATACACAAGTGAATATAACTCCTTTGCCAGTACAAGTACATATCCTCATGTTATATAATCATAATCTTGTATTAGAAATACAACAATTAACATAATGTATTCCCTTATTATTTTAATATATTTAGGAAAATAATGGACAGTTGTTTTTTGTATTGGACAAAAAACTTCAATCCCATCCTTTAAATGCAATACATGTTGATACAATCCCTTTGCCTCAAGAATATCTAAAACAATGTTATAATCTACAAGTTCCAGTTCTTACTTATCAAAATATACCAATGCAAATACCTACTATAGGAACAAATAATGTTATCCAGCAATGTTCAAGTAATTCAGAACATAGAAAACAATCTGACACTGCATTTATAATGAAAGAAGCAGAACAATGCGTGAATTCTCCTAATACAGAATCTTTGAAACAAATCACACAAGTAACTCTAAATCAAATGCAAAATATCAATAAATCTCTTGGTAATGATAATAATTATCCTGAGAAATATATTTTCAGTTAATTTTAATTTCCATTTGTTTCATATAATATATTATTCTAGATGGTGAAATGAAAATTAATGAAGAGAAAAATATATATGACACTGAAAAGAACAACAGTTTAAAAGTACAAAGTACTATATCTGATAAAAATAGAGAAAACTGTTTAAACCCAAATGACAGTAGTTCAATTACCAAAATCTCAGTGAATGCAAATATACCTGAAAAATTGGAGAGTACACAAACTCAACAGAAACAACAAGAATCTAGTGATTCTGAGTACTATATTCCAAGTACGATTAAAAGAAATATGCACAATAATGTTTTTCAACATTTAAAGGCAAAGAAAACTGTATACAATACCAGTGGTGAAGAAACAACAGATTCTGAATTTATTCCACGAAGAAATATTCAAAAGAAAGAATGTAATGAAGCGAATAGATCCACTGTAAAAACTAACAGGATCAACATAGACAACTATGATCAAGAAAATGTTATATCAAATGAAAATGATAAATATCCTCGATCAAATATAATTATTAGTGATCAAAATCAGCCATATCAGGAAGAGAAAACAGCTCCCCATGAAGTAAAAACTAAAAATAAATCTGAACAAAATCTACCTTGCACAAAAGATGAATGCACTAAGAAGCTTGGCAGAAATTCTGAACCACATATTGCATACAAACAAAAAAAGGCATCAGCAAAATTTTCTAGGAAAGCAAGATCTTATTTTCAAAAAAATTCTCATTCTGCATTGGTAGATTCTGATTATACTTTAGTGTGGCCGAATTGTCAACATAATAAATGTAGTCAAATGACTATTCATAAATTTCATAATCACAAGACAAAAAGGATTGGTCATCATTCTAATGTTAAGTTACCTATACATGAAAAGAATGGAAATACCCAAACTGAAAGTAATTTAAATTTTATTGAGCAAAATCATTTACAACATGATGGGGATATACATTTATGTCATAAAGTGATTAGGAATCTATCAAAATCGGGCTTAAAGAATAATAAGTGCAAGTGTGAAATTTCTCCCAGATCAAATACAATTGATACAATTGAAAGTCCAAAAGGTATTTCTCCTAAAACCCAAGAATTATTAAATAAAAGTTATTGGGAGTATTATAACAAATTAAGACACAAAATAGAAAATACAGACAGCATAGAGCAACAATACCTCTGTCAGCTGGCAATAGATACACAAGAAGGTAAAAAGGAAAATGCAGATGAAACATATGATAAAGAATTACAAAATCCAGAACTGAAAACATTGCAGCAATGCTCAACTCTTTCTAGTATGATTAATAAAGCATTGTAAGTAATATAAAGAATATTACTTGTTCTAAAAAAAGGAAACGTTTATTTCAGCCACTTTCAAAAACAAATAATTGCATTATAATGTTATGATTGTACAGGGATTCAAATCACCAGTCAAATATTGTGGAAACAGACCAATTACATTACAATGAAAATATAAAATCATTGTCAGCCCCCATGGCTGATATTCAAAATACTAATGCAAACAATATGGCTTTAAATTTTACTGATGGTGAACCTATGCATAATATAATGAGATATAAAAGAAATAAAGAGAAAGACAAACAATTTTTGGAACTTAAATCTATTAGTGAGTACCTGGTCTAATTAATGGTTTAAAATTTTTGTTCTTTACTATGTTCCATTAATATATTATACATGATAATTACTTTACATCATTTTTAGTTTTTTTTGGTGGTATGATGTACATTTTAGTAATATTTCTACCAATGTTGTATGAATATTTTTATCATGAAGAATATGATAATTATGAGAATTTGAATTATCTGGAATTTATTGTGGATTATGTATTGTCATCATTTCAAGAAGCATTTGGTGGTATTTTCAATGGTGTAAAACAAATTTTTTTCTATCCAGTAAGATTACAGACAAAGTCATGATATATGTATGTACATTTTCAATGAACCACACTAATCATATTAAATTTTATATAATTTTGTATGATTTCTAGCATGCATGTAAGAAATGCAACAATATTGCATAAATTAATGATGATCTGCATACAGTGTACAAACTTAAAATTATTTTACTATGGTTTATTCTTTGTCTATTAATTCATATTTGTTTTGTATCAGATAAGTATTTTTGTAATTGATTCTGCATGTGTATACTCCCATTTTGTATACATGTGTTTACAATTAAAATTTTATTCAAAGATTCTTTATCATTGGAAATTATTAATTTGGTTGTTATTAGAGAGAAATAAGTTAATTTATGGACAGTATGTTCAGATTAAAGGTCTAGATACGATTATTTATCTAAATATTAAAAATCCAATGAAATGCTTTATGACCTTGGAAATTTCTATAAAGGTCGTATTTAAATTTTTATATACAATCCAATATTTGCTATTACATATTTTATCGCTGAACACTTGCCGCTAATAACTGTCGGAAATTCAACAAGATTGCAGCGGTAGATTTAACATTACGACACCACGACAGATAATGCCAGATTTTTGCCGCCAATTTGCCACCTGTTAGCATATCATCTGTTGCGATGCCGCTTATGAATTCGCTATCAATTTGCTAACTTAATCTGATATAACAGTGTTTCGCATTGAATTTGCTGTTATTTTTTAATTAAGGTTTGGCTAACAAAATATTAATCATATCGTAAGTAATCTTTTTCTCGTAAGTACAACGATGCATCCGAAAAATGCAAACACACTTTTTTTTAAAGGAATTACATGTTACTTATTACTCGTATGAATTTTTCTAAACATTCTGTATAAAAAAACATTAAAGTTCAACGTTTAAACATCAGTATTTTTAATTTTTGCCAAAACGTTAATTTTGTTAAAAGATTCGATCGTTTTATCGCCATATTGTAAGTCAATACTTTATGCAAGTTTGAAAAAGCAATTAATCTACATTGTTCAAACAAAGAGTGACCACATTAGGTAATTCCGTTATGAAAAACGAACACCTTTAATAAATTAACTATATAACTTATATAGTTAGGCTTATAACAAATGTAAGAAAATAAAGTCGTATTCCTTACCAAATTCGAGATATCTAATCCGTCCCAATGATGTGCCGTATCCTGTACACAGATGTAACAAATTTTCAAATTAAATATTTGTTATATTCGATAATTTCCGTAACATATCGGTGTTACACACTTTCGAAACTCTCCACTAGGTGATCTACGAATAACAGTCAATTCTCGCAAGTTCTAAATAGTATCAAATTTTTCAAAAAGTGATATCTTTACATGCCAAATGTCCCGGAGTTTCAAGTAAATCCTATTCTTTTCATACAAATTTTCATTTACATCACAAATTTCACATCTATAAATTTACAGATTACCGTACTTGACCAAAAACTTTGTACTATTTGACCACTTGCGAAAATCAATTGTCGATCGAGGCCCTCTAGTGGTGAATTCTATGCAATGCCATGTCGTCAACGATGGTAGTGCCACCAGTGGAAGAATGGGGAAACGTGACTTACCCGCAGCTATAAAGGCATTGTGCGCATGATGATTTCGGTCATTTCGCCTGGTGATCACAGATCGGGTGTTGACGGGAGACTTCTGTTCGCAACACTAGAGCTGAAAGAACGTGATCAGCTATTTTTTTGTACACTAGTCGCGTTATTAAATACAATTAGGGCAGTATCATAGGAAAAGGGCTCGAATAATCGTTACATCTGACGAATAAGCCATGGCAGACTATGTGATCGGCAGTACAAAACCGGCAGATGTATCGCTACCGGATGACGGACTTTCGGCAACACAATTATTTTCTAACGGCGACGGTCTCACGTATAATGATTTCATCATTTTACCGGGTTACATCGATTTTACCGCCGACGAAGTTGATTTAATTTCACCGTTGACGAAGAGAATATTACTCAAGGCACCACTTGTATCATCTCCCATGGACACAGTTACGGAATCCGACATGGCTATTGCCATGGCCCTTTGCGGCGGAATCGGTATAATACACCATAATTGTACACCCGAATATCAAGCCAGTGAAGTGCATAAGGTATATTGCTTTCGATTCAAATTATCTCCGTTCCTCCGGTAACAACCGCGCAATTTTCGTGCGTTCGCGACGGTTCCGTGAAACACTTCCTCATTTCAATACGCGTGCAATACAAATATAGGTTTTATTATACTTTGCGCGCGATTTTTATTCATTTTCGTAATAAAATACAGTCGTGTAGTAACATTAAAACATAAGGTGTGTGACTAAACAATGATCAAGTGCAAATAGTTAACTTGTCGATAAACAACATCTCATTAGAGAATATGTACTTTGGCAGGAAATTCCTATTTTTTTAATGAATTATTTATTTTAATCTCATTCACGCTTGTATATCTGTACATGCGTATCGGAGAAAATGAGAATCATATTTGTGAATAGTATTCGAATTATTTGAAAAACAAGTTCCCTCTGATAATCGGTTTTTCGGATAATCGATCTAGAGAAACCAAAGTTGTGACTATAATAAAACAGCAGGAAATAAAATAATTTGAAATGTAGTGTTTATTGTATAAAATAACATGATAATCATAATATAAAAAGTAAATTAATAATTCTCGGATATAGCTAATTTTTTTATTTCTATAAAAATAAATATTTTGGTACATTCTCTATCTTTTGTTTGCTAATTTTTCGATCTTTTGGAGGTGATTATTGTCTTGATCACTCAGCTTGTTTCAAAATTCTAATAGTTTTTCTCTAAACTGGAGATAAACAATAAATCAACTATTTGTTATACTTCTTTTTGTCTCACTCATATTACATATAAAATATATAATTTTAATTATGTGTATAAATCTGACACTTGCAAGATATTAATAAAATACTGGAAGCATAGGTAAAATGTATTGCAGGGATCAATAAAATTGTTTACAAATGATAGATACATGTTTCAAAGTAAATAGTGTTAAATAGTCATTAATTGAAATTCAATATACCTGCAATTGATAAAAGATATTTATTTTTGTGTTTTTAGGTAAAGAAATATAAGCATGGATTCATTAGAGACCCAGTGGTTTTGTCACCCAATCATACATTAAGCGATGTATTAAATGTAAAGGCTGAGCATGGTTTCTGTGGTGTCCCTATCACAGACACAGGAAAAGTTGGGGGTAAATTATTAGGTATTGTTACATCCAGAGATATTGACTTTATGGACTGTTCAGTAAATCAACAGCATACAAAGTTGGAATCAATAATGACAAAATTAGATAGTTTAATCACAGCAACTGCTGGTGTAACATTGCAAGAAGCCAATACAATTCTCGAAAATTCTAAGAAAGGAAAACTTCCTATTGTTAATGATAAAGGAGAATTAGTGTCTTTAATGGCAAGAACAGATTTGAAAAAAAATCGTAGCTATCCAAGTGCCAGCAAAGATGATAATAAACAGTTGTTAGTCGGTGCAGCTATTGGCACACGTAATGTAGATAAGCAAAGACTGCAACTTCTTGCTGCAGCTGGTGTTGATGTTATTGTACTGGACTCGTCTCAGGGCAACTCTAAATATCAAGTTGATATAATCAAATACATTAAAGCAGAATATCCAGAATTAGAAGTAATTGCAGGAAATGTTGTAACAACTTTGCAAGCTAAAAATCTTATAGAAGCTGGTGCTGATGCTTTGCGCGTTGGAATGGGCTCTGGCTCTATTTGTATTACTCAAGAAGTGATGGCTGTGGGAAGACCCCAAGCAACCGCTGTGTATAAAGTTTCAGAATATGCAAAACGATTTGGTGTGCCTGTGATAGCCGATGGTGGTATTCAGTCCATTGGACATATTATTAAAGCTTTGAGTTTGGGTGCCAGTACGGTCATGATGGGATCTTTGTTGGCTGGCACTTCAGAAGCACCGGGCGAGTATTTTTTTAGCGACGGTGTACGCCTTAAGAAGTACAGAGGGATGGGTTCTTTGGAAGCCATGAATAGGAAAGATGCACAAGGTTCTGCAATGGATCGATACTTTCATAATGAAATGGACAAACTGAAAGTAGCTCAAGGTGTCAGTGGTTCGATAGTTGACAAAGGAACTGTATTAAAATTTTTACCATATTTGCAATGTGGTATTAAACATGGGTGTCAAGATATTGGAGCTAGATCTATTTCTGCTTTGAGATCCATGATGTACAGTGGAGAACTCAAATTTGAAAGAAGAACATATTCAGCCCAACAAGAAGGAAATGTTCATAGTCTTTTCTCATATGAAAAAAGACTTTATTAATTAGGTAAATATTAAATGAACGTCTCGTAAAATAGTACCTGCATTTAATTGCATATGACTTGTCAATTTTAACAATTTATGTACCGAATTGTATGAAGTTGTCTTCATCCTTAAAAGAAAGCATGCGACTCACGATATTACTTTATGAATACAACTGAAGTGATTTTTTAACAACAGACAAGTGAAATTTATTTCACGATTATCATGTATAACAAATCTAATTTTAAACTTCAACTTTTACTATATACAAATTATTTTATATGTACAGTCAGTTCTCAAGTTACACGGATTCATATATATGCCGTTGTGCCTGCACTTATGTCTCTATATGTATTTTGTACGTATTTATATGTAAATTAAATAAAATTTTCTTATTTTCAGTTTTATTTCTTATAAAAGAGTACATATAGATTTGTAATCATTAACTTTTGAAATTAAGTTCAAATAGCAAGTGTATTATAGAGAGAAAGAAAATTAGTCCTAGCAAGAATTGTGAGTTGTCTTAGATAACATTGCAAGACCTGCAACAAAGTAAATATTAATTAACACTAGTCACATTAATTTTACTTGTGGTATCGCGTCTTTCTTTTTCCCTGCAATACATCGCATTTATATAATTCGACTTATGCGGAAAGCTTTGAAACGAATTAATTACATAAGTAGGAGATTTACTGTATGTACTTACAAAATTTTTTTAGAAACGTAAATATGTGTTTGATACATATACATGCATAAAACATTATGTAAATTAATTTAAACATATCTACCTTTAACAAAATATTGAATTCTATGATAAAATTCCTGCAATACTACGATTTATTGCCGAATGTATCTATGTACATATATATCATTCTTTAGGTAGATCAATTGACATAATAATAACATGATACTATAGCTATAACTGATTCACGAAACAAATTATAATTGTATGTTATTACAACATTTTCTTTTTGCTGCATTCAGTATATCTGATTTCTATTGCTAAAATGTATAATGTTTAAGATTTCTTGAAAATCATCAAAATATCCACCGAAATCTCAAAGAAAGTATTAAATTATAGAAAGTTATCCTTGAATATATATAATGCAGCAAGAAAAAGATAACACTAGCATAAAATAAGTTTAATAACAAAATGCCAAACTGTGGGATCATTAAAAGATAGAAAATTAATCAGCATAATTAGTTGTCAGCTGATTGCTCATTCCTATTAGAGCGTGATAGAAACAAAAATAATTTACTAGACTTCTATGTTATTTTGTCATGTATTTTAATGTAATTTATCAAAATATATTTTTATGATCCTGGTTTAATATAAACTATCTCATGAGATAAAAGACTTAGTCGAGTTATTGAAACTAAGTCAAAAATTTTTGTAATCTTGGCTCTACAAAATTACAAAAAAATATTGCGCCATTCTATTATCTCCAGCTCACAAATTTTATACACATGTTACAATAAATTATATATTTGAAATAAACCTGTAGCCGATGTTGAAAGTATTTGTTGTATTGCATCATTATAATTACGTTACACGCCATACAAAAGTTTACCTTGAATAAAGTGTTAGAACAATTTGTATTACGTATTCTTAGAGTCGTAATAAGACTGTCGTATAGGCGGATCAAATGTCGCGCTCTTTTCAAATATAACCTAAAAGTTATTCACCGACCGATCCAAGAATAGTGAAGTACACAAAGAGTGTATGAAATTTGGAACAATGACTTTGTGTAATATTCAATGCCTAGAAAGGATTTCAAATTATTTGGATGTTTCGCCAGTGCACCTGGAAATGAACGAAAATGTAAAAAACAAATTTCTGTGAGAATAAATCATGTTTGAGATGATATGTAATTGACATGTGTGTTTTTTGTATCATTTCTTCAGGTAATCATTAGTACGGAACAAACAACGAATCAAAAAATCGAGGGCTTTAGCACCATAATTCAATCGTTAATTAAGAATTCAAAGTGCTCTGATATACTTGGTAGTAATAAAGAAACAGAAGCCTTGACACGCCAATGGCTCGAATATACCGTCGTTTGTGTCAATTATGCTGATATACCTTCTAACGGGAAAAGAGTTTTGCAGGTAATTTTAATCTATTTATATAACTATATGGTAAAAAGTAAGTTACATAAATGGTATTATAGTAAGTGTATATTGTGTCAGTTAACTAAGTAGTATATTCTTGTAGGAATTAAATACTGCACTGAAAGACAACACATATTTAACTGGCACAAAGAAAACCATTGCTGACATCACACTGTATTATGCTCTTCACTCAATAATGGTAATAAAAACGAACACAGTATAATAAGTGGAGCAGAGGAATCCTTAGTACATTCCATGGATCAATCTAATCTTTTTGACCTGTTTTTTGTTGCAGCGACAATTAACTTACCAAGAAAAAGCTCAATATGTACATGTATCAAGATGGTTTGATAATATGCAACAAGAAAAGAAATTAAGGCAACAATTAGATTTGGTTTCCTTTGATCTGATGCATTTATTTTTATGAATCAAATAAATTTACAATAATGATTCAACAGCTGTTGAATATCTTGCATATTTTAGTTGTGCAATAAATTCGCCTAATTTGTTATAAAAAGAATAACGAATCTCAATTCTTTTTTCTTTTTATTAATTCAAAAGTATTTTATGAAGCTTCTTGCTATTTTAACATGTTATGTTATAATTGCAATCAAACTTTAGTTACAGAAAACGCTCAAAGTGACGACCATGTATAATACATCATAACAGTTTCGAAATCGATCATGTAACGATTGTCTTACATTCCGTAATGCAGTAAAGGATATTTTAATTCCTATATACGCTAGCAACTTTTTAAAGTATTCCACATTCCAGCTGTTGTCGCATTTCTGAAATTTGTTACGTTCCTATACCACGTATACCTCGTCTGTCCTATACATTTGCTAACATTACCGATTTTGGTAGTTGAGTGTATTTCCCCGAACAACCGTTTTTTCAACGAACTGACTTTTTACTTCAGTTCGTGCGACACTAAATCTCATGAAATTAAATGTCAATAAAAAACATTGTTTATAATATTTATCCTATACTTCGGTTGTGGCTAAACTTTTAGCAGTTTATCAACAATCGAAAAGACGCGTTCAAAAAGAATGGTCGGCAATCGTTAATCGATCATGTCCTTACAGTTCTCGAAACAGTCGACAGATGATGCTCGACAGCCGCTTTATACCATAAAGAACCAAAGATGTCCGTCACGTATGATTCCAGTCCAAGATCTGTGTAGTCCTTGGGCCGACGCGACTAGGATAGCGATTTTCTTTTCGTTATGAGAGATGTTTGAGTGGATTTCACGGTCGCCTGTGCGCGCGTTCACAACGAAAAATGCGGATTTTTCGCGGCCACCGCATATAGCAACGCGTGCGCATTCAGAATATTCGCGTATCGAGAAATTATAGTCGTCGCCTAATAGTTACGGCCTAATCGCACCAGTTTCTCGGCGATATTTCCGTTGAAGTTCTGTCGCTGTCACTTCTCAAGGCGTTGCACAATATACGACGTTGCGATGGCCGATGACACGAGTGTACGCGTTGCTGTACGGTAAGTACGGCGGATATATAAAATAAAGAATCGTTAAAATGATTTTGAAGGACCGTAGACGGTCTTCCGTCGGTTATACTTCATTGCCGCAAACTAAAACTTCTTACGCGGTGACAGCTTTTAACGCTGGCAATACACGATTAATAATAATCTAAAGATTCCCGCGTAACAACGTTCGAATTCAAAGCGTCGAAGTTCAGTTTTTAACAGTACCATTATTTTTTGGAAATTTCCCCATGATTTACATACACTATGTATACACGAGGACACGTTTGTTCGGTGTATCTTATCTAATGTCTTGTTTTTCTGATTCTAAAAACTGTTATTGCAAGCTCAATGATTGGAATTGCGAAATGTATCGGCTCGTGTTACACTTTCACGATTTTAGAAAATTCCATTATGTGGGCCGTTTCGTATTTCGAAAGGATCGTGGAATTCTTTCGACGATTATAGAAAACAATTACACAGGTTGCAAATTGTATCTGTTAGAAAATTATTTAAAACGATGATGGCACACTATAATTTCGAAATATCAAAATTGAATTATCTGTTTAATTCTTCATATTTTTTGTTTAAAAAGTAAACGGTATTAAAGTACCTTTATTTTTTCGTTCGATTTCTAGTTGCACGGGTTTTATGTAGGTACATACTCGCATTTTAATGTTTAATATTGATTTCAGTATCGAGTTATTTCGCTGTTACAATGTCATCGGTACGTTTTTTCTACGCAGTACCGCGTTGCAAATTTTAATCACATAATATCTCCTTTTAAAGAGTCAAGTGCGTAGGTTTTATTACTGGTTGTATAACGAACGCATATCTCGATATCCGATGAATGAATTTTTTATCTCCCACCGCATTCCCTTTGTTTTCATATAATCTATTAAATTTACGTTTGTTTATGTTTCTTTTGTATATGTTTATTCTTGGTTTTGTTTATCTTTATCGTATTCTCGATCTTTTCAACGTTTCGCTTACACGCGCGTGTTTTCCATGAATGACACGAGAAAACAGCTGATACCCATGATACTGCCAACTCTTGTAATACTTTCGACGTAACAATGATATAATACGCTTGCACATAGGTATACCGATCGATCGTACTTCGTGCATAGTAAATAACAACGGATCGAATTTACAGAAATGTTTATTCTTTCAATCGATGAAAATATTATGTTTAAAAAATACAGTATAATTTAATAATTATAATATATATTAATTACACCGTAGCATATAAAATTAATAACATTGGAGAAATAAATTTTCAAAAAAATATTTGAAAAATTTTAATTATAAATATTTTGTTTTTAAAACCTTTTAGTTGCAATTGTTATAATTCTTCATTGTTAATTGCAGAATAAGGCCTCAAGTTGCACGTGAAGTAATCGACATGTGTAGAATTTGTACCCAAGTACCTCCAGGAGAACCCCAGGTCTTTCTTGGACCAGATAAGGCCTTCACTTATGATTACGTTTTTGATACTGCTATTGGACAATGCACAATTTATGACACGTGTGTTGCACATTTGGTGGAAGGAGCTCTAGATGGATACAATGCAACTGTACTTGCCTATGGTCAGACTGGTTCTGGCAAAACTTACACTATGGGTACCGGTTTTGATGTGGAAGTTGATGAAACTGTAATTGGAATCATTCCTAGAGCTATCATGCACCTTTTCAATGGAATTGCAGAGAAACAGCAACATGCTAGAGAACGTGCACAAATGCCTCCAGAATTTAAAGTGTGTAACATTTGATAAAAGATTTAATTTGAATAATATTAAATGCTTTTGTTGTTTGTACTCAAACACTATATAAACTATATTTTGTTCATCTTTGCTCTCAGGAATCTAATATTTCTATTACTGCTTGCTATCTGCATTTACCTTATCTGTGTATTATGTTACCTTAGTAAGATAAACTATTCTATATGAATGTGAAATTTAATATTTCATGAGATAAAATGTATCTTAGATGCAAAGTTAACTTTATAATTTGCATATATATATATATCATAACAGGTCACTGCACAATTTTTGGAACTGTATAACGAGGATTTGAAGGATCTATTGGAACCAGGTGGACCAAGAGGTGGTGCTCGTATTCACGAAGATACCGCGGGCAACATCCATTTAGCTGGCGTCGAACCACGAATCGTAGTTAGTCCGGAACAAGCGTTAGAATATTTACGATTAGGAGCACTGTCGCGCACAACTGGATCCACCCAAATGAATACTCAGTCGTCGAGATCACACGCGATATTCACATTGTACATAAGACAGCAAAAATGCATAAAAGTTGAAGATCCAGATGCTGATATTGATACAAGTGGCACAGAACCGGCGAGCGAATTTGAAACTTTAACTGCTAAATTCCATTTTGTGGATCTAGCTGGTTCAGAAAGATTAAAGAGAACTGGCGCTACAGGAGATAGAGCAAAAGAAGGAATATCTATAAATTGTGGATTGGTAAGATTTTAATTGTCCCATAAGTAAATTGCAAAAATAGTAACTAGCATTAAAGTATTCATTTTTTCGCGTTTATAGTTGGCCTTAGGTAATGTAATTTCAGCGCTTGGTGACAAAACAAAGAAAGCTTTACATGTTCCATATAGAGATTCAAAATTGACTAGGCTACTTCAAGACTCACTGGGAGGTAATGTAGTACTATATTCTTGAAAATGAGACATGTAATTACCAATCGTGGTTTCAATTATTTTTCAAGCACATATTCTGTTATATTTAATTAACTTTTCTAGGAAATAGTCAGACTGTTATGATAGCCTGTGTATCACCAAGTGATAGAGACTTTATGGAAACTCTAAGTACTCTAAAGTATGCAAACAGAGCAAGAAATATAAAGAACAAAGTTACAATTAACCAGGACAAGAGTTCAAGGACAATAGCTTCTCTTCGAAGAGAGATACAACAACTTCAGTTAGAATTAATGGAATATAGACAAGGTGAATAGATGGAATATAAATTAACATGGAAAATTGGTTATTGTGGTTCGTAGAGTTTGCATAAAACAATTAATTCAATTTACTATTTGTTACTTTAGGCAAGAGAGTTGTTGGCGAAGATGGGGTAAACGATGCTTGGCACGAGAATCAGATGTTAAATAGTGAATTGCAAAGTCTTCGTACTAGAGTTAAAGCTCTTTCAGAAACAGTTGAAGCATTGACAGCAAAAAATGTTCTTCTGCTGGCAGAAAAAGCTGCTGGTCAGTGGATGTCATCAACTGGTGGAAATGGCGAAGTAACGAGTTTAGTACAAGGATACGTTCAAGAGATAGAGGAACTAAGGGCTCGTCTTTTAGAGGCTGAGGCTATGTATCAGCAGCTTAAGAAACGACAGATGCAGGTATATGGAAATTCATAGACTGAAGTTTATCGTTGACGTAAAATAAACTCATTGTAATTTTAACTTACACAGGTTAATGCAGCAAATCCTTATGGTGACTCTGGATATATATTTCAGAGTGATTCTACATCAGTATTAAATGATGCCAAAAAAGAATTACAGAAGGAAATGGACGCATTAACTGCATTGAAGGAGCAACAAGCATATGGTACAAATACTGCCAGCAAAACCGGAGACGAAGGAGAAGGCGATGATACAGAAGTTGGCCAAGACACTGCAAGTGAAGATGATTCGGATGATGATTCTGATAGAAAAGGTAATTTTCAATTGGGGATGAGTAAGAAGTGTGGCGTCACCTCCCATGCTCGCCGCTAGAGGGCGAGCACTCTCACAAGTTCGACCAACCCCTCCGTTGCTATATATACACTCCTCGACCAACTTCCCAATGTTCAGTCCTCTAAGGCAGGGCCTGCTAGAAAGCCTTAGTGATGAGTCCACTAAGCAGGCCCCGGACGAAACACTTTCCCTCTCCTTTCCTTTTCTTTCTACCCTCCTACGATTTTTCTCGAGATCCTGCCACCAGAAGTATATTTAATGAATGATAGTTGCTGTGTGTTATATTCTTGACTTTAGAGTCATTTTGGCGTCTAGAATCACCCTTTAGATATACCTGTCCTTGTCTTCAATATCTATTAACAAAGGAGTATTTGCGATACTTAAAAGTGGACTATATTAGTATAATTATCACGTGTAATCTTTTATAGAAGAAGACGAAGAAGAAGCAGCTATGGGTCGAGAATTAGAAGCTTTAACGTCAGACATTGATGTAAAACAACGATTAATACAGGAGCTAGAATTTTCTCAGCGACGATTACAAACTATGAAACAGCACTACGAGGATAAACTTGCTCAATTGCAAGCTCGCATTAAGGACACCCAGGAAGAAAGGGACAAAGTATTGCATTCTTTGCAACAGCAGCCGACACCGCCGACAGAAAAAGTGAAGAAGCTGCGCGATGAATACGAGAAGAAACTTTCTGCTATGCAAAAAGAAATGCGACTTTTGCAGTCCGCGAAAAAAGAACACGCAAGATTGCTCAAGAATCAATCGCAGAATGAGAACAGATTAAGAGGACTTCGGAACGAACTGGCAGAGATGAAAAGAGCAAAGGTGAAGCTTTTGAATAAAATGCGAGAGGAAGCTCAGAGACACAAAGAAAACGAACTAAGACGCAACAGGGAGATAGCACAATTACGTAAGGAAAGTAGAAAAAATGCGAACATGATCAGAACGTTGGAGGCTGATAAAAGGATGAAAGAAGTAGTCCTTAGGCGCAAACAGGAAGAGGTTACAGCGCTAAGAAAACGTGACAGAGGCCTAAGTCAAAAAGTTGCGGGTAGAGCGCCGCCTAAATCGGCAAATCCAAAAGCATTGAAACAACGATGGCACACATTTGAAAGGACTATTGCGAAACAGGCATTGGCCAAGCAAGCAGCTGCGGAAACGGAGAGAGAAATGGAAAGACTTCTTCAAGAACGTGAGGAATTAGGCAGAGAACTCGAGAAGCTTCAAAAACACAGGAACGCTGTAACAAATTCGAGGGGAGATACGACTGATGTCGATGAAGAAATTGATAATGTGAAAAGCAAAATTAGTTATTTACAGGTATGTCTTTTTTCTTACGTTAACCAAGTGTTCCTCAATCTATGGTTCGCGGATATATTTCCGATGTGTTTTTTCAAATTCTTTTCTACAGGATAGCATTGCCGAATGTCAACGCGATATGGTTGAAATGGGCGACGGAGATGCAGAGGGTGAACCAGGTGTTGAAGCTCTGGTATCAACAATTCGAACTGTGGACGAAGCTCAGTACTTGTTGCAAAGAATGTTGGCATTTACCGTGGAACAGAGCTGCGTAGCCGCTCAAAAGCAAATCGAAGTTAGGGATATGGAATCTCGGTTGAACCAAGTGGCACAAGAAAGCGACGTACAGCATCAATTACTAGAGCACGTATTACGAGACAGGGATCTCTTGTCTCTTACAAACAATCATCACAATACATTGAATTATAGTCCTCCAAGTTCGAGGAGCTCATCGCCAGACAAGTAAGTCGACTAACATTTTTCTTTTTCGATGTAAAATATGTTTTATGTTAATTTTCTGTTTAACTTGAAATATTAGTGAAACTTATAGCCAAGTTATAATTGGAGAGGAAAGACAGCGTAATAATAAAGTAAGGCGAAGAACAACGCAACCTCAGGAACTTCTTTACGGGGTACAACCCAATTCAGATAATTTAAAGACAGAGGAGCAAGGACAAAATCATAACCATCCACTTACAAGGGTACCCAGCGCGCCAGGTAGTTTAAAGTACGTGTCAATTTTTAAGGAATGTGTATATATAATACTTACTATATGTTTTAAATAAAGATAATATTCTATTCGACTATTCTGAATAAACGTATGCTTGTTAGGGGATTGGTATTGACGAGAAGTCAATATGGTAATATAAGCGGTGGATCTCCGACCTTAAGTCGACGCGATAGCACATCACCAAGGCCACTGCGACGACCACTGCATCCTGGTGGAGGCTCCATGTGAGTGATAATCCTACAGCACATCCTTATTTTTATATTCTTTCTGTATCTTTGTCTTGATGCTCTATTCTATGCACTATTGGCTAGATTTTTTTCTTGAGAAAAAGATCTGCATCATTTCAAACAAGTCCATTAATTGGTGCCTTCGTCAAAAATAATCTCTCGAATCACAGCCAAAAAGAGGTAAATTAGCGTGATACAAATTTTCTATCGCAAACACTACAATACAAAGAATCTATTGTTGATGCTTCAGAAGATAATAAGAAAATTAATATATCTTTTTATTTAATGAAATTACGCAAAGAAAACATAAGCCATTAGGTTTTGTTTAAGTTAACGAATTGTTAAGATTACTAACTTACACGAACTGTTACATTAGGAAGGAAGATATAATATGTATAAAGTTGTTTGTCGCGTTTAAAATCTAATTCAAAATTTTTTAATTTTCGGGCAAGTTGCTGATAATAACACATTCTATACAATTATTATTACAGGTATTTCGATAAGCTTGTTTTAACATAGTACAACTTATATAATGTATTATATTTATATATATTTCGATGCCTTTGCAATATAAATATGTATAAACGATACGAAAATTTCTATTTGTACGAAACATGTCGCTTTGTGCAAAGACCATAAATTTGTATATATGTAAGCAGTTACTTTGTATACATGTCAGTTAATAAATAAAAGCACAAACATTAAACGTGCACTGTCCTATGACAATACTTCTGGGAAGGTCCTTCAGTGGATCATTGTTTTTCTATAAAAATTATTTTATTACCTTATATAATATAGTGTAACATGCCTTTTTACAATTAATTGTTTCGTGTATCAGTTACTAAATTGTTTAATTTTTGAATATTAACATTCAATGCTCTTTTATATTAATGTATTAATTGCAATATACTTGAAGCAGAAAACATGTTTGCATATACGTATAAAAAATTTAATGTTACAAAAATTAATATACTTACAATTGAACAGTGTTGTTACTAATGAAATTTATATCAATTGTAACTCTGTTTCGCAATGCACTTGCATGATCCATGGTTGTGTCTGAAACCAACATAACTTAGCCTGGATTAGGACTGACAAGAACCCGGCTAACTAACACGCTAACATAACAAACCTCAACTAGGGAACAGGTAGCACATACAGATGTGTCATCGCCTCCTGGATCGCCAACCACGTATCGACGTTTCAACAGTCGAGAAGAAAACGTTTTCTCCAGGTTGACTGCGAGTAGGCAACCAGCGTCAACAGATCCTCAGCCTATGAAAGGAATCATTTCTCAATATCAAGGCAAGGTAAAAGTAATGCGAACCAAGAAATATGTTGGATGCTTACAACACGCGTAACACATTTCAGACGCCACCAAGAGCCGTTTTGCAATGTTCTCACGTAGCAGAGGGTCACAGTAAAGCCGTTCTGACTATATGTGCGACTGCAGACTTACTGTTCAGTGGTTCAAAAGGTACAAATCGTAAAATAATCAATATTAATACTTGAACGCGAATCCCGGCTTTGAACTAGTTACACAGGTCGATTGTTTCGTTATGTAGGAGGTCTTTCAAAGATCGAGAGAGGTTATTTATTTTTTTATGCAAATTTGAGACCTCTGTAAGCGTAAGGTCCGGGGCCAAATGGTCCGACTGGTCTATCCTGTGATAGGGCTTGATTGCATGCAATATTTTTTTAGATCGAACTGTGAAAGTATGGGATCTAAGAACAGGAATTGAAAATCTTACGTTAAGCGGCCATCCCAATAACGTAGTAGCAGTGAAATACTCGCAAGTGCAGAATTTATTGTTCAGCGTTTCTGCAGCCTACGTAAAGGTTTGGGACTTGAGAATAGGCAATAGTTGCGTGAAAACTTTATTCTCATCTGGGCAGGCCCAAAGCGGACCAATTGCGTTATCGACTCCGTCTAGGATGCTTCAAGTTCCTGTCGGCGAGACAACTATCAACGATCTAGTACTGAGCATGGACGAGCAAGAGTTATACACTGCGTCCAGCGATAAAGTCAGAGTATGGGATCTTCGCAAGTTGACGTACATTGGAAAATTAAGCACACCGCATACAGCAGCGGTAATGTGCCTGGCTGTCGCAGATGATGGTAGAGTAATAGCAGGCAGCAAAGATCATTTGATATCGCTCGTCGAACCAAACACATCAGGACAGTCCGTCAGTTTAGCGCCGCCCCATTACGATGGAGTTCAATGTTTAACTACTTGTGATTCGACATTATTTTCTGGTAAATATTACCCAGATCAAATTTTTATCTTTGATTACAAACTATTGATTAGTTCTGCAATATTCCAAATATCATTAGGTTTTTATTTGTGAGACAGTGTAATTTCTTTAGAAAAGAATTTTACAGTTTAAGTTGTTTATATTATAGGCTCAAGAGACATGTGCATCAAAAGATGGGACCTGAGTAAGATGGAATTAGTCCAGTCGCTGAATAATGCACATAAGGATTGGATTTTGGGTTTGTGCATGATCAATAGTGGATCCGTTATGGTGTCTGGATGTCGAGGAGGAGTTTTGAAAGCATGGTCTGTACCAAAGGAACAAGGAGGGGAATGTGCTCCAATAGGAGAAGTTCGAGCACATGGCTCCGCAATTAATGCTGTAATAACTAATCAACAGCATGTTTTTACCGCGAGCAAGTAAGTATATTTCTTTATATTATTATTTATGAACTGATCCAAAGCATACTTGAACTTTCATAACTTGAAAATATGTAAATATTCCCTGATACCGAACATTTGATTACGTGTGCTTGGGTTCAGTGTTTGTAATTATTTTCTTGGATAGAATAACATCTTGAATGTTGATTGCAGCTCTGGAGAGGTGAAGCTGTGGCGTATCCCCGATTCCTCATTATCCATGTCTATTTCCACAGTATCCCTTTAACTTATTTTTCTATATTGCTGCTTATTATTGTTTTGCATTTATAGGTTGTTGATGTGGTAATGCGCATGCTTGTCGAAACACACTTTGTTGTTATCGAAAAGTGTGTGGACATGTCTATCATAAAAACCTGCCATAATTGTAATGGGAAATGTTTTAAACTATTTAATCGATAAATGTTGGTGAAAACGGTCAACATTATTTCGATTACTCGACCTTTTCTCTATTCGATATCCAGCTTTCCGATCTAAGCAACTTTTGTAGATTCGAAAATTTGTTTAAAAACTATATTTATACATTTAACTATTCCTAATATCTTACTTGCAAAATTGTCCTCTAATATAATGGAGAAGGCAATATAAGCCACGAAATAATAAGTAACTTTTGTCCTGTTACTTATGCTTTAAATATTATACAACATGCGATTACTAAACTTACGCGGGCATAATAACAACGATCGAAAATGTACTTTTTATTTCTGTAATTTTATGTTGAATGTATACATTTTTTTATAGTTCAAAAATTAATCCATTTTTAATTTTAACTTTTTCCATTATCATTTTTGTTTACTAATATAACATACTAGATTAGTATGCAGATTTCTTTTTAAAATAGCATCAGTCCTAGACTTTTATGACAATATCTACTTTTCCTACTCAACTGTTGTTCATTTCTACCAAAGCTGTGTGTATGAAATATTGCTTTTTGAAAGTACTCGCGTGATTTTGTAGTAAAATTTGGCCAGTAATAGTGTGATTGCAATCGTAACTGTATTGTATGTAAAAAAATTTATGTTTATTCGAATGAATTTATAGTAGGAAATAATATTGTTGCGATAATCATAAATTTGTGTCTGGTGAATATGAAGATTTAATTTAACTTTTTTTTATTACTTTGCTTCTATGTTGTTTACACTCCAATTTGGTGCTTTGCATGGTCACCGTATCGACGTGAAGTGACGGAACAGTGAGGCTATGGAGCTACTATAAGAGAGATGCAAGAACTTTCCAGAGAAGCAACTCATTGAAAAGTTAATATATGCACCTATTGAAATATTGTATTTATTTCGTAACTATAATTTTTTTATTTATTTATTAGTTTGTATTAATTTATGACACAACAGAAGATTAATACCAGAACTTGTAATGATAATGCACCTGACTTATTGCTTGTTGGGATATGTTTATATTTTATGTTCCTGAATGTAAATGGATGTGTTGTTTTTGCCTTTAAATTTCAATTGCGCCATTACTGCCTTTGTGCTAATAGGCATTTGAACACGAATAGAATTTATAAGTAATACATTTTAAACAATAAACAGAACTCTTTTCTATATTATATAGAAATATTATAGTCCAAACATATAATGTTACAAAATTAATTCAGAAAAAATTGAGTGCATTATCGTGAGACCCCTAGGTGTAGGATTTAAACAAAGTTACTTAATAAGAATAACTTTGGTATTATCTAGCATTTATTTTATTATGAACATGAAGGTGGTAATAATTATATTTACTCTTAGTACAAACAATAATTGTTGATTAATACTGTACAGTCTGAGGTCTCTGTAGGTCCCAAATGCTTGATATTGTCAGGGTTGGCTGTTATTTAGTTTTCTTCTAAAAATTTAAAAACAGTATTATGTCTAATTATGTTCATAATTATAAAAAAATAAATGGACTAATAATATTAAATATAGTCTTTTTTCAATAAGTTACTTTTATTTAAAATGCGTAATACGTATAACGCAAGTATAAAATATGTATAATACCTCTTCTTCTTTTTGTGCGCCGTCAATGATTCTTGACCACTATCGTCTGCGCTTTCGTCTTCTGATTGGCTACTACTACTACTGCTCGAAGAGCTACTTGACGAACCACTAGAAGAATCACTGGCAACGCCTGTATCTTCTTTTACGTCTATTGTTTCAGCTAGTGCTGCCAGTTCTGGTTCTTTATCCCTGAGTACTTTTAACCATTTACGTGATAATTTCGGCCTTCCTCGTACCTACAAGAAAATTATTAAAATGCGTTTAAAATTTACGAACTATAGACGCCATAAATCTCTGCGAAATATTCATTAATATGTTTCATTAAGCTCGGATTTTATCGTATAAATTCTTACCGTTTTATGCCAAACTACTGGAAAATTAGTACGTGAACAAAAATTTTGTGTGACTGCTATAGTTTCGTCAAGGTTTAAAACAACATGCCACCAACCACCAGGAACAAAGACAGTTTCACCAGGATTTTGCAAAATCTCTATTGGCAAACAATCTTGTGGCCAGGTAGGTAATTTTGTGCGAGGATATATCATGGAAAACCATGTGATAGCTTCATCCCTTTGTTTGCCACCTTCTGCTGCAGATACCTTAAGAAGTTCTCGAGGTGTGTGAGTAGGAAATAGACACCATCGTTTGTGTCCAGATATCAAAGCATTCCAGGCACTGGTCCCTAATGGATCTATATGTATACCTGTACCTGCATATACAGTAATTATTTATAACATATTTTAATATGATTTTTTTTAAACAACCATTTATTAAAAATAAATTCTTAAATATAACAGAAGAACTCACCAGACCTAGCAGGTCCCATAACAAACCAGCGATATGGTGGTCTTCGATGCTCACCGGCAAATTGAAAAAGGTCGTCGCGGAAATATTTCGGAATAACATAATCCTCTAATAACTTCTTTCGTCTAGGATGTTCACCAAAGGAACTATCAAAGATGTATAAAGGCGAATCGTCGTCATTATTCAGCATATAACGTACATAGTACTTCATCTTCATTTTAACACTATATCCTTCATTGTCTTCTCCGCATTTAAATTTTTGATTCCTGTACTTCTTTACTAACCTCTGTGGTTCAATAGAAAATTATTATCAAAACTACATGAACAATGTGTCTTGTGTTTTAATAATATAAGATGTGCTTTACTAATTATGAACCTCTATAGTCCACTTGTATTGGGCTTTCCAGCTATTTTGAACACCTTGTATTATCACAGGCTTGTAGGGTTTCTCATACTTCTCTATAAATCCTTCTGGAGATACTTTGGATTCCTCGATACGGTCCACATTGTCCGCAACATTCCAAAAGGGCTCAAACTTTTTACTGTAGCCATGTTGAACCCATGTTGCTTTATCTCCAAGTTCTAAAAAAACATTTATTTTTCAAATAAGTTACGCGTTATTTTTAGAAATAGAACAGGACACCTTAAAACACAAATATATAAATTGTATAGTATAAACACAGAAGGCTTTACTGACATCCAAATTTGTTATATGTTACTGATACTACATGATAAAGAATATTTTATGCTTATACGAGAATTGAAACGGTAAACTATTTACTTGTAAGTACATCATAATACAGTGTTATATTATCATAATACTTTCAGTAAATTTGGAGTTACATCATCCAAGGTCGGCAAAGACAGTTCGGTTTTGTATCGCATTTCCAAATTCTGTTTATAACGACGAGCGTCACAAGAAGACAAACGGTGTCTCAATTACTTCTAGTCATACTATTAATATAAAATAAACAGTGAAGAACAATTGTTTGTTACAATTAATTTAAGCCCATATCACGTCAACGTATAGGTTACAAATTAGGTTATGACATGTTTACCTGGCCTGGCCTTCCTTTTAACCTCTTTGATTCTTTTTTTTGCACGGTGATCTAATTTCAATTCATCCGTCATGGCTACACTTTTATTATATTATCTAATTAACCTACTTTTGGTATATTTACAATTTACAAACAAGAAATATGCGCAACACGTCATTCAATGGTAACTGTACTTCTTAGTTCGCATAAATCCCGTGAGGAGTATCAAAACATTGTTCAATAGTTTGACATGTCGAAGAACACTTTTTGTTAATAGTCGAAGGAAGGGCGTGAATTTTTATTTTTATTTCGTATTACGAAATCTCGTCAGCCGTACTTCCGGTGTTCCATGCACTTATGCTTGTCATTATATTGATACAGCTACCTTAAGTACTTGTGTAAAGTTCTGTGCATTATCTACAGAGGCGCTGATTCTTGTATGTGACTGCCTACGTGACAAATACCATGTTCTACCAATAGGTCACCCCTTGCGTTAGAAGCACATAATTGCGCTTTTAGAATGATCAAAATCGAAACTTTTTCTGTCACGTGTATAAATATACGACATGCGCGCAATATATTTTTGTTTAAAATAGACAAAATCTACGGTGAATAACGAAAAAAGCGATTATAAACAATTTATGCACTTGGTAATCTAAGTTTTTTCCATATAGAAAATTCTTCTAATCCCAAGGTATGTTATCAAATTTCTTTATCGTATTTTGCAAGATATTAAAAGATATTGTTTAAAATGATTCTATCAATATGTTAAATCGACTGTAATGTTTCGAATGTGTCCATTTATGTAAGAAATCAACGTACGTAATGTTGTTTAAACAATACGAAACAACATTAACATACCAAGAAAGTTGTATCCGCGGTCGAAAGTTCAACGATTCACGTGGCGATATAGATTCGTGCCGTATGAGGAGAAAGTCAGTAGCTTTAGTTTCCCCTTCTTCTTTGTAGTACACACTTCTGACTTGCGCGCCAAAGTTCTTGAAGGCTGTACAACTTAGAAATGCATAAAAATTATACCGTTAAACGCATGGCGGTGTACATAAATAGTTATGTACGAATAGTAATACAGTGAAAACTCGATAAATGTCGCTACTCCGGGTCCGGTCAGCAACACTTACGGAATAGGAGAATCGTCTTTCGAATTTGATTGTAGTTTGCCGACGCTTCGAACGTAGAAAGAGTCAGTAGCTAAAAAAGAAAGAGGGACTGAAACTCGGATTTATCGCCCCAGTTTAAATATCCGCGTCAGTGTGACCACACTACTGCACAGAAGAAAATTTTTTATTTTTTACTTTTTGTTAATAAAAATTTCACTATCATGTTGGGGAGATTTCTCTAATTAAAATGAGGCTAAACACGATATACATCGGTCAATATTTGGTAGCATAATATTGAATTAAATATTGTACTTGCGAGTCTTTCTCTCTTTATTTATCCTTCTTGTGCTGCCCTTTTCTATGTTCGGAAATATCAAAGAACGACGCATCGAGGTGCTGGCTACATTTATCGAACGGGAGGTAGCTATTTTCAAACGGAACGGTTCCACCGTTTCGTAAGTGATCAAAAACTGCAACACTTATGAAATAGGGGGTTTCGTTAGCTACCACTGTTCGATAAATGTACCAATCCACTGACCTTGCAAAGATACGAGTACACAATATTTAATTCAATATTATGGTAACAAATATTGGCCGATTTATATCGTGTTTAGTCTCATTTTAATTAGAAAAATCTTCCCCACATGATAGTAAAATTTTTATTAAAAAAAAGTAAAAAATAAAAAACTTTCTTCTTGTACAGTAGTGTGGTCACACTGACAGGGACATTTAAACTAAGTGACGAAGGCAATAAAGATTTTTAAAGAAAGCCGCTACGTCTCCGGTTACACTTCGCCTCACTGGTTCAAGGGGGATCCCCCTAGTGGTGGGGATAAAAATGTATCATTTATGGAACAGCTCTTGAGGACATTTATCGAGTTTTCACTGTATACATATAATTTTGTATAGGCAATCTGTGGCCATCGTTTCATCCCCCATAAGTTTAATACATGTTTTCATAAGAGCGTAAGTATATTTACAGGAAGAGAATACGATTAGTACACGATAAGGATAATAGATTACGTGAACAAACATCATACTATATGATAATATATGAATTAAATTAAATTTTTATAATTATCTGTAACAGTTATTCCGACTAACGGTTCTCCATAATTACTTCAAGAACCGGAATGGATATTATAACTATTTTCGATTTCTTATTAAAAAATTCGGGCTTTAAGCTTGAAATTGCATTTTTTCTAAATAAGTGTACGGATATTTTTAACAAAAATTACGTAGCCTTAAAATTTGCTGTTTGGAATTGACTCCAAAAAATACAACGAAATAAGTATTTAATAAATAAAAGTATCATCTGTCTATTGATAACCTTTTTTTAGTCTACAAGTCATAAACTATTGACAGAATATTATTATTTTATAGCGATTTATGTAACTTATCCTAGATAGGTACATTAGTCGCATCATCGTTAGATTTTTCATATGGTGAAAGTTGCTCGGTCATACGATCACCGATAGACGTTTCTGCGCATCGATGTTACGCAGTCACGAAGCGCCTTGGCGCGCGAGACCGAGTTGCATGCTACGAAGGAGAAGGGTTTGCCGAAGCTGGTGATATTCCCCTCATATGGCAGAAATCCGTGTCACCGGGTGTTCCCAAAACGCATGCGCAATAAGATAAGTTGGCGCGGAACACCCGGATGTGCTGCCGCACAAGCACGATACGGTAGAAGGAAGAGGCATGACGCCATGTTTTGATGTCGTCATCCCCCCCCAAACCGCTGTTTCCCGAGCAGCACAATAGTCTGTCAGTGTTTTTCTGTTGTGCGCCTCGTGTTCCGTGTTCCTGGTGGCCGTTTTGGCGTGCCCCTTTGGCCAGCCCCATCGTCGCGTCGAAGTTGGATGCTCTCCTTCACGGCTGCGACGTTCATCCTCGTGAGTTGACGGTCGCTGGAGGTGGCCCCCTTCGTGTCTTTTTCATGTCCGGGCAGGTAACCGAGGAGCGGGGGGGTCCACGAGCGTCGTCTACGTGGTGGTAGTGTCCTAGTGACGGGAGGACGAGCAGACCACGATCCTCCACCGAACAGTTGATCTGAGTGGTTACGTCACACGACCCTGAGCTGGGCTTACAGAGAAAACGCTTGGCCAAAGAAGTGGACGGCGACGACGACGGGGACGAGGACGACGGCCCTGTTAAAATGGAGCTGCGCCTGCACTCGCCAGCCGGAGCAGAACCAATCGTCTATCAATGGCCCCTCACCTCTGGATCCGGATCTGTGAGTACATTATTTTCGTTAATTGCGCCCGACCCGCGGTTATTGTGTCCGCGACATGTATACGATATATGTATATACATATGTATATTCAACTCGAAGGTCTGGCGTGTACGACCCTGTCGTTTATCCCGATTCTCACAGCTGATCGTACATCCGTCGTGAAACGCAAATTTTTTCCTCCGTCACTTTGTCACGCTGTCACGTTTTTTTTTTTTACTTAGAAACGACAATATATCTCAGATTCTCGTATCCTTGTTGCCGTATTTATCGTTAACGAGTATCTATGTAGGCGAATATTAATTGTGTGTTCTATACAATGCGTGTGTGTACGTATATATAAGAGTGGGATCAGAAGGCAACAGAATCGGACAAAAATATGCCTCTGAAATAGTAAATAGGTTATTATATTTTCAATTTTAATTTGTTATAAATAAAATAAAATACTATTAAATCATTTTTTTTTTTAATTTTACTTTTTTTATTACACGAATATGTCCTAAAAAATAACTCCCTATTGTCATAATATTATTATCCAAATTAAAGTACACTTCTTTATATAAATGAATTAATTTATTATTATGTATTTCTCATAAAATAAATAATTGATTGTATGTTTAAAAATATTTTCTTTTATGAATTTGAGAATCCAAATGACTACTAAGTAAGTCTGTATTGTAAAGAAGTTCAGGAAGAGTGATTTATAACAGTGAGAAATGTCAGGAAAGCAGAGGTACATTTTATAGCATGTTATAAATTTTGAACAGTATATAACTTGACCTTCATTTATAGCTCCTTCCTGTGAAGCATCTTCTTCAAACTGTACACAAGAGAAAAGTTTCATTTCTGGTATAAAAATATTGAATGTCATTAAATTAAATTAATTTAAATTAAACAGAATTTAACTTTTTGTTTATAAAAATGTTTTTACTTTTACAAGTGAAATAATCATACTTTGAGAATAGTTTTATAAATACTACCATTATATTACATTTGGTAGTTAAAGCTTTATTTATTTATTAATTATAGGATCGTCATGATGGTGCACTCGATGTTGTCGAAACAATGCGATGGGTTTGCGAAGATTTACCAGATTTAAAATTACCATTAGAAAATAACATACTTTGCGAATATGACACAAGGGACTTTGAAAGTATGAAAGGTTTATGCGATAAATTTAATAGAGCAATTGATAGTTTAGTTCAGTTGGTGAGTACAATATATGTAATGTAAGAAACTAATGTCCTGGCAATAACTCGATGTTATTTTAATATAATTAATTGTTTTAACATTCTCAAATTAATTGAATGCAGGAAAAGGGCACTAGTTTACCATCACAGAGGCTAAATAAACGTCCTAGCAGAGGTTTATTACGACATATACTTCAGCAGACGTATAATCAAGCTGTAGTTGAACCAGATAAATTAAATCAATATGAACCATTTTCGCCAGAAGTGTATGGAGAGACCAGTTATGAGCTTGTGTGTCAAATGATCGATCAGATCGATGTAACAGAGGATGATGTATTTGTTGATTTGGGATCTGGTGTTGGTCAAGTGGTTCTTCAAATGGCGGCGGCAACATTATGTAAAATTTGTATCGGGGTTGAAAGAGCTGATGTACCATCAAAATATGCACAAGTATGACATTCTTTTAACGTGATTCCAATTGTGTAATTCAATCAATTACAAGACTTTTATATTTACAATTCTCTTATTTTTGTCAAACATTAGAGTATGGAAATAAACTTTCGTAAATGGTTGAATTGGTACGGAAAAAGATGCGGCGACTATCGTTTGGTAAAAGGTGATTTTTTAGCTGACGAACACCGTGAAAGTATTACCGGAGCTACAATTGTGTTTGTTAATAATTTCGCGTTTGGTCCAACGGTGGATCATCAACTGAAAGAACGATTCGCTGATTTACGGGATGGAGCACGCATAGTATCGTCAAAATCATTTTGCCCCCTTAATTTTCGCATAACAGACAGAAATCTTAGTGGTAATGTATTTCGTTTTTTAAAGTAAATAAAAGTATTTGTGAAAAGTTCGTAGGTGTAATTTTAGCTTTTCAATTGCAGATATCGGTACGATAATGCATGTTTCAGAAATGTCACCTCTGAAAGGTTCTGTCTCTTGGACTGGTAAACCAGTGTCTTATTATTTGCATGTAATCGACCGTACCAAGTTGGAACGTTATTTCCATCGTTTAAAGAATAATAAACAGGGCGGCGATGAAAACTCTGATTCTGTGATAAGTAACACTGCCAGCAGTAATAATAAGATTACAAATAGAGGAGAAAGAGGTGATAGAGCCAAACGAGACCTTTCGAGGCAGTTAGATAGTCCAAATCATTCGGAACAGCAAGGGACAAATAGCGATTCAGACGTAGATGAAAATAATATTAAAAATCGTCGACAACCAAACAAAATTCGTAGAAAATTAAATCGAAAGACCAACAGTATTACAAGACCTCCAGCTAGAGGCGGGAAACAGAGAGGAAGAGGTGTGAAAAAGTCTAAGCCCAAGAAAGTAATTAATATTTCTGGCCTGGACTTGCTGCATAGTCAAACACTACTTAGTACATCTCCACAGGCTCTGGGGAAAAAACCACCGCCAGCGCCTGGTTGCGTGGATCAACAGCTATCGTCATTATCGCTCTCTTTGCAGTCACATTCCACCTCTGTACACGAAGAACTTAGTATACCACCTGCTCCGTCCGCTACTCCATATGCTTTACAAATACTTTTGGATTTGTACAGGTACGTTTGTTTTTCTAATATGGCATGTATATGTAGAAAAATTTGTTATACAATAAGTATTTTTTTACAGGGACCAATTTATGCTCATGTTAGAATCAATGAGAACTCCTCAATATAGAGTATCGGTCAATACAGATATTGCAAAAGAAAGAGAAAGAAATTCGAAACTACAATCAAGAGCAGCGCAATTAGAAAAACAGATAAAAGTATTAATTGACGACAGTGTAGCTCTTTTGAAAGCAAGAATGACGGAATTAGGTATAAATGCTACATCACCTGGAGATTTACTTGCAAAAGCTAAGGAAATAGTTCTTAGACATAAACAATTGCAAGCAAAGGCAAGTAAATTACAGGCACAAGTTGCATCCATGGAAAGTGAGCAATCAAGGTTGACTGCACTTAGACATCAAGAATTGCAAGAGAAATATAGCAATCTCTCAAGTGCAAACGGCATATCAAATCCACCGCAACCGCTCCAGGATTACATATTGAAAGAAATATCCGCAACTCTATCTCATCGTAAAAGATTACATTGTCAGGTTAGTATTTGTACAAGGTAATTCTAGAAATTGCAATAAATTACATTTATATAAAAAAAAAAAATTATATCAAAAGACAGCCTTATATTATGGGTTTCAACTCTTTCCTATATCAGTTTGTTATATTATCGCGAAATCCCAGTTCCTAGTATCGCCCTGTATAAAATTCTTATATAATGAAGCGTGTGTTTAGATACATAATTTAAATATCGATTTTACAGGTGTCCAAACTGGAACACGAGTTGAATGTTTTAGAAAGGGCAAGCAGCGAGAAACAAGTTGCTGCTATTGCTCAACAGCAAAGAGAAGTAATAGGCTCTAAACATTCGCAAAATCAACATCATCATCAACAGCAAAATGGAAAAAGTGGATCGACGCGAAAGAGTAGAGAAGGACGATCTAGATCACAAGAATGGCCCGATGTTCCTGACATCGGGAAGATACAAGAGAACAATCCAGAAATACTGGCGCAGAAAATTTTGGAAACAGGCAGACAAATAGAAGCTGGTCGTATGTTAAGTAGACAAAATACTAGTACAAGTAGCAATTCTAGGACCAGACTGCCGCAAGCATCTCTTAGCTTTTCTACTACTTCGTCGTCTATTTCATCCTCGCAACCACAGACGAATAATAAAGAAACGGCAAATAGAACTCAGGAACCGCCCAGGGTCGCAAACTTCGAAGATAGATTAAAAAGTATAATTACAAGTGTCTTGAACGAAGATCAACAAAATAGAAATAAGCAACAACAAATGCAGTTACAGGTGCAATTACAAAATCAGACTGAACCAGATAGAAAACGTATTGCATTACCACAAAACGTTGCTACACCTGATTATACACAGGTAATGTTGGCGATATCAGGAATTTAATATTTTTCTTTTTTATTTCTATAATATTATCATTATTCGAAACCCAAAATCATGTTTCGATTAACCTTTGGAAATCATGCTCTCGACGATTAATTTAACGATAACATACGAATAAACATCATTTATACTTACATTGTAGGTTTCACCTGCAAAGTTAGCACTTCGCCGTCATCTCTCTCAAGAACGTCTTTCATCTCACTTAACACCCTCTGATAGGCCAACAATCGACTCCAGGCAATCGAGTCATGACAATCGTATTGTAGCAGGAGGAAATGGATTGCTCGGCACTAGGACGATCGGCGATTTGGTCAGCGGGGAGATAGAAAGGACTTTAGAGATATCCAATCAATCGATAATAAATGCAGCCGTTGATATGAGTGCGATGATAAGACCGGAAACTGTGTATTCTCCTATTAGCAGACCAGCTAGCGCAGAAGGTGATGCTGGTTTATCAACCCTCGCGCATGTCGCAAGTTACGCGCCAACATCTTCTGCGGTTTCAACATGCACAACCGCTACTTCAAGATCGTCTGTATTGTTCACTCCAGTAACGCAACCGCAAAGGTATTATATGCTATGCTTATGCAACGATAATTATTTTTATATACAGTCTAATATGGTATTATAATGCAAGTATCTTTTTCTATCTAGATATACGCCGGTTCAGTTACCTCGTGCAGACATTAAACCTTATCATGAATCGTACTTTTCTGACAATCCTTCCCAGTCTATTGCACAGACCCATCCCCCGCCGTCATTGCACACATCGCAGGCTGCATCGAATGGTGAACTTTTGCCAGTAGAAGGACTAGCAGCGTCTTTACATGCCCGTATACTGAATAATCACAACACGAAACCCGAATCGATACTTTCTACAAGTAGAAGGTATGTAATTTTTTTTTTTTTTTTATATATATATACATTTTGGAATTGATATTTATTTTTACACGCGTGTATTTTGTAATAGATTTCAACCATATCCTCGATACGCAACCAGTAGCAACAGTAATGGCAGTACAACAACAAATGGTATTGTAACCGCCATTTGTCAATCTCAGCCTTCGATGTCGGTGAAAACAGAAGCAGTCGTGTCATCGATAAGCACAAGCGGAGCGCCATTGAGTCCTCTTGTAGAACCACACTCTAATACATCTACTCCATTAGTCGATGAACCCCAAATGACAACACAAAGGCAGCGAAATGGTATTGGCGACGATGGTAAGCAGGACAATCCCATATTTGTATTTTATACCTCCTATCACACGTTCTGTCAGAGTATTATATTAGGAAATGCTTTGGAATGTACTCGTTCAAGTTGTCAAATATGCTTCCTGTATTGGCTAAGAAAAAACAAAATGTAAATGTTAAAGATCGTTAAAAATACATAAATATAGCATATTTATATCTTCGATGTTGCATTCATGAATAAAGATTTGGATAGTACTCAACTTGGCAATGCACATTACCAATCTAATAATAGATTAGACATCTTCATATTTATGAAGCGAGTTGAAATATAATATTGTACATTTCACGTTTACCTTGTTAATAGTAGTTTGATCCTACCATACACCAAAAATATGATTTTATTGATTCTACCGATAAACACTCTTTTATACCTTTTACTAAACACTTTGCTTTATCTTCATAAACACTGTTGTATTAGTTTCTGCTATGCATCTTTCATTATTTTTTATGCACTAATGGTTTAAGATTGTTATCTATGGTTTACCTTATCTTATGGAGCTGGTACCTGATCTTTATTTATATTTATTTTTGTTGTTGTTTGCTGTATTTGTTAGATGCACTGTAGCTGTTTGTTGGTTAGCTCTGTCTGTCACATACTCAATCTCACTCACAACCCTTGAAGCTTGTTTTATTAGAGATTGAGACACAAATCAGAGGGAGAAATCAAAAAGTACGGCTGCCTGTGGGTTGGTTCGTGGTTGCTGGTGAGTTGTCCCACAGGGGTTGTTCAAAATTTTTTTTTCCTTTTTTTTTTATTATCGTTACTACAACCATTCAACAAACGATGATCTAAATTTTCTTAGTATATTTTAGCCAAAGATACAGTTAATGTGCACAAAAAAAGTATAAAATGTTAGTTAAAGTATTTCCATGAAAATAAGCCAGACTCGAATAAAGTTGTTTAACATTTACAGCATACTCGTCCATATATAAAACCTGAAAACAAGTGAAGCATGAAATATTTAAATAAAAACATTGTATTTTAGTTAATGGGTTTTTGTAATTTTGGTGCATGCTTTTTTGCATGAAATTATATTGTATCAAATGCGATTAACATAGTATTCATTTCATTGAGTATTTGTACATGGCTGTGCAATAAACAATGAAGTGAATATTAAAATACACTTTACACGGACACATACACGTATTTATTAGTTGTTATATAATCATAGTTCGTTAATCACATTTACTAACTACATAGCCAAATTTTGTAACTTTCCCTCTTCTTCCGACGTGGTTCCTCATTATATAATATTTATACTTTAACACTAATACCTTAACACGTACACGTAAACATGTACAGACATATTCGAATATATTTATACAAAATTACACGTACTATAATTTAAAAGGGTTTTTGGCTTATTTTTATGAAAATTCCTTATGCAGTCTAACGACGCATAAGCGGTATAGTGGTTAAGTGAACCCCTTTTTTTGCAGATGGAGAGGCAGATTGGCAAGACCGTATTAGTTCTGGATTTGATAGGCTGGTTGCATTCGCTTCTACCGAACTAGACAAGCGAAGAAGATCCACAGAGGGAGTGAATACAAGTCCGGACAGTGGTTTAGGATCAGATAGTACTGTAACGGGACCACCACCAGTGATCCCATCGCCCGATGAAGCGCTGGGACCTCCTCGCACACCTTCACCGACCAGTCCCCGCCCACCGAATCCCTCCAACAGTAACACAAGCAGCGCCGCGTCTTCAGTGCCTCTAAAATATCAACGGCAACCAGATCCTGAACGGCACCATTTTAAGAAAAAGTTTTTTCACAGAGATTGGAATAACTCTGGAGGCACCAGTAAGTTTCGTCCTAAAGGCAAGGATTGGGATTGGAATCATTCAGGACAGTGGCCTTCGAATGACGAACAATCTTAATCTACTTTTTATACTGTAACTTTGAATCTGAAGCTTTTAACGATTTCTCTAGCGATTGTTAGGTTTGCAGAATTGAAAATGCCGGTTGCAGATGATATATCGTTTCTTTTGATAATAGAAATGTTATTGCCCCTCTCCGTGCTCCTTATAGCATGGTTGAAATAATTTTTAATCATTGATCATGTACAATGTTGCAGTACATTGCACGCTTGATTCAAACGCGTTTAGTGTTTGAGTTGATTCTTCCTATTTTGCGATGGCAAAATATGATGCAACTATTTTAGCTGAATCTGAGAGCTCGATAATTTTTTGTTTTCTTCTCGTATATCATTGTCGAAAAATATATTTATTTAATGGGAAACGTTATGAGGCTAAATGTACTGCGAAATTGAAGTTGATATTTCAATGGTAAAGAATCTATTTAATATTTAGCCGTATACACGCGTATATTGAAAAGTGGATGGTCAAGGGAATGTAAAACGCATTGTTATACATTACTCACTGATAAGTAATTTAACTTAATATTATTAGCTACTACATTTTTTGGTGAGAAAAAAAAAAACAATTTAGAGGATAATCATTATTGATTCGATATATGGCATACGGTGAGAATGTGTTTGCCTTCATAAATATTTGCTATATATCATAGAGATTATATTCCCTGAAAAAGTGAACGGCTTGTAATGCGCGTCTGTAATTATGGTACATGACTGTTACATGTGTAATGTAGTAGGCGTTAAAGGTGTGCTGTGTAAAGAGTGTGCCATATATTATGGATGTTGCAGCTGATATTAGTTGGTAAACAAACAAAAAGAAAAAAAAAAAAAAAAAAAGTGGAAAGAAGCTACCAAAACCTACGTGTGTTCGTAGCAAATATTCGCTGCAAATTTTATACGCGATTCTGTAATCTTCCGTCGTTTCTGGAAGATTGTATATCGAAGTGTTCACTGTTGCTCATAGAAAGTTATGGCGACAGACGGCAAAGAATAGTCATTTCATCGGAAGTTAAATCTAATTCGTTTCTCGGGGCACAAATTTACCCACTTTGTTTGTGAGATTGTGCAGAATATCCAAAGAATGATCTCTGCGAGTATCGATTAGATTTTTCCAGCGGTTTGGATCGGACTCGCGTATCCCGCTGGTAAATTCGAAACAAATTTGTAAATAGATGCAACGCGTCATCGAACACGCGCGTCTATGTATAAAAGATTTTTTAGTCATTGTGTCGTACATAGGGTATCGGAAAATTGTAAAGAAACCACCGAGCAACCGTCAGCAATGACCTTGTAAAAAAAAATGAACTCGATCGGCGCGCCGTATATAATTGTAATTAATTATCAAATTATTTAATAATCCCCCGTATACATTAATGCATATAATTAATCACGATGTAGGCACCTGCCAAGTTTAGCGTGTTATATACACTGCCGAATCTTCTATTAATTTTATTATTGATCATGATTATTATTTATTGTTTTTATTGAAATATTTTAATACTAAGGTTTTTGTAATAAGCATATTTTCTCTTTCATTCTTACCTTCCATTTACAATAATACATTATTTTCGATTTCAAATCTTAATCACCTGTATGTTGAGAATCATTGATTGTATTGTAACAAGATTTTTTTAATCAAATTGTTTCAGCACTTTGTAGGTATTCAAATTCAGCATAGAACAATAGGATACATTTTTAAGCGTATATCATCGGGGGAAAGAAGTTTATTATGATGTTACACAATTGTGTTAATCTTCATCCATATACACTAACACCTTTCTTGTAAAAAAGCTAGTTTCGTTTAGGTATTTATTCATTTACGGCGTGAGAGAATAATGTTGAGAATTGCTAGTAATTATCGTACAATACGATTTTATAGAAATGAAAAAAAAAGAAACAGATGTAAACAGTATCTAACAAAGTACAAAGTTCTACCTGAACAGATTATATTTCATACGATATCTGTTTTGTACATCGAGTAACTAATGCATTAAAATATACTACATTTTTATCTTAATTTATTATATTTTTAACCGTTCCATGACAATATTATGCATTATATACAGGGTGTTCGGCCATACCTGGGAAAAATTTTAATGGGTGATTCTAGAGGCCAAAATAAGACGAAAATCGAGAATACCAATTTGTTGATGGAGGCTTCGTTAAAAAGTTATTAACAATTAAATTCAAAAATTTCAAATCGTTCTGGAAAAATTATTTTCGGTTGCGGGGAACAATTACAATAATTTTTGGTGAATACACATATCTCCAAAATCCTATCCAATTTCGAGAAAAAAATTCGAGAAGGTGTGAAATTTTTCGACGGAAAAAAAAAATTTCAAATCTTTCTGGAAAAATTATTTTCGGTTGCGGGGGTCAATTACAATCATTTTTGGTCAATAGACATGCCCCCGAAATCCTGCGCATTTTCAAGAAAAAAATTCAATACGGGCGGAACTTTAAACGTTAATAACTTTTTAACAAAGCCTCCATCAACAAATTGGTGTTCTTGATTTTCGTCTTATTTTGACCTCTAGAATCCCCCATTAAAATTTTTCCCTGGGTTGGCCGAACACCCTGTATAGTTAAAAAATATCGTCTATAGTAGCTAATGTATGTGTACGTAATCAACAAAAATTTATATCTTTCTGTGAACTGCATTTCCTCTATACACATTATACATTGAACGTAAAATATTGTTAATTCATAGAAACCTTGGTGTCAACGACATTTGTAATACAGGTGCCAGCATGCACCGTATATTGTGTACGTTTTTGCAAAAGATAAACGACATACGGGTTATGCAATGCGTATGCACCGACACGCATATATAAGAAACAAGTTTGTCATTCCTTTGAGCACTTGAACTTGAAATTCAAAGCGCGAAATATGGCCTTCATGTTTGAAATTATATTATTAGTTTTACTGCGCGCGGTATACGGACAAGACGCACAGAACACCGAAATCGTTTTGTTGCCGTTGTGGAATACAGAAGACAGTACAGAGGTAGACGTATATTGCAGTCCATTAATAAAACATTAATATTGTAATCGTTAGATTGAACATACAAGGGTATTCGTGCTTTATTGCTTTATTTCAATACTTATATCAAACAAATTTACAGGTACCTCTAAGTTTTAAGGCTTTCGATCGATTTGTCGAGTTAACGTTACATAGGAACGACAAAATCACAGCGCCTCGGTTTCAAGTTTGGAAGCACATCGATGGAGACTACGTGGAGGAATTACCGGGACTCAACGAACCCGCGCCTTGTCATTATCTTCACAGGAATGACTTCAGTTCAGCGGCCATAAGTCTCTGCAAAGAAGGTGGCATGGTCAGTATCTTGATCCAACAGTAAATAAGATCGTTACAAAGAAAGATGTCTCGTAAAACGATACTCTTACTCGTCGCAGCATGGCCTCGTCTTCTTGGACAACGTCACGTTAGAAATTACGCCGCTTCAAGACCAGGAGATCTCGTTTTTTAACGATCATCGTGTCAGACAACGTTCGGAATCCTTTGGGGAGCCACATATTGTCAAGAGAGCACACGCTCCTTCCATATCTTGGGGTAACGAACCTAGCTGGTACAAACACAATGAAATAAACACGGACCTGAATGGAGAGCTATTCAAAGAGCCAAGACCGAAGAAATCGAGCGATGCTCTGACATTGGAGTTGGCAGTTTTCTTCGACGAGCCTGGCTACAATCTCTTCTCGCCTTTCTTCGACAGAAACGACGAACAAATACGCGACATGCTGCTAGCTTATATAAACGGCGTGCAAGCGATTTATCATCATCCAACGTTAGGGGTTATAATTGACATTTCTCTCGTGAGACTGGAGATTATGGTGAAGCAACCACGGGATCTACCACATTTTGATGGAGACAGGAGCAGCTTGTTGAACTCGTTCTGTAATTATGCCAAGAAACAAAATCCTCCGAGCGAGTATTATCCCAATCACTGGGATATGGGTTTGTACATTTCCGGTTTGGATTTCTACGTTATGGAGGCTGGACGAAAAAACAATGCCACTATGGGGCTTGCAACGGTAGGCGGGATCTGCATCGATCAATATTCTTGCGTTATTGCTGAATTGGGTGTTACAAATCAGTTTAAAAAACCATACCCGTCGGCGGGTTTTACATCCGTCTACATAGCCGCTCATGAAATTGGTCATAAGTAAGTGAATAAGTACCGTGTGTATATTTTCTGTCGATATCAATTTCATGTAATTTCTGTACAAACTACCGCGTTGAAATGAAATTCACAAATGTGTTTGTTTTTTTTCTTGAAAAGCTTAGGAATGCATCACGATTCGACGGGCAATCCGTGCCCCAAGGATGGTTATATAATGTCACCCAGCAGAGGTACGAACGATGAGACAGTTTGGTCAGAATGTAGTCGCGACGTAGCGCAAACGCTTTCTTACAAGAAGCCGTGTCTCACGAACAGGCCATATTCTCAAACGAGTAACCGGCTCGATCATACACGGTTTTTCAATCTACCGGGTAGAGAATGGACCGCGAAGAAACAGTGCGAAGTACTCCTGCGTGATAAGGATGCTACAGTCGTGACCTTATACAGAGCTTGCGAGTCGTTGCAGTGCAAGACACCGCATAGGAGCGGTTATTACTTTGCTGGACCAGCGTTAGATGGAACCTTATGCGCCCCAGGGAAGGAGTGCCGCGGCGGTGAGTGTAAGAACGCTTTACAGATTTCTTCGGGAACAAACGGGCCCCTTGTTCGACCGGGAGGCTGGAGCGATTGGAAATTAGGACCCTGTAGCAGTGCATGTCTCCTAAAATCCACCGGTGCACAGGTCAGACGACGATTTTGCGATAGTCCGATTCCCAAAAATACGGACACCGGTTGTCGAGGATTGCATTACGACGTGGTGCTCTGCAAAGACGACAGGCTTTGCAAAAAGAAACGTAAGAGCATCGACGAATTTGCGACGTTGAGATGCACCGAGTTCAGCGAAAGATTGCCAGAATTGGACGTCAATGGTGGCGGGCTCCAGGCGCCACACGAGCCCGAAAGACTGTGGATGGCTTGCGCTATATTCTGTCGTCGAAAAGACATAGCGTCTTATTACACACCGCGTGTGGAATTAAACGACCTTGGCCTTGACCCATACTTTCCAGATGGGACATGGTGTCACACCGAGGAGGGACAAAATTATTTTTGTCAGCAGCATCATTGTCTGCCGGAGAACTTTCGTTCGGAGAAAACGCTACTGAAAAACCATCAGCACGACGATATCGAATTCGGGCCCCAGAACGCCCATCCCAATGGACTCGGTTTCGACGATCAGGTGATTAAATATCACAGTTTGGGGCTGGACGGTTTGCCGCTCTTGACATCTCTGTCGCACGCTATTGGATTTCCAACGGACGAGGATGAGTGGATCGATAAAGATTACATAGAGTTAACGAAGCCACCGCAGGAGATCGTCTTCGATGCACAATATCAATTGAGAAAGTAACGTCGATGATATGTACCAATTTTAGCGCGAATTTCTTTTCTAATTTCCATGCAAAATATTCGCTCGTTTCCTTTATGTACTCCCTACTGCACGAAATCGTTTGGCCTCGTTAGAAACTCTCCTATCGCGTGACGTTCAACCTTTTTCGATCATGAACCAGAGATGCCAGACGAAGCCCCGGGTGCACCGATGACGCCTCATTCCACTTTCTCACACTATGCCAGATCACGCGTACGTGAGCTCGTAGAGTTTCGGAGAGTCGACAAAGGCAAACTGACACATGCCCTTTTCTTCGATTCTCCGAAGCTGCCCGAAGTAATTTCGGACTGTCTCGTGGGAGTCGAGAGAGGATGGATCACATTTGCCTTTTCGCTCTTGAACAACTGACATGCGACTTCACGTCAACGGCATACGATTTGGAATCTCGACTGCCGAGGCATTTTTACTTTCTGACCTATGTAGGCTTTTTGCTCGAAAATTTCGCTGATTTCCCGATTCTGTTTTAAAATTTTTTTTTTCTGTAACCGTCACTCTCGTACCTGCTGGCAAAATCGAGAATTCATTTTTTTCGTCGAAAAATTTTTCCTCGAAAATTTCGCCGATTCCCCCAATTTTGATTTAAATTTTTTTTTCTGTAACCGTCACCCTCGTACCTGCTGGCAAAATCGAGAATGGCTGGCGGTTTTTTAGTTTCATTTTAGACTTTGTTATCAGGAGGACATGATATGGGAAGAGGTGGCACGTATCTTATAACTATGGGAATTATTTCGAGAGGAAAAGAAAGGTAAAAGTTATGAGAACACATAGAATTCTTTGAAATTATATCATTTATTGCCATAGATTTACATTATACAAAGCCTTAATACATATAAATATATTATATTATATTATATCTTGTCAGAAGTTGTTAGCAACGGTCAGCAGTGGTCAGCTGACGTCGGGGGATGCTTGCAGAGGCCAGCAGAGGCTGCCAGTAGCCACGATTATGCATATGTACGCTGATACATAGGAATAATAACTAAAATTTCGTTTTTTTCAGTAGTAAAAATATGATCAAGGGGTCTTAAAACACGTATTTCCGTAAAAGAAATTTCACAAAATTTGTTTTTCCTTATTGTACTTTGCTTATGTGAGCCTACATAGGTCAGAAAGTAAAAATGCCTGGGCAATCGAGATTCTAAATCGTATGCCATTGACGTGAGGTCGCATTTCAGTTGTTCAAGAGCGAGAAGGCAAATATGAGCCTTCCTCTCTCGACTCCCACGAGACAGTCCGAAATTACTCCGGGTAGCTTCGGAGAATCGAAAAAGAGGGCATGTGTCAGTTTGCGTTTGTCGACTCTCCGAAACTCTACGAGCTCACGTACGCGTGATCTGTTATAGTGTGAGAAAGTGGAATGAGGTGTCCCCGGTGCAACCAGGGCTCTGTTTGGCATCTCTATCAGGAACAAAGAGCACAAGCCGAGAATTGATGAGATCATAATATAAAACCGTATCTGTTGTTTGAAATTAAAAAGAAAACTTCGACAGTATTCGCTTTTATTGTTCATATGCCCGTACGAGTTCCAATTTATTTTAGATTCAATTATAATTTTACAAATGGTTGCAACGTATATAATTATTTACACGTGTTTCTATTAAACAATTTTTGGAATTGAAATCGATGTTACGGAGTCGATACATACATATGATTTTTGTAATTTTCACCTATTTCTGTTTGCTCCGAGTTATTATGTAATCTCTTATTCGCTTTGTACGGTACAATATAGATCTAGATGTCGTAATTCCAGTGAGTTGTATGGATACAAGACGTATAAAAATGGAGAGTACATAATTTTATATAAATATGCGCCCATGTATTTGCACTGAAATTCTACTGTTTCGCCATGCAGTAGTGTGTGAAAGTATCTCGGGAGATAGGATGATGACGTCACCTACTTCGGTGTCTATTTTAGGAGTGTCCCGATGTTATATCCAGCGTAGGAGCGAATCGAGAGACAAAAGGATCAAATAAAAATACAGATCATATGACTTAATTGTATCGATATTATTTTAACGTACAAATAATTAACCAACCGTTAAAATTAAGAAGACGCGTGACATAAGAAAACAATCAGCTCGATATTACAAATAATTACTTGTTTATACGCACGTCTGCGTCCATGTAACAAACTGTGCCACTATCCATTGTAAATATGAACAATAATGAGATTTATGAGCTCTTTTTGAATGCTTAAATACTATTCCTCTAAATTTGTTACTGCGCATATTTATTTACGTTATTAAACAATTGAGTGACGATATATGGATGAAAAAAGAAATAATGTGTAATGATTTGAACACAATGACGGTGGCTCAATTTGTCATATTTCAGCAGAAATTATCACTCGTACAAATCGGACATACGTATCGCATTTACACTATCAACGTAATACTTATATACCACGTATACGTTCACAGGCATAAACTCGTTTACTCAAGATGCATACAGAATACATACTCTGAATGTACATAATAAACAAATTAATTAAACCGTGATCACGGAGTTGTACGGTAACAGACTCTTACTGTTAAATCGCATAACTTAATGTAATATATTTAATCTTAATCAGTATTTAGGATCATTTTTCCCGCATGTAGAGGCAAAGTAGATTTCCATTGTACTACAAAAGCAACTTTTCTTTCCTTTATTTTTCGTTTTATATTCCAACGAAAACAAGCCTTGCCAAAATTCAAATCAAAAAATTGATTTTTACATCTTACTAATGTGTAAATCACATTTTCCCTAACTATGAGATAAAATTATTTTCTTTGCCTCGACAATTATTATTCACAGCTCTCTAACCACATATTATGTACTAGAACGTACACGAGTGTTTACTCTCGTCAATTGGGACGATTAGAGAACTGTCGTTGTGATGACAATTATCCATATACTTTCCTTTCAATTTCATGTTCAATTTGGCAGAGTATCATACAATATGTCCTTAGCACTTTGCGATAATGATTCGGGAAATTTGATGTCGAATGAAACTAGAAGGTCGCCTTTTCTTGATGGTTCTTTTGGGAATGGTAGGCCATGCCCTTGAATCCTCTTGACCAAATTAGGTTTAACAATCTCCCTTGTCAGATTTAAAGTGATTTTTTCGCCAGTAAGCGTAGGAACTTCAATGACAGTACCACAAAGAGCTTGTTTTAAACTCATCTTGCAAGGGTATCTTATATCGCTGCCTTCTCTTCTAAATAGAGGATGTGGCTTGTCTCTGATGATAAAAACAATATCTGCTGGAACTTTTCCACGGCCCTGGTCACCTTCTCTTTGGAAAGTGATCTTGGTACCAGCCTTCCATCCTGGTTTTACATTGATTGTAAGAACTTTGTCTTCTTTCCTTGTAGTGCCATCAGGTTGTACAACCCTCCTAGAGATTTTCATTTTCTTTGTACAACCACGTAGAATCTCCTCCAAAGTGATACATAAATCATGTTCTATAGCAGGATCTTGAGCACGATCTTTGCCACCTCCTTTGGTCGAGGTAGGTCCCACGAAATTGAATGAATGCGATCTGAAGGCACCACCTTGAGAACTTTGATGCTGGGGCCCTACTCCCAAACCAAGTGGATCATCTATGTCCATTTCATCATCATGGAAACAGAATACCCTGTTTCCTATAGGGTTACCAAACTCGAAGAAGTTTTGGAAGGGACTAGCAGAACCAAAGAATTGAGCAAACGTTGCTTTTGGATCGCCGTGGAAGCTGTATGTTGGGCCACCTCCATGTCTTGTAGATCCAGCTTCGCCTTTCAGGCCTTCTTCTCCATATTTATCATAAACATCTCTCTTCTTAGCATCGGAAAGTACTTCGTAAGCCTCTGCTATTTCTTTAAACTTTTCTTCTGCATCTGCACTTCTGTTCTTATCAGGATGATATTTTAAAGCGAGCTTTCTGTATGCTTTCTTGATCTCATCGTCTGTGGCAGTTTTGGTTATGCCTAATATCTTATAATAATCTTTCCCCATTGGTGATTAATCTACAACAGAACAAACAAAATATAAAATCAATACAATACTTTTTGTATAAATTTACATATCTAAATGAAAACAAATAACAAAGTATAGGAAAGATTTTCAATGGTCCAAGTATATTTTGTTATTTCTAAATATTTCAAGTACATGGAATTTACATTATTGTATAAAAATTATTTTCAGTTTTCCTTATGATTGTTAAATTACGTTTGATTAATCTCTTTTTATAGTATCCCTTCAAATTATCATGTTGGTTCAATGATGTGCACTTATTTCAATCTACATAAATTGTTTCCTATTAAACCGCGGCCAGTTCTGTCAGATATACATATAAGGCGCTTCGCTGCCGTATTTTTTTCCCAGAAAATCACTAGCCATAAAATTCATCGATTTTATTCGAAACTATTCGGTACATATCGCGATCGTGTCGCTATTACGTGTCCTAACCGGAATGTTATTACATCATTACAGGAACATTTTTCGAGGATCTATGTAGTGTTCTACATCGACGGTTTGGGAAACATCGTTTAACGCAACGTGGCCATAGAAGTATAGCTCTTTCAGAAGTTTCAAGTACGACTTCGACGTCACGGCATAAAGAACCTTTTTTCATTTTGCACGGACTACCTTTACACGATCACGCGGAAATATCTTTTTATCTACGCACATGACTCGAAATCACAGGATATTTAATCGTCGGTACTGTTTTACATTCTACGAAGTGCACGATTGTCGTGCAGTACAATTAGCACAGAAACGAAGTTTACCAACTCTTAATACAGGAAATTTCCAAAAGAGATCGTTTCAACAAATCTAATCTGTTACAGAAATCTATTCGAGCGATACGGAAACTTTGCCATGAAGCGATTACTCGTAACGTTGTTATTAGACGACGTACGCCTTTTGCAAAAATAATTACTTGCGGGACGACGTGATTCTATGCACTCGGGAAGATTTGGGAATCGCCGTTTTCGAATGCCAACGTTAACGGGTAATTTTCGGGAATAAATTAAACTCGTTAAAGGCAACGGAATACGTGACGATAATCGAGGTACAGGTGGAGTAATGGCACGGGGGATACCGAACGCGATAATGCCAACGATCTGCCATTTTTTTTTTTCGCATATTCTTGAGAAAAGAGGCATGGATATCTCTCTAACGCACACCTACGTATGAATCTCACCGATATCTATTTCTGGCAATGATGAGTGTCCGTTCCTACAGGCGTACAACGATATCGAGCAGCGTAAAAATAAATTCAACCGTGTCCACGATGGCTGTGCTGATCTCCACCTTGAAAATTTCTCTCTCGTAAAATAACGCGACGAATGTACGAGAACAACTCCTCACAACGAGCCGCCCATTTTTTCCCCCCTGTGAACATCTGACAGAATCCGAGTTCGTGTAGAGCTATAGTACACAATTTTCATTCGATACTTACTGCTGTATTTTCAGCGATACCTTGACAATTAAAAAAATCCAATTGGCACTGAATTCACTAAGCTCTTTCGAGATATTATGAAAAATCAACGATATGTTCGCTTCTGACAGATAGGTCGAAACAACATTTAACACTTCTCGTCACGTACTAAAGTGTCGCACAAGCTGCGCAGTCCATATATACAAACTTTCCTTCTAGTGGCTTCCGGAACTTTCGAGAATGGGTCGACGGCAGTTCCGTAGCGCTTATTCGATGACGTCAGGAGGCCAACTCTTGATTATAGATCGAAAACATAACCGGCAATCATGCGCGCGTTATACGAAACGCAACATCGATACACCATAAAGGAATATTACGTTAAAATTATACTTATGGGACAGATTAATATTTTGATATTAAAGAATGATAATTTTGAATAAACATTGCTGGAACGTAGAAGAAAGGAACAGAAGTATTGTTTTTGTTACAACCTGAACATAGCCGAATGTTGTATTGATATATACTGGGTGAACATATATTGTAGGCATTAAGAATTCTGCGCATGCATATATGTGTACACTGTGACTGAGCAATTTGAAGATGCTGAAAAGCGTGAAGTAATTAAATGTTGAGATATAAAATATATTTTGCGGGCTAATGATTACATCTTATCATTACTAAAGGAGAAGTTGCGTATTTTCAATACCTTCTTTCACATCGATAAACGGTACTTCTTCTCTTTTCTTTTTTATCTTGGCAATTGTAATGAAATTAATTTCGTAGAAACGTATTATTATAGAAAGGTGATGAAAGTTAATTCCATTTCTAATTAATATCACATATATTTCACGTGTACGTAATAAACAATAGTACTCGAAGTTGATTCGAGTTCATCTGCTCAATCGTAAAAATAATGCGTGCCTGCACTCCCGTGAATTCGGAGGCATATATTTGTCGTAGAAGTCTTGAACGAATTCCTCTACTTTAAAACCGAACTTCTGGTACAAAATTAATGCGGGATTGGTGGCCGAAACGTGCAACGTAACGTCTTTGCCCATGCACGTTTGAATTAGGTGATAAAGCATAAATGTTCCTATGCCAGATTTACGCCACTCGGGGCGAGTTAAAAAGAATGATATGTACGCTTCGTTGTAACCGACGTCAGGAACTAAAATTGCAAATCCTACGACTAATTTTTTGTACAGAACGACACAGCTGAAATCGGGATACTGTAAACATTCTGTTACTGAAAGAAACACAACGTCATTATTTTTTTTTCTAAATGCAAACTTATACGTGCTATTTACGTTCGTGTACATTAATTAAGACGCAAAAATAACTGACGAATATAATGCAGAATAGAATTGTTACGTAATTGCCATGTTTACTTACAATCAATGCCAGGCCAGAAAAATTGGCTACATAGACTGTTAATCGCGGGAATGTGTTGTGGCCTGATATAGGAATAATCGATTGGTGCTATTGGCGGTGATATCCATTTTGGATTTAATTTATTGGCTTTGATGAGAAGTTCATCCATTACTCTTAACCACAATGGACGGCATGAAGTATCTCTTCTTATAAACGGCTTCAAAAGTCTATTTGTATACGGGCTATGTACGGACGTAGGTTCATTATATCCCTGCAATCTTTGTTCAAACGAACTTAAATCGTCGCCAAAAAATCTGTCCAACACCCTCCCAAATTCTTTCAAGGGCCTATCGGGTATTTCTGTTTTAAATCCAAAATGATCAATATCCAGTACAGGTAAACCGTATTCTCGTTTCAGTTTTCGTACAGTTAATTTTCGATAAAATCGTCTAATTTCCGGAGGAGCTGAATTCAAAGCGGATTTGTTAACTTGTTGCAATAAATATGCTTCCTCCTGATGCGTCATACGTGGAACCTTCTCTTCTGTAAAACAGAATTTTTGAAGATTGTAGTACAAGCATAAATTGTGTAATAAACGCGTAAAACAAATATATTTACCAACAATGTTATTTCTTTGCCAGGGCCATGGACGCCGTTTCGTCACATTAAATAAAGAACTAGGCGGTTGTTCCTGAACAGAACTTAGACTATCGCTACTGTCTTCTTCGTATTGGTCTTCTTCGTCGTCATCGTCTTCTTCTTCATCTTCTTCTTCCTTTATCTGATCTGAATTAATATTAGTAATAGCTTCGGATGCAGCATCTGTATTGGATGTCCAATCAGATGTAAAGTCATCGAGTAACTGAGAAAAATGGAAGTTGTTAGTTTGATACTGACAATCCCTTATTAAATCAGATAAGGATGGAGTGTCACTTTGCTCATTAAGAATTGTATCATCCTCGATTTCCATATCTAAAATTAAAGAATACCTTTTTAATTTGCCAACTTCCTACATTTCTATTCATTGTTCATGTACATACTACTTAATTCATCCTCCTCAAGTAAGAAATCTAACAACGTTTTATTAGGTTGTACATAGGCTTGTGAATATGCAGAACACCCTTGACTTTTTATCAATTCATTCCCACAGATGCTATCATCTCCGACTGAAATACTTGATTCCGACGGAGTCGGACTATGGTGCAATCTGCTAGTCGATTTCACTTGGTTACCGACTTGTTTTTTACGGTCCAATATCATCTTTTCGTCTGAAGGCAAAAGATGCGATCGGAATTACATCTTTTATAAGGATCGTATAAAAAAGTTTTATAAATATTATTATTACTTTTAGCGATAAGGACCTCGGGTGGATCGTTATCTATCAATCTCCACCAACCAGACTCTCCTAATTCTGCTGTTCCTGATTTAAAAAAAATTCCGCTATAATGAGAAAGGGTTCCAGATATAGTTCCGATCCAGTTCTTTTTCTTTTTACTGAAAACAAAGAGAAGTAATGTTAATGATAATTATATATAATTCTTGACGAACTTATTTTATCAACATGTATAGTAACTTACACAGATTTTTTAAACAAGCAATCCCAATTTCGATCGACAAAAGTGCTAATATCAGATTTCCAATGAAAGTATCCTCTTTTACTGATACCGCTTGATTTCTCGCGTAAATTATACAGAGTCAATACAATTACATTAAGCCAAGGCATTCTGTTACGGGCCACTGTTTCTTTGCCGAAAGGACTGCAATGATGGCAGTTCAATTCGAAGAATACATCTCCCACAAAAGATACCGGGACGCTTCCACGTTTTAAGCATTCTATATGAATTTTTCTTGAACATCCGTTACAGCGTAAGGCTGGTTTATTGTAGGGATCACTGGGACAATTACAACTCTTACAAATATCTGTTTCAGAAAAATCTACAGGTTCAACTTTCATATCTTCTCTGTCAACTGTATCTGACATTGTTCATTTATATAATAAATTACAAAATTATATATTGCTACAATATTCAAATGTGGTTTTCAAATTCAGGTTAGATAGTGTAAATAAAAGATTCCGTTTCATGCATGTTCCTATTTAAACGTCATTAATTATTCAAAAACAATGTATAGTAAAACTACAAAATTACATTGTTAAAAGTTTCCATCTGAGCATTATGTATGTTTTAGAGAAGACTTTATGTATATATATGTTTCTCGTTTATATTGTCTTTTGTTGCTATTTAAGTCAATGTTACAAGATGGCAGACCGGCACCCGGAAGAAACTTGCCATGAAAGTTCATAAGGTGTAAGATCACATGTATACCTCGTTTGTGGTGGTATAAATATAAAGAGAAGTTGGGGCAAACACTAAAATGATTAAATGTAATCAAAGAAATAAATGGATAAATATCTATGTACATTAAACAATTAAAGATATCAGAATGAATATATCCGTGAAAAATCTGAGATTCAAATTACGTAAAATGTATCATCGTTTCGTACATGTCGAGGTTGAACAAAAGAAACCGATACAGTGGTTAAAACCTATCGGTCACGAAACAAATATTACAATATATAATCCTCTAACAAAGTGTAATGTACCGTTAATTATAAAAAATAAAAATATTTTGACTTGGTACGTTTGCGGTCCAACAGTTTATGATTCTGCACACATTGGTCATGCAGCGTAAGAATGTTTTTCATTGCTTAAAATTAATCCCAATAATAAAATTGTCATTCATAGCAACGTGAAAATACCTTCCTTTATTTTATTTATTATTATACAGGACTTATGTGAAGTCTGACATCATTAGAAGAATATTATCGGATCGCTTTAATATAAACGTTATAATGGCCATGTGCATAACAGATATAGATGACAAGATAATAAAACGATCAAAGAAAACCAAACAGAATTACATAGATCTAGCGCAACATTACGAAAATGAATTCATCGAAGATATGAAAATGTTAAATGTTGTTAAACCCCATTTATATTGTAAAGTTACCAATTTTATACCAAAAATTATTCAATTTGTCAGTGACATTGTAGATAAAGGCAATGCTTATGTTATGCAAGATGGTAATGAAATTCAATATAAAAAATAATGATTTAATAATCGTTCTTTACCATAATTTTACGAATGATTATTTCCTATTTGTAGGGTCTGTATATTTTGATACAAGCAAATGCAACATGTATGGCAAGTTCTCTATGCCAGTATCTGATGATAGTCATCCTTATAAAAAGTCTGCATTGGACTTTAGTTTATGGAAAGCAGCTAAAAAAGATGAACCATTTTGGGAATCTCCATGGGGGAATGGAAGGCCAGGATGGCATATAGAATGTAGCACAATTGCAAGGTATGTGCATCTTGAAACGATCAAAATCTTATTTTTATGGAACTACTAAAAACAATATTAAATTGATTTTAATACAAATAAATATATTATATTTATTCCAATTAGTACAGTTTTTGGGAATTCTGTGGATATTCATAGCGGTGGTATAGATCTTGCTTTCCCGCATCATGAAAATGAAGAAGCCCAATCGTGCTCTTACCATGAAGTAGATCAATGGGTGAACTATTGGCTACATTGTGGGCATCTGTACTTAGAAGATGAAAAAATGTCAAAGAGTCTGAACAATACAATTAGTATAAGAGAATTTCTTAAGAAGTATACAGCGAATCAGTTCAGGATGCTTTGTTTACTTTCCAATTTTAGAAATGGTATAAGTTATAAATGACATCTAAAATAATGTATGACCAGCTTAAATTCTACGCAAATACGATAAACTGCTTTATTATGTGATTTTCAGGAATTAAATATTCCGATAACATAATGCATAATCCGATAAATATACTAAATAAAGTTGAACATTTCATTAATGATTGTGATAATTATGTTACCGGACGATGTAGTTTTGGCAATATAGATGAAGCTACATTATTTCGGGTCAGTTGCTTTATCGTATTTTATTTTTTGTATGTATGCGCGCGCGCATATTTGCATCCATAAATCAAATTTTTGTTTTAGTGTTTAGAGGAAACGAAGAATAGCGTTAACACAGCTCTAGAAAATAATTTTAATACCGCACAGGTAATAAAATCAATTTTGAATTTAATTGATACAGGAAATAAAATGCTACACGACGATCCCCATGTAAGTATAAACATACCCATGTACAACTATTGATTAATATTTTTTTCCTAATATATTTGTGTATAAATATAGGGTTCTCTTACGACTAGATGTATACCTCCTGTAATCGCGGTAGCAAATTATATATCAACAATATTTTCAATGCTTGGCATTTCGTACTCTGAAGAATCAAATGAATGTAAAATAAATAGCCTCATTGAACATTTGGTACAATTCAGAAGAACAGTTCGAAACAGAGTTATTGAACAAGATGTGAAAGATAAAATTTTACTTACCGCGTGCGACGAAATACGATCAAATCTGTCTACGTTTGGGGTAATCATAAAGGTACAAATATACTTTGATAATGTGACTTTGAAATTATGCACATTACGAAACAATTAATTACGACTTCAATTTTATTTTTAGGATTACAAAACAGAAACTTCTTGGAGTATCAAGAAATATTGAATCGAAGTATTTAAAAACATTTTATATCATAGATTAATGTGATAAAAGAAATAATTATATTTACATTTAATTTCACACTTATTTTAATTAATCGGTTGAATCAGCAACATGTCTTATTTTGTCTGAACTGCTATCATTATTCTTGTCAACATTTTTCCTTTTAATACCAGTCTTCTTTTCTGCCATTGACTTTTTCAAACCTTTCATCTTTCTTGTTTGAATACTATTAATATTTTGTGCTCCAATATGTATACGTCCAAAGGTAGCTCCAAAATTATCCTTGGAAACATTCTTCTTCTTTTTTACCTATAATTGATATTAAATAAACAGATTAAATTAAATTAAATTAATAAATCATCATATTATCTTCTATAATAAAAAAAAAGTATACCTTGAGCTCTTTTGGTTTTTTACACGCTCGTTTAAAGAGATCTTCGGAAGCAAGCTTTGTGCGCCTACATAATAAATCTGCTCTTGGACCTATTTCTTCCAGTTCTATTCTGGGTGTCCTACAGTTAGACTTTTTCAAAAGTATCCTGAAGCACATTTCCACTAAGTAAATAATCGTTAAACGTAAGAATACTAGCGAGTTTATCAGAAAATCGACTCACCTATAACTACGTAAAAGTATTTTATTTTCAACAGCAGTGAAACTCAAAACATGCTCAAGACCTTGTAGCCTAATGTTTTCGACCACTTCCCTTTGAAACATATCCACGAATAAATTCTTAATTCTAACAAGCTCAGAATTGTTTTCAAAAAGTTCACCGTTAAAAACCAGCAGAGGTTTTATCCCTTCAGAAATTTGTGGAACTTTAAAACTCTTTAGACCTCTGTAATTTTCTACACCAAATTCAATCATATCTAACAATGTATGTTCGTACATTCTTCCCATTACAAAATTATGAGGTCGCTTTTTATTATGTAAAGCTATCATAAAAAGAGATGCATTATATTTAGAAGAAAATTTTTCGACAAACGTTATATCTTCGAACGGCAATATATCGTTTTTTTTCTGCATTAATATTGCGTCAGGTTTTTTAAAATTATACTGCAAAAAAAGAAACATAAATCTTATTGTTAAATATTATCGTCAAAACATAATTTATAGTTAATGATTTGTAGAAAAAAAAATTACCAAATCTTTCATGAAATCTACTACAATTTGAGATGTGTTCTTCCCTTTGAAACACAAAGTCTGTTTGGCATCCTCTATTAATTTCGGCTCCTTTTTTAAAATAGCCCGTTTACCTCTATGAGTGGTAGGCTTCCTGCGAAAAGAAACTTTCACACTTACAAACAGAAACTTCCAAAGAACATTTCAATTTCAAGAACGAAGTAGCAGATATATATAATTGTTTCGCTGTGTAGATCGTAGGACAAAAATATAATATTGACCTATAGATCCTGCCTTTTAACATCTATTGTACGAGAAGTACTTAATAATTACGCAAAAAACGATCGAAAAAATATATACAAAATATGTTTCATTGGACTGTTTATAACAAGTGCATACATAAACATGCATACACATTTCAAGCATAACCAAAAACTATCATAACTGTATACAAATTGCAAATACTTACACTACTCTATTTATTACAGGCATTGTAACTTCAACGATAAAAACTGATTTTCTTCGATGTATTTAGAATATTAAAATCTACGAACACGTATCGTTTTGAAAACACCACACAACACACGTGTTCGGCATAGGTATTGTAACTACAAATCCGTTACTAATAAACCCGTAGGAGGTTACAGCGTAATAAATAAATAAATAATTACGCAACCAGTGTTACAAGAAATTGAAAAATCTCTTCGAGCCCTAAAAACAAATATTTTCAATCATAAAAGGACCATAAAAACATATTACTCGTCAATTACATTTATTTATAAAACGTGCTATCAAGATTTTGAGGCACGTTTTTATTTAATAGAGTCAGAAATGTGTAAAACACTCCTTGTGTGTATATCAATAAAAAATTCAAATTATAATACATATTTTTTATTTACGTTCCACCCTACATTTTCAATTAATTTCCTAATTTCCATCAATTCTGAAATACCTTATAACTGGTGCAAATATTATTCGAATCTGGTTAATATTTTATCAAGTTCTTCGATCATTTCTCTGTACATTTTCTCAATTAATTAATTATAAACGATTACTGGAAGCGATAGTTATTTCTATATTTACGCTAAAAAGTGCAAAAGTATAGTATCGCCATCTAATATCAGGGATTCGTACTACTAAAATCGTGCCAGGATCACAGAATGTTAGAGGAGGTATCCGGAGTACAGGTTCCCCCACTCCTGCTACTCCTGATACACATTATCTTAATTATTCGCTAATTACTCCTTTCCTGGGAATAAAATATGAACTTTTAGAATTGAAGAATATAGTATAGACCCTTGGCTACATCCAAGGATACTTTTTATAACCATTTCGCCAGTAATTAAGACGTTATTAATCAATATCGGAAGTCGGCACACTGTTTCTAATGAACTGTTAATAACGTCTTAATTACTGGCGGAATGGTTATAAAAAGTATCCTTGAATATAGCCAAGGGTCTATACTATATTCTTCAATTCTAAAAGTTCATATTTTATTCCCAGGAAAGGAGTAATTAGCGAATAATTAAGGTAATGTATATCAGGAGTAGCAGGAGTGGGGGAACCTGTACTCCGGATACCTCCTCTAACATTCTGTGATCCTGGCACGATTTTAGCAGTACGAATCCCTGATATTAGATGGCGATACTATACTTTTGCACTTTTTAGCGGAATATTGAAACACCTATCGCTTCCAGTAATCGTTTATAACTTATCAATTACATTAAATAATGTATAGAGAAATGGTTAAGAGAATAGTTAAGGAGAATAATATTTAGACTAGTTATAAGGTATTTTCGAATATATGAAAATTAGGAAATTAATGGGAAAGGTAAAGGGGAACGTAAATAAAAAATATGTATTATAATTTTGATTTTTTATTGATATACACATTAGGAATGTTTTACACATTTTTGACTTTATTAAATAAACACATTCCTCGAAATAAAAAAATACATATTAGGAATCGTCTTAATATAACATCACTTATTTATAGGATCATTTTTAGTTTATCCCTTCCATGTACGCTTTTGTAACAATACACTTTGTCATATAACAATGACAAGGGACCTCATGTTCAACTTCTAATGCATCCAACCATACTAATTCCATATTATATTGTCTAGATTTAGAAGAGTTTCTTTTCAATTCTAATTTAAATGCAACAGGTTCACCTTCTTCTATTTCCGTGTCTATGGGTAAAACAATAACAGTCTGTTTCCAATGTGTGGGTTCGTCAAAGGGGCTTGTGGATAATTCTGATCCATCTGGAAACTCAACAGTGAACCAAATACAAATTCCTTGATACTGCCCATTTTTATTACAGACAGAAATATATTCTTCTCCTCCAAGACGACTTAATTCTTCGACATTAATACATTGTAAATCTAACCATGCCAATAATTTATTTTCTCCCAAAAGGTTCTTTTTATCTACAAGTAATACCTCCGGTTTCATTGATTTTATTTTTCTGTATTCCTCTCCAATACATCTATAACACAGAAAATATAAAGATATTAAACGTTACAGTGAAACGAAATTTAAAAATTACTATAATATAATGTCATTACTTCATAGTGACTCCGTAAACATCATCCCAAAAGTTATACATAGACGGTAATTGACACGGCGATGCATATAATTTAGCAATAGCTGGGAACAGTATGCCACTCTCCTTCAAAAAATTATCTCTCGCAAAAAGAACGCTGTCTAACATTCCTTCGTGCACTAGATAAAAACCCATCCACTCTGATACTATTATATCAACTTTCTCGAAGTTATTTGGATCGATATCCTCCACTTTACTGTGTATCACTGTAATCTTGTGATTTAGTTTATTTTCCACCAGAACTTTTTCCGTAAGATTCACTAAATCGCTTGCTTCTATCGCATAAACTTTTTCTGCGCCTGCTTGTGCACAGAAAATTGATAATATTCCTACAAATAAACGGTACCTTTAATCTTATTTCCACTTAATTTTACTAATTTGTGTAAATTATAAAATCATACCTGTTCCAGCACCAACATCCATAACAATTTTTTTGTCAAACATGTGTTTGGAATTCAATATAGCATTTTTGTACGCAAGAGTTCGAACCTTATCACTTAACATTAATTGATGAACCTATAAAAGCCGTTATGAATAGTTAAGTAATTTTATATATAATTAATTTATATAAAAAAAATAATAGTAAATATTTACTTACATCCAGTTCTTCATAACTTTTAAAATACTTATCCATATCATCCATTTTTTCGATACTACAAAATTATTATTAAACTTGCTTATTTATATTGTTATTTTATAACAAATAAATGTATAATTATCAAAATTAAATATTTTACATTTGGATAAAATATTCACGTTCGAAACATTCTCCCCCTATTTCATGGAGTTCCTAACCTCAATCTATAGTAAACATTTCGCACGTGCTCGACTTGATACAGAAAGTTACATATTTCTGTCTAAATTAGATGTACATTAGTACAAACTATTTAAAAAAATTTACTTAATTAATACGACTATGATCTTAAACAATGATTTAACATTAAAATATATTTATAATCATAACTTAAATTCTATAAATGTATAAAATGTACTTTTCTTTTTTTTATAGATTAATATTTAATATTAAATTTTTTAGGTTCATTAATCTTTTGCTGTTCTTTCATTTTCATGAGTCTTTTAAACTCTTCTTTCTTCTCCATCTGTTTCCTTTTTCGCTCCAGTCGCGAATGTTCTTCTTCAGTTAACACTAAAATTGTTTACAATTTAGTTTAACATTAGCATTTACATTAATGCTCTTTTATGTCATATACCTTTCTTCTGATCTTCCTTGTTTTGAACATTATTTTGTACTTTCTGAATACTTCTGCCATTAGACTTCAACGATTCTTTTTTGTCATCCAAGTCTTTTGAAAGCATGCAGCTACCATTTTCCTCAATTTTTGTATTCAATTCTTTTTTCTTATCACAGAGGATTTCAGGACACAATATGTTTTCTAAAAAATATCTAACATAAAAAATTTGGCTAAAATCTTAGCAATCAAATATTTTGCAAGAACCTGGAATATCTATTTCTTCGTTATATTTATGACTTAATAGCGGAGTTGATTGAGCACATGGTTTAGGCATATCACGTAGAGAACATTGCAAATTATCTTTCAAAATATTATGTGTCTTTGAATTAGATGGTATTTTTATCAATTCTTCAATTTCAGTTTCTATTGTTTTGCCAAAACATGATAATACTTTTTTATAAGCATCTGTAAGAGAACCCTAAACACAAAAGTAAAAGAATCATTTTTATGCCCATACGGAGATATGAAACATTGAAACAATGAACATACAATTCTGGCAAAATGTATTGATAATCCTTTTGTATTTCCCTCCGCATAACAATATCCTATATCTTCATGAAATGTTCCATCTTGTAATTGAATCTTAACAAACGTTACACACCCACAAACATATTTACCCATAAAAGCTTCAACAAAATCTAAAATCAGTTTAATTATTCAAGATAAAAAAATAAGATACTCCAAATAAGAAAGTTAAATGAACAATACAGAAAATACAAGAATCTATACCAATTGTCTGATTAGTTACAGTATGATTCCATTTTCCTTCTCCAAATACTTTATTCGCTAATGATATTAAATTATTATTAAACGTTAACGTTTCTTTTATGTCAATTTTTTGTGCAAACGTTGCGTTTATCGTGCTTTGTGTTGTATTTGTTGGTGGCTAAAAAAATTAACCTTTTTTTGGAATTAAGTCCTGCAAAACTGCGTTCGTCTGTAAAATACTTACAATTTTTATGCAAGAAGGAATATTGGTCATATTACTCATGGTAATTTTATTAATACCAATGATGTTCAACAAATTTTTATGTTTTTTTCAGACCTTTCCACATTAGGTCTTCTGTTTACTTTTATCTAATCTAACGTTACTGGATTTACCGCCTTTTTCTGGCCGGTATTTTGATCCATGCGAGTATTGCCGCCTTTTCAAATACGCGCATTTGCAAATCATTTCAGAATAATGTTAAAATCGAGTGAAAAAGGGTACTTTTATGGTTCCCTGTTTGTAATAAAGAAGTTCTGTTGAAACAGATTATCAGTTTTAAATAACTCTAAATAAAAGTTTTATAACTAAACACTAAAATAAGACGAAAATTAAGAATAAAGAAATTGCGTTCGAGCCTTTGTTTCGTAATTATAATCATTTAAAGTAGAGGTTGAAAAGTTGTCGAAAATAATTGTTTGAAACAGTTATGACCACTATTCACATTGTTTAAGATTATTTGAAATAGTTTGGATTAGGCCACTATCCGTTGCGCAATTTAGTAGCGACGAAAACCAAACGGAGAGACATGCATACATACTTACTTAAATTCGGGTCTGATTATGGTGATCAGACGACGATGACCACTAACTAGCCATAAAACAAAAACGAAATTTTACTTTGTATGCTACTTCGTGAGATATCATTTCTCTACTGGTTGTTCACGATACATGAAACTCTTTGATCGAAACTATCGAAGAAAATGTTCGAAACTTCAAAGCTATACAGGATGTTGAAAACTAAATGCCATAAATTTGGGTGATAAAAGAGGGGGCCGAAGCAAGCGTTTTAAAGTAAAAGAACCATGAATTGGTAACTCTTGGTTACGTATTGGATGGACTGTAATGTAAAGTCAAATTTAATGCCTCTCAATTTCCTCTTCTAGAATGCAACGACAAATCTAATTTGGTCCGAACAAGTCGGATCCAAGATAGGATCTCATCGTTTGCGTCGGTGAAATGTTTGAAACCATTTGATTTTTTGCATATAACATGCGCTTTTAATTTTGTTACGATTAAATTGCAGACGTTACGACGATTCAGTTAAACGTCCATTACGTCTATACCCAAGCGTCGTTGATCCATCGTATTTAAAAAGCTTGCATCTATCTCTTTTTTCGTTGCCCAAAATGGCATTTAATTTTGTCACCCTTGCACTCCTGTGTTTGTACACCCAGTATGATTCATAACTCGGAAGAGAAATTATTCACTATTCTATATTTCCAAATTACAATTTTTACAAATTATACATCTTACACTTCTTATAGGTATGATAATAATGACGGTAGTGTAATTTATTTTGTATATTTATTTATACAATAATCATTATAATAAATTATATATATAATATATATTTATATTATGCGTGTGTAGTGATAATATTTATTGCATAGAAATAATGTTTGACACGATTTTGGCGAATAGATTGGCTAGGTTATGCCTTGTGACTCACACAATTAATTGCAACTGATACTCACCACACTCTTGCTATCTTTTGATTAAAATCACCACAGAGCCTCTATATTTTAATTTTGGACTTTGCTTTCTTGCACTCATACATAAGAATATGTGCCTTATTAAAAAGTAGCAAATTTTTTATTATTAACTTCGTCAATAGGTAGATTTCATAAATTATCTGTATAAAAGCAGCAGTGAGCATATAACTAATAATAAAATACTTGTAAGTACAATTTTAAATCATTTTAATAGGATTATATTTAATATTTTATTAGGATATACACGTAAATTTTTCTTATAAACATTGGATAATATTTGCTAAATCATACATTCTTTTGCAAGAAAAATGATTTCCTCATAAGCAATTTTAATATTTTACAATTCGAAAATTTTCTAAATTAAAGTTATAAACGTATATTTTTGCTACTTGTTAATATACACAACTCTTAGCTCGTCCTAATATTATTATACTTCTTAATAATCTTATCTAGAAGAACGTCTGTCTCACATTTAATTATTTAATACAGTAATCATAAAGTACATAATAAGTAAAACTCTTAAGCCAGAGGCAATAGTTCTATACATATACACTGATCTTCTTTTTAGTGAGTGAAATACCTAAACAACAGTTTTACTTTAACAGACACACAGTCACACTTAGTGTCATTGAGCTGATCTTATTACATCTAATTGGTTTTCAAACTATTTCATTACATTTATAACATCAACAGAATAACTGTGAGAAAAGTGATTTTACTATGATATGAGCCGACTGTGTAAACACAGGCAGCTATTAAAAGATTCTGCAACCGTGATAAAAGCACTCTGCTTGCTTGAATCGCATTAGCGACATAAAAGGAGAAATCTACTTTCATGTACAAAAATGAGTTACACATTTACATGCTCAAACGCCGTTCTTTGAACTATTACTGGATTTGAATTTGAAGTATCGGCACTCTTAAATCTACACGACATTAGAAAAAAAGTTTACAATGATTCAGGAAAAAAATATTTGATTGTTATTAATACCAGTAAATTCAAAAATTTCTGGAACATTCTTTTGGCACTATAAAATATTTTATGATACACGTTAAAATGTATAAATAATGTAGCAAATTCATAAAGAAGTATGCAAATTCTTCGACAATTCAATAGTGTTACTAATGATTTTTAAAAATTATTTCTATGATATATTCTGGATTTGTGTGTTATATACATGTGATTTTAATAATGTAACAGTATTTAAGTAACTAACTGAAAATTATATTTAAAGAAGTATATCCTTAAAGAATAAATATTGCAACAATAACAAATTAAAGATCTTACATATCGATAAAAATATTCTATATAGTATATATAACTTTATATATAACTTTAAACATAGATGCGACGTGACCCCACGTTAACATGATAAATAGTACTATATTACATGTTACGCATGTAAACTGAAGATAGAACATTATAAAGTAGGAATTGTGATACCTTATTTAACTACTTGAAAACTGACGTTTAAACGCTTATTTGGCAACAATTATAGTTTACCTAGACATTTCTCCCTTTATGTCTTGGAACAAATCTAAATGTTGCACGTATGTATAATATAGTTGAATGACAAGATGCATAAATTTATAAACAAATAGGCACAGTATAAAAAAAAAAAAAAAAAAGAAAAAAAAACATAAACATAATCACAGCTGAGTTGGCAGGCAGGCGGGCAAATGCAGATGTACTATTGGACAGGCTCGCTCGACGTTGATGCGCTTCATCGTTTTTTATATGATTTTTTTTTTACTTGGTCGATATTATTTCAATAGCCTGCTAAGCCCGATTCATTGACAGATTGAGTATTAAACGTAATCGTTAGTTCCAGGACTCGTTAAGGGTTCCTGAGCCTATTAAAAATTGAAGCATTGAAATTTCATAGATCATTATAAATAACTGTATAAGTGATAAATATATAATGCGGCGAATAGAGCAGTTACCTCTTCTCCAACTGTAGCAGTGGGGAGTGGAAACCTGTTCTTTTCCAAACTGAACTGATCTTCTGTGGTTTTCCTATACACAGGATTATCGAAATTCATACTCGTAACGTTACGATGGAGATAATGCCTGTAGCCTAACACTGCTCCTAATGCAAAGAATAACAGTCCTAAGGACGCCACGCCTATCACTATACCAGCGACTAAACCATCGTCTGTCGATTCGGTTGCGAGACTAACTTTCTCATCCCCGCCTGTCGAGGGTGATGGATCTAAAAAAAAAATATTATTTTGTAAGAAAAAAGAAAAAAATTGAATTGGACAGAATTATTAAATACTGTTATACTGAAAAGCTATAGATTTCTCGAATTTAGGAGAAAACGAAATATGGTGTATTTGAAATTGTAGGAAACACCTTCGACATTTCTGAAAACATGAATTGTACAAAAATAACATGTTATGGAACATGTTATTAACATAAGTATACGCGCGCGCGTATACAAAATGTCAGGCAGAAACTTTGTCCACCTAAAATATTTCCATTGTTTTTAAACGTGTATTCTCATTTGTTAAGTAAAGTAAAGAGATAAATATGGTTTGGATACGTTTAGTATCGATACTGAACGATAAGAAGTTAAAAAATTATGAAGGAATTTACTATTTACTGTTTTTATAATTTATCTGTTTACACGCGTGCCATAGACCAGACCGACAACACAGGAAAATATGAGACATTGTATTAACGCTTATCATATAACCCAGACCTAACCCAGACTCTACCATCTTCTATGACCTGCTGTGATCTTGAACGATCATCTATCGTTGAAATTGTCTAAATATCCGTTATCACATTGAAGATAAAAAAGTACGAGATTCCATTAAATAAAAAGAAAAATTGACCTTGAGATTCCCTCTATGTTTCGAATTAAACTAACGCTATCGTCATATGCCCCCCTCTTGCGCCGTACATCTTTTGTGTACAATATCATTTCTATGTTTAAAAATAACGGAAATATTTCTGGCGGGCAAAGTTTCTGCCCATCCCCATATCAGGGTGTTTTAACCACAGGTGGACAGTCTTCAGGGAATGATTCTGTATTCATTTACTCTCTATTCATACTCTCCAGTATGAAGAAGTATTAAAGAGACACCGAATGAATATAAAAAAATGCAATTTTGTCTTATTGTAATACGTAGAAGCCTCTTTTAAAATATTATCCACTTGTAGGTACACACCCTGTATATATATAAGCCAAAGCCAAACGTTTATGATCCATAAATATGGACAATATACTATATGATCCAAATAAAGTGTTGCAAGTTATTTTCTTAGAAACCAATGAAAATATCGACTTTATTACTTTTTTTTTAAGTCAAGTAGCTTGGAAGTGCTAATCTTTTCTCCTCCTCTTAGATTTGTTTAAATGAAAGATGGTATTATTCTTTTGTTATTTGGATAGTTCTTATCAAACTAAACAAAGTTTATTTTAACTACATTTTTGTATTGTCCGTAGTTGGAAAGTTGTGACGAAAAATTGAAATCGGTTCTACAAATACGTTTACTGGATTAATGCACTGGTAGCTGTGTGCTTAACTTTGTAAAAATAATCTATACAATTGACTGGTTTCCGAAAAACAGCGTTGCAACGCTTTATTCAAATCACATGGCACGTAACTATAATAATAATCGTGCAAATAAACTTACTGATAGTTGTAGTAGTAACATTGAAGGATTCAAGTCTCTTGAATGGGTTACTAATTCCTTGCGTTGTAGGTGCTACAGTTGTAGTTACTGGAATATCCCATATTCATGCAACACCGATGCAAAATAATATAATAATTAAGAAAGTCGTAAACGTAACACATCGAGGCAATAATTGTATAAAAAAAAAAAGAAATATAATTAACGCTTAATGCAAATTAATAATGGTACAACGACACGAAACGAAATTAAAATCTCGAACATGCCCCGTTTTAAAATGTCTCATGAATTTGTATGAACCGTAAGCATTAATTTATTGTAATAGCATGCAATACGTTCATTTTCACGTCATTCCTTCGAATTTTCGTCGAGACGTGCATAGTAAACCAATGCATGTGGCTCGTTTAGAATTCTAAATACCAATGCGTAAATTTAGCTTACCCTTTTCTACACACATTAAACCATCAGGTAATAGTCTTAGGCCATCCGGGCAAGCGCAACTAAGAAGAGGTGACTTTGAATTAATTCTTGGCGCAGGTAAGCACAAGTGGCTACAGTGACCATTCACGGCTTGACACTGATTCATTCCGTCTGGTTGCCTGTACGGATGATACACGTGAACGACTGTCGGGTGTTCGAGTGTTTGGACGGACGTGACAGCTTCGACCTCTTTCCCGGTAAATTTATTCGCCGTGAATATCGTTTTCTTGTCCCAATCGGTCCAATACACATAATCCTCGAAGGTTGTAATACTGTACGGATGCCTCAACGAATCGGGAGAATAAAGAACCGTCCGTCTACCCGTGCCATCGTAATTACACGATCCTATTATATTCAATTTAGCATCCACCCAATAAATCTTCTTCCCTATTAAATCCAAAGTCAAGCCATTCGGCCATTTCACGTCGTTATCAACTATAATCTGCGCAAATATAAATATGTCAGCGATCTCGTTATTATTTTATTAATTCAAAGACGCTTAATTAGTTTTGAAAATCTACCGTTCGATGAGAACCGTCCATCCCAGCTTTTTCAATACGAGCCTCGTTGCTCCAATCCGTCCAAAACATCCAACCATCCAATGGATTCAAAGCGATCGCTCTCGGTTTCTGTATACGGTCTTGTATAAGAGTTTTTCTCATATTGCCCTCGAAGTTTGCCAATTCGATGGTACTTTTGCCAGAATCGGTCCAATAAATATGATTGTATATCCAATCGACAGCAAGTCCATCCGACGTTGTCAGACCGTCATCGATGACAACCGAACGTTCGTTACCCTCGTCTATCGGAGCTCTAAACAACGATAATTTTACAACATTTTAAAAAAAAAGAACGAATAAAAATAATCAAAAAACAATCAGTAAATCCTCACTTGTAGATCTTTTGCTCGCTTATGTCGCTCCAAAAAATCATACCCGTACGGAACACAAAATCTAAAGCTGTTGCTTTTTTTGTATTGTTCACTATCTCTGTCATCTCTTGACGGTCCAGAGCTACTTTTCTTATGTCGTGCCTTCTGGTGAAGAGAAGACTCGCGTGACCTTCTGCTGCTTTGCAACGAGAGTGATTCCTAGGGTCTTTAAGGTAGCCCGCAGCGCAGCTGCATTTAAAGCTACCCTTTTCGTTCAAACAGAACTGGGAACAACTGCCTGGTTCCAGGCATTCGTCTATGTCTAAAACAACAAGGACAATATGATCTCGTTTGTCATAGAAATTTGTTACATTCGGCGAGACGAGGGTGCACAATTTTAATCCTAATCCAATCGTCGACCACTTTCAATTTATGCAATTAATAAATGATAGATAGAATTTAAAAATGAAGACTTTTATGACGATACTTGGGACGCTTGGTTCAATGCATTAATTATGTCTTACCATCGCACGTTCGATTGTCAACTAATCTGTACCCTGCGCTGCACTCGCACCGGAAGCCAATGGGCAAATCGATGCAAATTTGCGAACATCCGCCGTTGTTTTTCTGACACTCGTTCACGCCGCATAGCTCGGCACTTTCGTCTTCCCAACCGAGGCAGTCGCGATTTTTATTGCACACGTTGTTTATGGGAATACACGAGCCCTCGCTGCATTCGAACTGAGTCGAGGGATCACAGGCGACCGCCTTGCTCGTACAATTTTTCTCGTCGCTACCATCCGCGCATTCCGCTTTACCGTTGCAATACAGGTGACCTGACGCATTTAAACAATTGCACTGCATTAGACCTGCGTAGGGGTGAGCTGGTCAAAACGGGAACGCGAAGTAAAATGGGGAGTTATTTCACTAACACGTTGCGTACGTTAATGGAACCAGTCGTTAAATATGGAACAAAAGCTCGAATAAAATTGGGTACCTTAATTTTTTTATCAACGATCGATCGCTGGCAATTAAACCATAACGTAAAACTTTATCTATACAGGGTGTTCGGCCACCCCTGGGAAAATAGGACGAAAATCAAGAATACCAATTTATTGATGGAGGTTTCGTTAAAAAGTTGTTAACGTTTAAAGTTCCGCCCGTACTGAATTTTTTTCTAGAAAATACGTAGGATTTTGGGGGAATGTGTAATGACCAAAAATGATTGTAATCGATCCCTGAAATCAAAAATAATTTTTTCAGAATGATTTGAAATTTTTTAATTTTGTCAAAAAATTTCACATCTCGAATTTTTTTCTCGAAAGTGAGTAGGATTTCGAGAGTAGGTGTAATGACCGAAAATGATTGTAATTGATCCCTGTAATTAAATATAATTTTTTTAGTATGATTTGAAATTTTTTAATTTCATCCGAAAATTTCAGTACCTACTCGAATTTTTTTCTCGAAAGTGGGTAGAATTTCGGGTGTATGTGTGATGACCAAAAATGATTATAATCGATCCCTGAAACCAAAAATAATTTTTTCAGAATGATTTGAAATTTTTTAATTTTGTCGAAAAATTTCACACCTTCTCGAATTTTTTTCTCGAAAGTGAGTAAGATTTCAGGGGTATGTATATTTACCAAAAATGATTGTAATCGAGCCCCGCAACCAAAAATAATTTTTTCAGAATGATTTGAAATTTTTTAATTTCATCCGAAAATTTCAGTACCTACTGGAATTTTTTTCTCGAAAGTGGGTAAAATTTCGGGTGTATGTGTAATGACCAAAAATTATTGAAATCGACCCCTGCAACTAAAAATAATTTTTTCAGAATGATTTGAAATTTTTTAATTTTGTCGAAAAATTTCACACCTTCTCGAATTTTTTTCTCGAAAGTGAGTAAGATTTCAGGGGTATGTATATTTACCAAAAATGATTGTAATCGAGCCCCGCAACCAAAAATAATTTTTTCAGAATGATTTGAAATTTTTTAATTTCATCCGAAAATTTCAGTACCTACTGGAATTTTTTTCTCGAAAGTGGGTAAAATTTCGGGTGTATGTGTAATGACCAAAAATTATTGAAATCGACCCCTGCAACTAAAAATAATTTTTTCAGAATGATTTGAAATTTTTTAATTTTGTCGAAAACACACCTTCTCGAATTTTTTTCTCGAAAGTGAGTAAGATTTCAGGGGTATGTGTATTTACCAAAAATGATTGTAATTGAGCCCCGCAACCAAAAATAATTTTTTCAAAATGATTTGAAATTTTTTAATTTCATCCGAAAATTTCAGTACCTACTGGAATTTTTTTCTCGAAAGTGGGTAGAATTTCGGGTGTATGTGTAATGACCAAAAATGATTGAAATCGAACCCTGCAACTAAAAATAATTTTTTCAGAATGATTTGAAATTTTTTAATAACTTTTTAACAAAGCCTCAGTCAAGAAATTATTTTTGATTTTCGTCTTATTTTGGCCTCTAGAATCTCCCATTAGAATATTTCTAATTATCATCAGACACGATTCGTGTCTTTCAGAATAAGTCGGATCGTCCGACGAGGACCTGCGACGAATCGAAACGTTATGTAGTGATTTTATCACCCGCAACCAATACATCGCCGATAGAAAGTGCCAAGTCGCTAAGTTTTGTTCGTATTTTCGAAAAGTTTGAAGTATTAAGATTGCGTTCGTAAAGTTTCAAGTCAGAATTCGGAAAACCGGGACCTGTGGAGCTATTTCAAGTGAGGGACACGAAAGTGAATTCGTGGTGCAAGCGGAGACGCACGGAAGCCGAGGAGAAATTGGATAAATTACCATCACCCTGGTTTGCTTTTAAGCAAAGTTCAAGAAGTTTTACGCTCTACCTACGAAATTCTCGATTCGCCCGAAAGTATTTGCACGTAAATGTGTATACAAAACTTAAAATTTATGTATTTAATACATTTTTCTGAATTAATATGCTAAGGAATTCGAAATTTGCACTCCTTAGATGGCTTTCTACCTTGTAATCAATAGTTCCTATTCAATCGCTTATAGTAATAATAATTCTTTTAAAAATAATTGAAATCATTCTTATTTTTTGTTTTCTTGCTTTTCTTATAACGAGGATGGAGGTCATGGTACTTAGAATTGATTTAGCTAACTAACATCACTGAGAATCTTCCAAGAAAATAACTGCTCACAAAAACGAGAAAGTAGATTAAAGGGAGGTTTTCGAGGAAAGAGAGGATCAACTAGATAACCCTGGAACAGCTGATTACCTGTGCGTCCATACATTTTCATTTTGTATACCTGGTAACCTAACTGGAAACTCTCTAAAGCTGCTTTTCTTAAAACAGCAGTTTGCGAAATAGCATGCCCTGTATCTTGGAAAATAATGCAGCAGTCGACATAAAATTTTACAAACGTACTTAGAAAAATACGCTTGGTAAGGTAATTCATTCTAGGCATAATGAACCAACATATCAAAGAGATTATTGTGTAGAACGTAAAATAAGGAAAATTCATGAAAGGGTATAGCCGAATAGGGGGGTCAAATGTGCCCTTGAAGCAAATTTGATCAGAATTAAACATTTTGTGCCAAATTTCAACCCTCTATCTTGTTTGGAAGGTTAATTATAGGGAAAATTCGGATTATCCAATTCGTGCCTATTTTCCGTATTTAATCGAGTACGAAAATTACGTTAAAAAATCTGGTGCATCGTGGTTATCGAGATACGTGTTCGAGAATTTTTTTTGATTTCTCGATCTAAAATTGTAGGTGTGAAAAATTAAAAACATTTGGCCCCCTTACTTGTCTACACCCTTTCGATACATTGAAGAAAAGATTTAGCGAAACAAAATTTTTCCAGATATCGAGACTATTTTTATTCGGTTTATTTTTATTTCGTTAAAGACCTCCGTGCAAAGAACGCCCCATCCTTGTCGCGCTAAGGGTTAAATGAAATATTGATTCTGTGGTTATCGGAATACCTGATATGCAACCGCGACGATCTCCGCATTGAAACTGATCGAGCCTGCACGTGACATTATGGCACCGTTCGGGTGATTCGTCCGCACCGTTTGGGCAATCTTTCCCACCGTCGCAGACCCAGCTTTGGTGGATGCACGTGAAATCGTTCCCGCAATCGAATTCCTTTTTGCTGCAATGACTCGATCCCTTGTCGTTGAAGTCCTGAACCATTCAAAAAACATTTCACATTATCGTTCGTTGCGATCTTGTATATCGTGTTACGTATCATTCATGTATGGGACCGAATGGTAGCTTGGGCGTTGGCCCGATGATCTAACGCACAACCCCTCCGGACGGGGTTGACTCATGCCGTATGTGAGCACCCGGCCCAATTTTCATTCCCTTATAAGCCAATACGCCATCATTGAACAGAGCAATTTCGAGTATATAGGGGCCGCGTTTTCTCACTCGAGAAGCTCAGTTTTTCTAAAACTCTCGACGCAACGTTACTTTGACACTCGAGGCAAGATCGGGCTATAATCCCCATCAAGCAACGTAACTTAGCGGTTTTATTAGTGAGCGTTCATTAGACTAATCGAGAAGTACAACCTAGCAATAGTACTAGTTCTGTTAATTTACCATTGTACTTGAGCATCGACTAAAATATATTCAAGTAGTTATCCTTGCTTGCATTATTCATTTAATACAACCCTGAACCCTATTAACAGTAAGACTAGGGGTATCTCACCGGTACACCTTTACCGCTCGAGGTGTACCATTCCGACAGAGCAAGATCCTAAAACATCCTAAAAACCTACGTGGCTCCCAGGGTATAAAACCCCTGGTTCGTCCACTCCTTCGTCCGTGAAACTATACATTTTCCTTATAAATCTAACCCCGTGGCTCCCAGGGTATAGAGCCCCTGGTTCGTCCGGAAATCCTTTCTCTTTTCTAACCATACCTAAAACCATCCAGGATCTCGCGCTCACAACAATCGTTTCTTAACGCCATGACTCTGACATCGTCAAGAAGACGACACTGTACAGAATAACATCCCGGTGTTTATTTCGGTATTCGGTATGTATATCGGTTTCTGTATTACAAAGCTATTGATATTTCTGTATTACATCTGCTTCGATGAAATAAAATCCCCGAACGAAACAGAACAAGAGTACCCCGCGCATTGTCGAGCGTAACCGTTACCTTGCATCCGATTTCGTCGGACTTATTTGGACAATCGATGTCGCCGTCGCACCTCCAGCGGGACGTTATGCAAACATTTTCCGAGCAAGCGAACTCCGTATCGGGCTGACAAGTGGTTGGCTTGCAATCCTTTTCGTCGCTGCCGTCTCCGCAGTCGTCGTCGTTATCGCATACCCAAGATTGCTGGATGCAGTCTGCGTTCGCGCACGTGAACTCGTCGGACCGACAAGTGTCGTCTGAAGGGAACACGTTCGAGGGAACGAAGAAACAAACATAGCATTAGCAATAATTTACGTCCACGGCGCGATTCTAACGATTCGTTGCGCTAATCGCAGCACGAAAACGCGCGACAAACGATTACGAAGTAGTGCAAACAAGAATGGCGAAACGTGGACATTGAAAAATATTGGATAATGAGAACGAATGTTATTTCTTATTTTTTGCAAGAAATTTGTTCTTTGTTAAAAGAATTGAAATATATTATATTTAGAATTTTTTAAATTATACTAATCATTGTGTGTCACTCTCTCGTACGCAAAAGACGACTAAGACAACCTGTTTCTTCTTTTGCCAGTCCAACGTTATCAAATATGTTAGAAGAATACGTAAAAGATATTGAAGAATAAAACAATAAATATAGCAATATAGACATATTACACGGACAGACATACATTTATCGTGTGTTCTCTGGCATAGGTTACAACGTTTGTGTAGACAGAATATTGAATTCAGGAACGTATAGTGAACAAATATATTTATATATCGAATTTATACAATACACGATACTATAATTTTTATACAAAAACAAGCCAATAATTGTTTGCAGCGTGCAAAAACAAAAAATGGGCATGCAATATGCGTGCTGCAAGCCGACAATATATCCATTTTGGTTATCACGAACGTTGATACTATGTTAAATCCTAGTAAAGTTAAGCTTATATACAGAGGAAAAATCTATCTTCTTTAGATATATTTGAAACAGGATCTGTAAATATATTTAAATTAATTCATTTTTACTTTTATTCCGTTCATCGAGATCTATAAATTAAAAAGAGGAACTTTTACAAATTGTGATGCTCAAAGTCGTTTCTTATAAAAATTCACCAAAGATCGTTTACATTCTTCTGAATATTGCTCGTCCTGATCGTACACACCCTTTGTAACTGTCGATTTTTAATTGAATGCGCTACTCTGCTGAGCTGCGAGCGAAAGGTCGCTCCAAAAATCGTCACGTTAATTACCGATAAATTAAATTTAAGTTTTGGAAGTTTATAAGACGTTCGAAGCTGCACTCGACGAAAGCAACGTTTAAATTATGCGATGAACTATTTGCACTGGCAAGACGATACGCCGGAAGAAATAAGTTTCTTAGCATGGTCCTATAATTAAGCGAGGTAATTAACCGCTCCTTGATCAACGACAGACGTGGTGCAACGTACTCCTGCCACGACACCGTTCAACATTAAATCTAACATAGAGTCAAAAGCTATTTTGTTCATCTACGAGCTATACAAGGCCAATACTCACGTAACACACACATCATTCGTTACAAATCAATGAAAGTATACAACCACGTAAAGATATTTATTGTACAATGGGAAATTTTCGGGAACATTCTGATTGCTTGCACAGCGTATATTGATTTTATATTTTCTGACCTCTTGCGGTTCTATTCAATTTTATATCGAATCGAACGAAACACGGAAGACAATTACGATTCTTCCGAGTAATAAAATATACAATTTACTTTTCTCTTCTTTGTTGAAAAAGAAAAGAAAGCAAACGCCACGTCGAACAGCAAAAGGTCAATGTCGAAAACCGGGAAAGAAGTAAAGAAAGAAAGGACAGAAACACTACGGAAACAACATCGATATATAAACAAGTGGAATCGCCACGGCGAACAAATCATAAGTCACTTTATTAAAAAATTAGATGTAGCTTGTGCGATCCATTCGTGAAATGTTAAACTTTCCCAGAGAAGCTTGCTGGATTATTTTATGGAAAATCCCAATACCGATTTTATCGAGGAATGAAATTATATTACTCTACGCGAAGGAAATTAATATTTCTAGAAAAATATACACAGCTTAAATTCTGATAGAAAAGGCGCGTATCTCGTTAAAAAAATGACAAAACTCTTCTTTAAGCAAGAATATCAAATTACTTTTAAATTTTATAATGGTTATTGAACTATTAAAACTAAAGAATAAAAAGATCAGAGTAATACAACACATCTTCTGAACAAATATTAGTAGGTACAAAATATGATAGAAAGAATTTTAATACAGTGAGTGTCACTTAAAATTGTGTACATTATGATTGAATTAATTTCTGAAATAGAATTTATAATTACGCATAGAACTGTAAAACAAGGTTGAAATAAGGGTAGGTCGCAGAGCTCCATTACTCTGAACCTCGTTTTTTCAATTTGCATTTTCCATTCATTTACTCATTATGGCGAATAAAGCATAATTAAAAGAGGTGAAACCTTATTGTTAGTAAAAATTGTACAAATAAAATTGAGGTATATTTTTTGTATGAACATTCTATACGTTAGCCACTATTTGTTTAAATACATTTCATTGAAGTTTTGCAACATTCTGTTGTTATTTTTAACCGTTCGTCGTGTAAAGCACTCTCGAGGCCTTTCATTTGTTTGTAACATTGTGGTTGTTAATAAACAAAAATCGTACGATTTTACGTGACACACATCGTATAAATATCTCCGAAACAATAGATATTACCTATATTAGCGCAATCATGCGGTTGCTTGGAAAATACTAATTAGGAGAGAATGAAAACGTTCTCGTAATTATGATGATTATATTTAAAGCGCAATGAAAAGAACAACGAGGGTTCCGCAATATCCCGAGCGGTGGTGGTAGTCCCGTACGTGCAACAATTATTAATTAGGGAGAAGCATGCGGCATGCAACGATTACGGAGCACACGATGTTACATATTAATCCTTAAAATACGAAGGGAAGGCGGTGTGTTTCACTTGTTTCGCCCGTGCTTTACAACGCAGCCTCCGCGATGTTAACTTTTAATATCCACCCTAATAAGCACCCTATGGGCACCACCTAACAATGTTAACAGTCCATCGCATCTTCCTTTGTTTAATAATTTTCGACCAACGTCGGGCCGAAATCGATAACAATTCTGAACTCGAAACGATTGATTCTAAACACGTTCCTGATTTAAAGTTTCAAAAGAGGTTGTATCCAAACGCCACAGTCATGCAGTTACGAAAAAGTATATCTAATGATTAATCTTATTGCAAATTGATGCTCGACTGACAGTGTGAAATACTTACCACGCAATTTGCAGAGTGTAATTCACTATTAAGTTCAATAACATATCAAAGATTAAGTGTGATCTATTTTCAGTCTGTCAGTCAAGGGTTAAAACTTTAACACATTGACCACCAAGGTTCAATTCAATATAATAAACAATGAACCATTTCCAAGCAAAATGTACGACACAGTGTCCATGATTAACACTAAACCTACCACGACTGGTCACTTGACCGGTTGAACGATTTATATTTTTCTGTAAAAAGGCGCATAAAATATAGTATCAAATTCTGGTTAGCTTAAAATAGGTATAGCAACGATGAAAAGAGAGAATCTTCAGTTTCCACTGTCTTAGAACAGTCTAACAACGCGTGTTAAGAATACTAAAACTTTAGACGCGTGTAGTTCCGAAACTACTAGTGTTTTATTGATAATTGAACCACTGTTGGCAGCGGTGAAACTTCCCCTTTGAAATGGTTTTTGGTTTTTGTCGATCCGACTTTCCGTTTTGGAGATATCGTAATTTATGTGGAAGGTAATTTTTTTAATTCGACTATCTCTGTCTTTGGCTAACGCATCGAACCTCTCTCTCTCTCTCGCACGTGCATCGTGAGCACGTGAGGTCAGTGACCTCGCGCCGACGTCAACAATGAAATGTAAACAAACTTCGAAGCCTTATATCCCCGGAACTAGCCACCGCATCGACTTGAAACTAAAATCGCTATATCTCCGGAACTAATTATGCTATCGACTTGAATGAATACTCATTTTAAAGGGCTTTTCATTCTCTATCCGATGAATATATCAACTATTATTATTTATGCTTTCTTCTATGTTTATTTTTTAGATTTATTTTAACGTTATGCACCCAAAGAAGTTTAAAATTAGATTATAAATTGTTTATTTAATTGAAAATGAATTTAAATTTGGATACAGAATATTTGCGTAATTATTAACTAACATATTTTCGTAAGTAATTGTTTTCTCCGGAATTAACTACGGTATTGACTTGAAACAAATCTCGTTTTCAATGGCGTTTTATCTTCTATACGATGAAAATTGTAAAATTTCGTAGGTCTTGGTAGGAATGGGTATACACGAAGTGTCGATAGGTTTAGTGTTAAAATTCGCTGTTCGTTCTACATAATCTGTGGTAGAATCGAGTAGAGAACGATTCCTTGTACAAAAAAAAGTCAAACTTGGTGATAGCAAGCACGGAAAAAACGAGATCATGGTAGTAATTAATAAAAAGTCATCGTGAATTTAATTTATACATATTCCAATGCAATCGCTCACTGTTATAACAAGCAAGTTTTGGAAAACATGAAAAATATTGAAATGAAATTATTGATACAAATATCAATTTTACGATTTTAAAAAAACTAATTAAAATCGTGTTTACAAGTATTGTTCTTGATTGCGAAAAAATAAACTTTATCAAATGGTTGAGAACTAAAAAAATGGTAGCTAAATTTAATTCATCGGTGATGTTTGTGATTGCATTATTTACTTTTTTAAATTATTCTTTCCTTGCTCAGTATTCCCGTGAAATTATTCGAAAATAAAATAAATAGGAGGTAGATTTAACGCATAGCTATTAGTGCTCGTTATGACCAAGTTTAATTGCGCGTAAAAAATGTGGTATAATATTTTCCCGGTTTTATTGTTCGTTACCAAGAAAAAAGTCAATTTCCTGGAAAGTAGAATCTCGTTCGTTACGAAGAAAATTTATTCCAGAGGTTTTGCTTATTTTTAGATGACGAATTGTCTGCTTGAGAATGGTTCATTGCAAGTCAGAGGAGAAGCTGAAAAACCAAAAAAAGTCGACGATGAATCGCTCGGGTTGGAAAATAAACGTACAATGCTCGTTGCTTGGCGGCCAACATGTTTAGACAGGGATGGAAAACCTTTTAGCATTAGGAGGACTGCGTATTGCTTCACAGATTCCTCATCAAACTGAATACTTCCTGCACAGTCGATTTTTACAAAAATTACACAGAGATACTTACGTAAACATAGTTAATATCTGTTTAAACATCAGAGGATTCTGCTTACTCTTTAGTTCGTATTTCAAGAAACTTAATAATACGTCCAGGTTATTTAAAAAACATATTACTACAATTTGAATAAACGTCGAGTTGTTGAATCACTCTTAAACAAGAATTTTTACAGAGAAATACAATTCCGGGCAAAGATTAGGTATTACATGAAAACTAAAACTGCTAGAAAGCTCCAGTTGGTCTTAAAAAATAGAGGAAAGCCTTCTGAATATGTCAGTACAGGCAGCAATTAAATTTTTTCGAAAACTAAACGCGTTCGAGACGAGCGACTCTGCTAAAAACTCCGAAAGAAAATTCGCGTTGGACGATGCAATTTATAAACGAAGAGGATACGCGTTTGACAAAATGTTTAGAAAGCCCGCTGGGTTCTCCATCCTTGTGTTTAGAGAATAGAAAGCAAATCTACATGAGAAAGCACAAGCGTAAAGGAGAGCCCCCGTGAAAAAGCTTACTGCACTCAGCCTCGTCTGAAGCGTCCGAACAGTCTGGGTTGCTGTCGCACATCCATGTAAGTGCCACGCATTCGCCATTTCCCGAGTGACACGTGAACTGTTCCGCCGTGCAATTCTTCGTCCCTACAAGATGACAAATTGATTGAACTGATTTTCATTTCAAAGCGCGACGAGACGCCAGGCACACGGTGCCGAGGCCCCGTTAGCGCGTACAATGGCGACAGCGTCGTGCCCTATTTTCCTCGAGAAAGACGAGAAACGTCTCGAAACCCGCGAATTGCATCCCCAGAGTCAATTGTATTCGAAAGCAATTTTTGTATTTCTTTATTTTATCACCGTGAACGCCACCTTTCACGTACGCGAAAGAAAAGGGAACGGACAAGAAAGAAACACATAAAACAATAAAAGAAGTTTCGATCGCCAACAAGAGTTTTTTCTTTTTAATATCTGATCGTTTCTTTTTTGTTGTAAGACGACTACAGTTTTGATAGATTATATCTGGACACGTCTAAAATTACACGGAAACGAGCACGTGAAATAAAGATAGCTTTCTAACGGAACGAAGGTAACCCCGTCGCAAATTAGTAAGCAGCAAAGAACAGCCGGACAAGCGTCCAATTTCCTGTCGATGCTTACGCAAGACACCCGGTAGATCTTTTCTCGCGTATTATCTGTCGCGTTGCGCTTGTTCGTTTGACCTTTTACGACGTGTTCATAAAATCTGCAGAGTACTTTTAATTCTCGTTGGACATTCTAGTTGCGCAAATTGCTATAATAGCGCAAGCCTCGAATTACCGGCGACAGATACGGCGCTACCGGTTAACGATTAAAGAATGACGAGATCGGTGTAACGCGTCGGATAAGGTGTAATTATACTTTGTCGGGGCGCGCGTTAGTCGACGATTTCGTAAGCACGTAGAAATTCGTAATAATAACAGAGAAAGTGCTCCAAAGTGTCCGACTTGTATCCGCCGGTGCAATAATTATTTCAGAATAACGCCACGAAACGACGAAATGACAGTCATCCGATCGTAATTGACGAATAGGCGAGCCACGAGTCGATCTCTATTTTCTCGATCGGCGAAATTCTTTCAACGTTCCCTCTCTTCGCTATGACTTGGATTCCAAATTGATAAGTGCTCTTATCTCGTTACTATTTTACAAAAGCAGAACAGAAGCAACAATCTTCCTCGTTACCTTCGATAATAAGAAAATTATAGATGAAAAACGGGGGTCCGGACTTCGGCTTTCTCCGATAACAAGATAATAATAGAAAAAAGGATAAATAAAAACGTCAGTCAAAACCACGTCTACGTATATTTCAAAGCTATTTACCGGATCGATAATTTATTTTCTTCCGGTGGAGACGCAATTCCGTTTCGATGGGAAACGAGTTCAACGGTTAAGGGATGCAATTTGCGATTTCAAGACTCTGACATCTCTCCCCCCTAATAATCTCGTTCGTCGCCTGTTCCGTAGTTTTCAGCCTTTGGACTCTCTCGTTCCTCCTTGGTCCCTTTGCCGGTTCGTCCAACGATCGACCTAGGACTTATCGATAACTTACTGCGGCAATTTTTCTCGTCCAGACCGTCCGTGCAGTCGAGCTGATGGTCGCACATCCAGATTTTCGGTATGCACTCCCCCGGGCTGCACTCGAACTCCGTTGAGCTGCACGGTTTCGCCCCTTTTGATCGCAATTGTTCTATCATTCCCGTTTCTCCCCCCCCCCCTCTCTCTCCCACGCCTTTCTTCACCCCTTCCCCCAATCCCTGTTTTTCTTTTTTTATTTCGTTTTATCCCCGTTCAGCGATTCTATTTTATCGCGCTAATGGGCCGCTAACGCGAACGCGTGCATTATGAACGTTTCATCGGTCGCGCGATTTATTATCGTCGGACGCGATTTATCGGGACAGGCAAATTGGCGTTTCTCTCGTGTCGCTAGTTTCGGGAAGAGGATCTCGAGCCAAGACAGTGGTTGCGCCCGGGGAGACGCGAGCGTGCAATTGCACCCCCAGGCCACAAATATCCATTTTTCAATCGTTGGAATTTTGTCTACACAATTTCCTTCGGACACGAGGAAAAAGATATTCCGAAATATCTCGTACGACTTTCTTGATTGCTTGCGATCGATGAACTGAATTTTGCAGAACCTCGTTTGCGAACATTCTGCAAAATTGCTAATACAAGAGGCGAAGTTTATGGGTTTCTGATTTCCCTTATGATCGACACCAGAGTTGAGAAATAATCTCCATTCTTGACGTTAAATAGCACTACCATTTTGTGTACACCATGTATGTTTGTTTTTCATCTACAACTCCTACTATTTTTATTGCATTGAAAAGTATGGGCCATTCAATTCACACGTGGAAGTTTCAAAAAACTTAATCAATACAGGGTCTCTATTACTCTATTACTCAATATGTAGTTCACAAGAAAATTCTATAAATAAATACAAGTACGAAAATATTAATTAGATAATGTAGGTTTTCGATCCTGGCTTTAACGAGTTATCAAAACAATTTATTGGTAAAGTAAACCCAGGTTCCCACTAATTAAAATCACCGTTACCTGAGTCGTTGTTCTGCTTCAATTTGTGTTACTATTAAAATTGATGCATGTGCTAATGAATCTGTGGCATGTTGTGCACCGAATCCTCTCATTGATGGATTGTAAGCTATTCCCAAGGATATCGCACGGAATGTTTGCTCGAAGCACCGCGAGACAAAACGTCGTATTGTGAAATGCTATCGAGCCGTTCATTAGCCTTTGACACCTCGCATTTGCACACCGATGTCATCGGTTCTGATTTTAAGCAGCGACCGCAGAAAACAACGCTCGCACTGATTGGCCACGGTCCGGTTTTAGTCTCGATATTCTGAATAATTAAGGAAAAATTACGGTCCTCGGCGCTCAGCGTGATTTCTAGCGCGTATTTCTCAAAGCAATCGAGTAATTACTTAGGAAACTCAAGTATTCGAAGGAATAAAGCTACGTTTTTGTAGACATTAAAAAACTGCATCGAAAAGGATGCATTTGAATTTTTAGATACATAAAAATGAGGAAAATTACGTGTCGTTTAATTGCGTGTGATTTTACGAATAATTTAATGAGACAGTAGAAATGTATTGACATTTTTGTACGGTATTTTATCTGTATGAACGCTGATCATTGTTTTGTTTCATATGCCAGTAATGGTTTATCAAAAAAACCACATTTGGTGTGGTGACATTTATGCATAATATTGGTTTCGTTGCCATTAAACTTTTGGAAACATTTAACGTTCTCTTTGTTAAAAGTTCAATTGTCAAAAACGAGAAAATTTGATATGCTCTCAATTAATATAGAGACAGTTCTGCCAATTTCTGCCACGTGCCATGTGACGTTGTTGTCTACCGAATTTCACCTTTTATCGGTCTCCGTGGCTTAATTGGCACTGCAATATTGAAACCGTTGAATGATTAAACCAATCGAAAGGGTTCTGCGTCACGAGTCCGAGCAATTAATATTAAAAGCGTAACCTCGGACGTAGCGCGATCTTCCCGAACGAACTCGAACACGATTCGTGATCAATGATTTCCTCAAAGAGGAATCGATACCACTCGACTCGTTCAAGACAGCACAATGAGGAGTTATGTAAATTAAACGCTATTCGATATCGCTAAGGTAAATGCAACCGTATCGGCGCTGCTATTTGGAAATGCGACCGATGAAGAGGTCAGGTAACAAGCTACAGAATATTACATTGTATCGTTCCTCGATTAATGAAAATGTACGTTATTAAACGGCTGTTTCATGTGGTATTTACGATCGTTTTATTCCGTGCATTATTTACACTAGAATATCAAGCTCAAAGAGGAGAGTTAATAAAAAATCACGAAAACAATTCAAGATTTAACCCTTAAATACAATTTTAAATAGCTAGCTAAAAACACCATGTGATTTAGCAGTCAAAAAAATAATTCTTTATTAGTTATATCATTTGTAACGTGTTCGGTGAGATTTGTGATCGAAATAAATCAAATGTCGTGCAGGAAAAGCTGTCGTTCCATTATCTGAAAATTCTATTATTGGAACACACATGTCTCCGTATTAGTTCCAATAATTAAGATTCTATTGTGGTCTCACTGTATAAAAGTTCTTTTTATATTATACTACGATTTATAGGACCTTCTACGTGGCAGATTAAAAACACTCTGTTCTGATTTGACAAATGAGATTCGACTTCCATCAACACGCGACAATATGTCTCTTTTGTCAGTGCCCGGTATCTCGCTTTAAAACTTTACGCTTTGTTCTGGAATTTACTGCGCGGGAAAATTGATGTCGTTGAAATAAAATAAATTGCGTCGATGAACAGGGACGATGTCATTTTCCAAATATTCCGTTCTTCTGAAAATGAGTGAATTGGACATTGAATGTTCACGCTGCTCGTCGTATGCGCCCGAGCTATTATTTTTTACGTGTGAGAATCGTTAATACGCTGCAACGTCGATTATCGAGAATAATGGGGAAACAAAAACATTTTCGATAAACGAATTTTCGCATGATCGAGCGATAAGGACGAAAATAAAGTGACTGCACATTATTAAGAAAGATATAATTCGCGTTACCGCGCACAATTATTAAGTGAACGCATATGAAATTGCCAATTTCACGAACATGTGACGGGTTCTCAGAATTTGATAACTGAAATGTATTGCCAAACGGTATTGATCAAATATATCAATTAACACCTTGAACCTAGCTACAAACGATACGATCAATATTTCGTCAATTGTTTCGATACAAAATGACAAATTACGAAGCAACACGAACAGCGAACCAAAGTTAAATTCGAAGGGGGTACGTTTTTTGTACGAATTTCAATTTGATTGAAACACATGATTGTTGTTTGTACTATTAATATGATAATTTTATTACAGTATTATTTATTAATGAAAAATGATAGCTTAATTAAAAGTCTGGTTATCTCATTTGCAATTATTTAACATAGTATCGTGCAGATGTTCAAAGAAAACTGATTTTAATCAAATTTGAATATTTTAAGAATGGATTATGCAGAAGGATTTACCTAATCTGCTCTGGTAATAGGCTTACTTGAGATTAACATTATAATTGATCAA